TGGGTCAAACAGCAACATATCAGAGGACACACATATTCTGGCCAACACATCTCCATGATTTTTCCATTACTTTAACACTGTTCCAGTTGTTCATATAGAGAGAAGGGTTTTTAAAAATAGTTGTATTTAGTATTTTAATTTATATTTAAATAGTATTTTAATTGGAATTTTAATCCAGAATATAAATACCATGTTTTATGAACTCATCTCAATATATATATATATATATATATATATATATATATATACATGTCACACTCTTTGACAATATGATATTCTATCTATGTATCATGACAATAAAGGTGAATGTAAGCATGGGGGGGGGGGGGGTGTCTAGTGAACTGCAAGTTTTCTCTGGTGGGAAGAGTAAACAGAGAGAGAAAGAGAGAGACCTGCATAACAATACTGAGCAGTGCATCCCTCTTCAACAATGCAACTCAACACAACCATCCCATACATTCACATTACTAACACACACCAATACACATCCAGCTGCAGTCACACAAACATGGCTCGAGCGCGCACGCTACACACAACCTCAGAACTACGCATCAAAACAACCCGGTGAAATGGAAAAGTTGTGCCCTAAAACACTCGCAAGACATGTTTCGCCCTCTAAAATCGGAATACAACATAACAGAGAGTGAAAAACACGGTGCCTGCGCAGAAAGTGCTCGTAGCCGCGCGCACTGATTTACGGACGCGCGTGCGTCATAATGGACAACACGTCATAATGGATTAAAAGATACAAACTAACAGCGGCGGGCGCGCCGAATTGTTCTTACCTCAGTGCGAGCACGATGCGCGATGGGACAGGGTGGTTTGGTTGGTCGGTTTGATGGGAATGTGGGAAGGAACTACAGGAAGTGAGGGGCAGATCCCGAGAACATTCACGACACGCAAGACCTGCGCACATCAGCCGGACACAACACAACACTCGGGCCGTGTCCCAAATAACACACTACACGCAGCATTCTAGAAGTATGCCATATGCAATGCACACTGCATTTTACAAAGGCCATGTTCGCTCTACTAGTTCACTGAATAGGCTACTGCTATAGTCGGCTATTTATTAAACAGTAGCCTATGCGTTCATGTTGCATGTTTAATGTTCAGTTATTATCTCAGAAATCATTATGTTAACATTTTACTTAAAGCACTTATGTATAATGCATTATAAATGTATTCATGATGTGCATTATATCTTTTAATTAATAATTGTAACCAAAGTAAAAATACATTATATTTGCAGATTCTGAAATTGGTTGTTTATCCTGTGTTTTAATGTATTATACTTCCTAAAGATGTGTTCAATGATTAGATAACTATTATAATGTATTATAACTGTTTTTCATGAGACTATATAATGCATTTTAAGGTGCATCACAACGCATAATTGATGCATTAAAAATAATAATTTAAAGGCTTTAAGTAGTGTTACCATAATGAAGTATTTTAACTCAGTTTTGAGTTAACTTTTGGCAGTCTAATATATATGAGTCAATATTGTATTGCATTCTGGGTATGTAGTGTTATGCATATATTCAGTGCACACTCACTATATATTGTAGAAATGGTAGTATTTATAATATGCATACTGTGTAAAATATCCACATTGTGTGTAAGCATGAACGCAAATAAACTGCTGTTTTGATAAATGTCAAGTATCAATGTTTTATATAGTGATGTTGAGGATTAGTCCTCACTCAAAATATTGATCCTATGTGTTTTTAGCTTCATAGTTCATACTAAATGTATTTTATTGTGACATTGATTTAATATATCAAAATAAATGTGGAGAGGTCTGTATATGTGTGTGTGTGTGTGTGTATGTGTGTGTAATTATATATATATTATATATATATATATATATATATATATGCACACATACTTTTACATTATTAACAAAAAAAAATCATTCTGTATGATTTATAAGCTTGTTTCCTCAATTTAGGTCAAATTAGAGTCTGTGTGCAGTCAGGGTTAAGTCCAGGTTTTCCACCGGGATAGAAAAACATGTACACACACAAACACACACACACTCTGACACATCTACTCTCTCTCACACACACATACTCTTACTCTCTCTCTCTCACACAGACACACACACTCTCTCTCTCTCTCACACAAACACACTCACAGACATACACACTCCCACCTACACATATATATTCTCCGTCTCTCTCTCTCACACAAACACGCACTCACAGACATACACACTCCCAACCTACACATATATATTCTCTCTCTCTCTCTCTCTCTCTCTCTCTCTCTCTCACACAGACACACACACTCTCTCTCTCTCTCACACAAACACACTCACAGACATACACACTCCCACCTACACATATATATTCTCCGTCTCTCTCTCTCACACAAACACGCACTCACAGACATACACACTCCCAACCTACACATATATATTCTCTCTCTCTCTCTCTCTCTCTCTCTCTCTCTCTCTCTCTCTCTCTCTCTCTCTCTCTCTCTCTCTCTCTCTCTCTCTCTCTCTCTCTCTCTCTCTCTCTCTCTCTCTCTCTCTCTCTCTCTCTCTCTCTCTCTCTCTCTCTCTCTCTCTCTCTCTCTCTCTCTCTCTCTCTCTCTCTCTCTCTCTCTCTCTCTCTCTCTCTCTCTCTCTCTCTCTCTCTCTCTCTCTCTCACACACACACACACACACACATACACACTCCTACCTACACATATATATTCTCTGTCTCTCTCTCACACACACACACACATTCTCTCTCACACAAACACACTCACAGACATACACACTCCCACCTACACATATATATTCTCTGTCTCTCTCTCACACACACACATACTCTCTCTCACACAAACACACACTCACACACATACACACTCACCGGCCACTTTATTAGGTACCCCATGCTAGTAACGGGTTGGACCCCCTTTTGCCTTCAGAACTGCCTCAATTCTTCGTGGCATAGATTCAACAAGGTGCTGGAAGCATTCCTTAGGGAGTTTGGTCCATATTGACATGATGGCATCACACAGTTGCCGCAGATTTGTCGGCTGCACATCCATGATGCGATTCTCCCGTTCCACCGCATCCCCAAGAATCTCTATTGGGTTGAGATCTGGTGACTGTGGAGGCCATTTTAGTACAGTGAACTCATTGTCATGTTCAAGAAACCAATTTGAAATGATTAGAGCTTTGTGACATGGTGGAAGTAGCCATCAGAGGATGGGTACATGGTGGCCATAAAGGGATGGACATGGTCAGAAACAATGCTCAGGTAGGCCGTGGCATTTAAACGATGCCCAATTGGCACTAAGGGGCCTAAAGTGTGCCAGGAAAACATCCCCCACACCATTACACCACCACCACCAGCCTGCACAGTGGTAACAAGGCATGATGGTTCCATGTTCTCATTCTGTTTACGCCAAATTCTGACTCTAACATCTGAATGTCTCAACAGAAATCGAGACTCATCAGACCAGGCAACATTTTTCCAGTCTTCAACTGTTCAATTTTGGTGAGCTCTTGCAAATTGTAGCCTCTTTTTCCTATTTGTAGTGGAGATGAGTGGTACCCGGTGGAGTCTTCTGCTGTTGTAGCCCATCCGCCTCAAGGTTGTGCGTGTTGTGGCTTCACAAATGCTTTGCTGCATACCTCGGTTGTAACAAGTGGTTATTTCAGTCACTGTTGCCCTTCTATCAGCTCGAACCAGTCTGGCCATTCTCCTCTGACCTCTGGCATCAACAAGGCATTTCCGCCCACAGAACTGCTGCTCACTGGATGTTTTTTCTTTTTCGGACCATTCTCTGTAAACCCTAGAGATGGTTGTGCGTGAAAATCCCAGTAGATTAGCAGTTTCTGAAATACTCAGACCAGCCCTTCTGGCACCAACAATCATGCCACGTTCAAAGTCACTCAAATCAACTTTCTTCCCCATACTGATGCTCGGTTTGAACTGCAGGAGATTGTCTTGACCATGTCTACATGCCTAAATGCACTGAGTTGCCGCCATGTGATTGGCTGCTTAGAAATTAAGTGTTAACGAGCAGTTGGACAGGTGTACCTAATAAAGTGGCCGGTGAGTGTATATTCTCTGTCTCTCTCACACACACACACACACACACACACACACATACTCTCTCACACACAAACACACACATACACTCACAGACATACACACTCCCACCTACACATATATATTCTCCCTCTCTCTCTCACACACACAAACACACACACTCACAGACATACACACTCCCACCTACACATATATTCTGTCTCACACTCTCTCTCTCTCACACACACACACACACACATACATACACTCTCTTACACAAACACTCACAGACATACACACTCTCACCTACACATTCTCTCTCTCTCTCTCACACACACACGTGAAGGGTTTGTGCGACATGTTCTAAATTAAATGTTGTTAAAAGATTTGATTATACTTTGGAATTTGTTTGTTAATAAATGATAAACAAAACCAAAAATACTTAGGATTATTATATTTGATGCCTTTCAATGGATATTATAACCAAATTTATCCTCAGATCACAAAAATTGATTAAACACTACAGACTACTAGTGCTTTTATAAATTATTTTAACTAAAAATAAAACCATAACAAATTTTTTTTTCTTGAACTAAAAGAGTCAAATAAAAAAAACGTTTTTTTTTTTAAATGACAACTACTTGCCGAGCGAACATTTCTCTTTTAAGTTTAAGTAAAACATGTACTTAAATTATAATAACTACATAGAAATAAATTTAATGAAATAAAAAAACTATAAAACTAAGCCAAATCCCTCAAATGTTTATCGCCTTCTTAGGATGAATCGCTTCTATTCCTCAACTTTGGATAAAAGCGTCTGCTAAATGAATGAATGATAATGTAAATAAAATTCAAATCAAAACAAAACGAATTCAAAATATTTATAAAACTACAGTAGTATCTGCATTATAAGAGCACAGCAGAAGTGTGTGTTTCCACATTCACAGAGCTTGATAGAAGAGTGTGTGTATTTGTCTGTTTAATCACGGACCTCTGATCAAAACAAACATCTACCAGCATCGATACAATATGTTATGAATGTTAAAAAAAGAAACAAAAAATGCAGCGGATAGAATTTCAATATCAATAAAAGATAGAAAAATATTAAGAAACTACAGAGAGCGTCACTTGAACTCGGCCTCGTACAGCAGCTGGTGTATCTTTAACTTGACGGCGCTCTTCTTGGCGTAAGGCAAGCGTCTGAGATACGGTAATAAACTAAACAAGAACATCTCGTCCTCCAAGTCCTCGTTGGCCTCCATCTGCCATTTCCTCTTGCGTCCCGTTCCCTGCGATCCCGACGCGGAGTAATGCGAGGATCCGTCCAGCATCCCGTGATCCGCCTCAAAGTCCTGGAAGGAGGAGTTCCCGTGCGCCGTCCTCTCCTCCTCCTCCTCCTCCTCTTCCTCCTTCTCCTCCTCGTCTCGGTCCTCCTCCGGCTCGTCTACAGCTAGCGATCGGGACTGGATGAAGGGCGTGAGGAAGGACATCTGCCAGCTGTACTTCCAGCTCCGGTGGGACGTTCCCGACGCTCTCCTGCGCTGCTCGGCACGCTTGTCTTTGATGAACATGTCCCGTAAACTCTTCCATCGTCTGCGACAGTCCTCCTCTGTGAAGAGACACAGCAACATTTACTAGGGCTGTCACTTTTGTGAAGACATCAGTGTTCATTGAATCGATTGTAAAATCGATTTTCCATGTCTAAAGACGTTTCCATTTTCAACTCCAAATACAGGCAAATCCACGGACACCAAACAGGCATTAGGACGAGCGTAAAGAGGCGCTTGAGACGCACAAGTTAGCAATATTTCTGATGATTTATTGGCGTGAAGTTTCGTGCACAATGACAAACAGGAGCGCAACATTCAAGGATTGAAATTAACAGCCTCCAACTCGCCAGATGCGGGTAAAAATGAACTTTGGCGGGAAACGCTGTCGAATCACGAGCCAATCTGGCGTGTTTCTGTGTTTACTCCCTTTGCTGGGGAAGTTCGTGTAAGACAAATCTGCGTGGATTTAGCGCAAATACGCAACTCGTGATCCTCATGATATATTAAATACAGGGTATTGCAGAATCTGCACATTTCTGGCTTCCTTGAACACACACACACACACACGTCACTACGCAACAAATAACGGCGCGCTTGTTCACTTGCATTGAAGTAATAGCGATTATTAAAAAGCATTTGGTTAAGAGAAAAGACAGTGTTATTTTCCAGATTCCTACATGTTCTGTGTGCTGTATTGATCTGTCCACCTAAAACACATTTTTGGTTAAAAAGAAAAAGGCTGTTCAAATCGATTCCCTATTTTCGTTTTCCAAACTTGTGTTGGTTGGTCCAATCGATTGTGCAATCGATTTCCGAACGTAAAGTGACAGCCCTAATATTTACATTAATCTGCTTACTGATATACAGTTATTCACATGCACCAATGCTACATTTTCGAAATGTCATATTTGCTTACACTCAAGTAGGGTCCTGCACGTTAGTGAAGCGATATTCGATATGCGATATTATAATGCTTAAAGTGTGTAAAATTAACTTAAATGATAACACACAGCAGAGGTGTTTCTGAATGAATCCGTGTGAATGAACGACTCAATGACCTGCTAGTTTTATTCCGGTTGTAGAACGGAAGTGAGTGAATGATTCAATGACTCGCCCGTTTAGTTCCTGAATGAATCAGCGTGTTTAAATGAATCGTTTGGGTGGATGAATCATAATGATTCACTCATATCTCATATTGCATTATTTAATGAGTTATCACACTTTTCTTCAATATTTATGAGTGAATCATTATGATTCATCCACCCAAACGATTCATTTAAACACGCTGATAATAATAAATAATAACAGATCACTGTAAATTGTAATATGGACTCATGCATTTTCTGTAAAGCTGCTTTTGAAACGATGTGTATTGTGGAAAGCGCTATACACAAACGTGAATTGAACTGAAATGATGCAGAAAAATGATATGGAATATATAGGGGTCACATGACTTTAATCATCGTCACTGAATAAGACCATGGTTATTTGGTTTTTTTGCATTTTACTGTTTATGCATATGTATACTTAATAATATAATTAACAATATATTTTAAAATAGTCAATACGTAGCGATTTAAGCATATGGATATTTAATAATATAATTTAAAAATACATTTTATGATAATCAATAAGTATTGATTTAAGCACATGTATTTAATAATATGAATACATTTTACAATAAACAAGTGATTTATGCATGTGTTTAATTAATATAATTGACAATAAATCTTACAATAATCAATAAGTAGTTGTAATTTAAGCACAAGTGTATTTAATTAATATTACAATTAACAAGACATTTTATAATAATCAATAAATAGTGATAAGCATAAGTATATTTAATAATATAATTAACCATACATTTTACAATTATCAATAGTGAATTATGCGCATGAACGTTTAATATAAATAACAATAAATCCTAAGTAGTAATTTATGTATATTTAATTAACAAACTTTACAATAATCAATACGTAGCATTTAAAGCATATTAAATTAATAATTAACAAAAAATAAATACATAGTAATTTAAGGCCATGTATATTTAATTATTAATTTAACTATAAATCTTACAATAATCAATATTGATTTATGCATAATACAAATAACATTACTAAAAAAAAATAGTAATTTGAGCACAAGTATAATCAATTAATTATATAATTAAACTTTACAATAATCTATATGTAGCAATTAAAGCATATATGTATATTAAATTAATAATATAATTAACAATTTATAAATATAGTAATTTAAGTGTATGTATATTTAATTATTAATATAATTAACAATATATTACATTTTACAATAATCAATTGTGATGTATGCACAACACATGTATGTCTATTTAATATAATTAACAATAAATCTTACAATAATCAAAAAGTAGTCATTTTAGCACAAGTATATTTAATTAATAATATAATTAAACTTTACAATAATCAATTCAATGTAATTAAAGCATATATATATATATATATATATATATATAAAATTAATAATATAATTAACAATAAATAAATATAGTTATTTAAGCTTATGTATTTTAAATTAATAACTACAATAATCAATAAATAGTGATTTAAGCATGTATATTTAATTTCCTGACAAGTAACAATACATTTTATAACAATCAATCAACAGTAGGCTTGGGTATCGAGTATCGAGTATCGATTGGAACCGGGACTAGGTTTTCGATTTTCCCGGAATCGTTCAAAAGTTTAAATTTCGATTCCTAGTTTCGATTCACAGTCCGCCGACCGGACACGCCCGCGGTAGCAGAAGCGAGGCTGTCTGCTTTGCGAGTGGCAAAACGCATTTTCCAGCTGCACAGCTAGCAGCACTGTGAGTGTCTGGCTCACTCATTGGCTGTGCTGCGGCAACTGCACATCCAATGGTGCGGGCGCCTCCAACGTGTGCACCAATGAGCTAGCATTACATCATACACGTCAGAGCCCGCCAAGGGGGCGTGGCCCGACGCCCCCGAAAAAATAGCCATTATAGCAGCAGTTTACCACAGCTCGCTCGGAGCGATCAATGTCGCTTATATATACTGTAAAACTTCAATTAATGTTAATAATATTTGTTTCAATCACTGAATGAAGTCTGCTATATTTAGGACAAGAGTCGTGACCTTAAATTGCTTGCACAAAACTCTTGATCAGCACTCAACATTTGTTTATTGTTGTTCATTTAAACCGTTATGCGCAGAGAGCGTGAGGGCGAGAGAGAGAGAGAGAGAGAGCCTGCGGTTGAGCGAGAGTGAGGTCTGCGGTCTTGGCCATTAGTTGATTTACTTGTTTTTGTGTAAGTTAATACGTTGTCAAATATGTTTAAACTTAAACTACCTATACAAGTAGTTATGTCTCTTTGTATTAATTTGTCCTATTATTGACGTAATGCGCGTCATTGACAAAATGCGCAACCAGATGTTCGAATATATGTGGTTTCTTTAGAGGGAATATTCGAACGTCATTTTTGAGCAATTTTGACAGCCCTAGGTTAGCCCTGCAGTGGGAGCACGGTAACATGCTCAAGTATCTGCAGCATCATCATACACTCATGTGTAAATGTGTTTTCATGAGGTTTTCAAAAATAAAGCTCTCTTGAGGAAAGTGTACCCCTGTGAAAATATATTCATAATTTATAATATTTATATTCAAGTTCATAGATTTGATATTTATATTGTAGTTGAAAACAGCCCTGTGAGAAATTCATAGTAAAGTTCATAAAAAGTTAAAAGTTCATAGAATTAAAATTGATGGAGTAGGTCAGACTATTTCCTTCAGAAAGACTGTTGGTTAGCTAGCTCATTTAAAATATCCTTATCTTTTTTGACCCCGCCTCTTAAAAGAATCGGAATCGAGAACCGTTAGGAACCGGAATCAAAACAAGGAATCGGAATCGGAATTGGAATCGTTCAAATTCAAACGATACCCAACCCTAATCAACAGTCACTTAAACATATGTATATGTAATTAAAATGACATAAAATGAACAGCAATAAAAGTTTTTTGCATGGAAAATGTCTTGTTTAGACCATAATTTACTAAATGTAAATACTGAATATGTAAAACTTTCCCAGGATATTAAAATAATACATTCAGTAAAGTACTTTTGTAAGTTATGGTCTAAACTGGCATTAATATATGCACACAGCAACAAACAAACATGCATGCATGTACATCATACTTGACAGAAACATTACTTAATATGTAACACTTGGAACATTGTTATTATATTTGAATATACAAAAACAAATATGACTGATGATGCAACTCTGGTTAAACTTAAAATTCTGCCTTTGTGCATCAAAATGAGCAGTTATGCAACTCAAACTTTGGATGAAATCAAAACACACGACTAGTTACAGTGCAGATCAACAAACTCAAAACAACTCAGCTTTTCCTGTGGGAAAGTGTCAAATCTATCCGATTAACCCATCAGATGCATTTGCGACTCAAAAACACGTTGTGTTAGTTGTATGATGATATAGGAACAGTATCCGTGAGATATAGTTTATATCTTCAACCCTGGATTCCTGTGTTAGCCTACTAACAAGCTAACAGCAGATAACTAGCAGTTTAGTTAGGAAGAAACGACGTTAAGAAATATCAACTCTTACCTGGTATTTCAACTTGTAGGCTCACAGCTCTCCATGCTTTGGCTTTTCTAGCAGCGTCTTTATATGAATTTATTGTAGAATTGTATAACTCGGGATAGTCGGACACCGCAGCTATTAACCTCTCCTCCATTGTTGTTAGCATTGGGCGGCAAACGTTATTAGCTAATGACGTTATTAACGGTTATTCCTCCAGAGGGCGCTCGATGGCCCACAATTCCGATTTCTCATTGAGTTGTATTCAAATTTCAACACGGTTTTTATCTTATTGGAAGCATTTGAACAAAAAGTTGTATAATCTTTTTTAATTATTTTTTATAAAAACTGATATGCGCTTCACAATAAGTAATCGGCCATAGCCGTTTCCCTATACAATTTTGTTAAATAATTATTCTCTATTAATCACAAACGGCTGATTGGTTCATAATAACCAGCGCTGAGAAAAGTATCGCGTACCACGTGACACACGTTCGCTTCAGTTGCGTCTTGACGGTGATTTACGTCTGAACGTTGAATTTAAAAGTGATTTAAAATAATAGAATTACCAACTGACGAATCAGAAATAACGTGCCCGCCATTCTAGCCTCTCTATCAGTATCTCTCAGCGATTTATGGCTGATAGAAGTAGCGCGAGGCCCACGCATGCGTACTCTTCAGTCACATACTGCGTTACCGCAGTGCAAGCTGGGAAATGTAGTATGCGTAAGCAGCCTAAAATGGAAAAGGTGTACAACTGTAAAATTAAACAACTATATTTTGTGTTTGAAAATTAAAACAAGTAAGCTTATATGGTCTCTATGAAGAGAGAGCAAATTTAGTTTAATGGTCATAAATGAAACAAGAAACAATACAATGTTACAATTCACATTCTTTTAGATCCATTATTTGTTAAAATTGTATCCTTCATTCTGCTCTCCTTTATATTGTAGTGTTTCTTTCAGGTCCTGTTCATTTGTGGCTCCATACTGTTTACTCTCTATTTTTGACAGATTAATTCTCTCCTCGTTCACGCTGGTGCTTGAAGACAAAACCTCTTCTTCCGTTTCATTCTGCACAAACAAAACACTCAAAGTTATCCATTTAACCATTTACAACCAAACATTTTCACATTTGTAAGTAACATAGTCTTTTAGCCTCTTAAGGCCAGTTCACACCTAGAAAAATAACTATAATGATATCTATATAAGTGTCCAGACCAGCGTACGATAACGTTCTGTTTATTATCATTTCATCTGAAACAGGAAGACAGGGCGGGGCATATCGAGCAGCTCCTCCCCCTTTTAAAATAGCCAATAGCGTTTCGTTTATATCACAGCTCATTAAAGCCACGGTTTCCTCCTAATCTCTCCCCCATATCGCTTTAAAATACAGCATTCTGTGTATAATTCAAAGGATCCGATACGTTTTCTGTTCTGCAGCGACTCGATCACATGACCCGCTCTGTGTATCGTGTCTCTGAACATGAGACTTCACTCCGATTGAAAGCATATTTACACTGTCTGAATCGTTCCCGATCCACTATATAGTGCACTATGTGCCATTCACCAAGATAGTAAATGTGTGAACAAGTGACCGATTTCAGCCGCAGCTTCAGCGTCTATTTATAATGTAGGGGGCGGAGCTTCAGATTCTAGAGAGCATTTGATTGGACAGGAAATCTGATGAGAAGCTGAAGTGCAGTGATGTCATCAAAGTCATTGATCCATATTGGCGGAAGTGAGAGACTGTAAAGTTTTGGACGCTTATATCTTCTAAATGCGATTTTTGTCATTGTTTTGGAGCACACTAGCTTATAGATAACAGTAAGGCTAACATATTCATACTAAAAGACAAAAAACTAAAACTTTGATTTCATGTGGACTTTAAATCAGGATGGATTTTGATTGGCTGATCGTCCTGAAAGTGATTCCAACAGAATCGTTCCTTAGTGTTGCTATAGTTGTGGCATGGACTCTGCTATTGTTTTAAACAATTTTTTTAAATATCTGTTTATCGTTAATATTTATCATCCTCGGTGTGGACTGATCTTTAGTATCTCCAAAATAAAGAATATTTGGGTTCTGTTACTCTGTAAATAACCCTCTTTAAGTTATTTTCGGTTGTAAGTGTAAGAGTGTGTGTGCGTGTGAGAGTGTGTGTGTAAGTGTGAATGTGTGTGTGTGTGTGTAAGTGTATATATGTGTCTGTGTGCATATATGTGTGTGTGTGTGTGTGTGTGTGTCTGTCAGTGTGCATATGTTTGTGTTTGTGTCTGTCTGTGTGTGTGTGTGTGTGTGTGTGTGTGCGTGTGGTGTGTGATAGAGTGTGTGAGTGTGTTACCCTATGTTCTCTGTGATACTGGTCAACAGCATACTGATATTTGGCAGAATTCAGTCCCAGTAAACCGGCCATTTTCTCTCCAAGAAAATCACAAACTATAAAGAAATTAAGTGATTTACTATATGATTACATACAATATTTGTGACATAAAGACTGTCTGGGATGTATTGTACTAAAAAGCATAATTCCTTTAGAAAAAAAGACACAATGACCTTTGAAATAAAAGTACTTCTTACATCGCAAAGACTTTCTCAAAATCTGCGTTCCCCAAAACCGAGAATAATCCCTCCATGTCCGGCTTCTCTAGAAGGTCAAAATACGAAACAACCTTTGATTATTGTCATACCTGACAGATTTTAGAAACTGTCTATTATTACTCATCCACACTGACCGGGTCGGAAGCACTGGGCTCTTGATGAAGATGATGCTGAGCCTCCTCTTCCTCGGTCAGAGTCTCTCCGCTGGAGAAGTGAATCACCTTCACCTCTCTGACGTCTCCCGTCGGCTCCTGCACATCACCATTGTTATTATGGAGTATTGTATAATAAATGATTTATCCGTGCACATTAGATTCATGCACTCTTGTAATCTTGAATCAGAATAACTTCCCTCTTCTCTTCTCTGATGATGTGGGCGGGGCAACCTGTCACTCACATGAGATCAGCCAATAGCAAACCACCACCATCCAATCAAATTCCACACAGACAAAATCAAGCCCCGCCCACATTTGTTCTTGTTCCAGAAGCGTTTCACTCGGATATCCGACACAATAGGAGAGAAAAGACTAACCTCTGTTTCATGCTGACTTTAACTTATAAACAATGTTGCAGCTGTATTTTTCTTCATCTATTCTTTTTCAGATATTTATATATATAGATATATATCAGATACAAGGGCATTTAAGCATTGTTTTGTTCTCTCCTTTACAATCAAAAACTATTTAGGCCTAAATTTAAGATGTATGTATTTGATAGCATATACATTTTCCATTCATTTGAATGACACAGTTTTAACAAACTATAGTGATGCATATTTGTCAGTCATAAATAAGTGAAACAAGTACATTTAACATTTAGCACTCAAAAAATGACAGTTTATTACTAACTATATGCATTTATTTGATTTGAACTCAATCATATTTTAAACATTTATTTAAATTGCTTATTTCATTGTGAAAACTATTTTTTTATTCAGTTAAAAAGTATGAATGTGGTTAAAATATGGCTAGCGAAGCAATATTCAATTCAAATGTATATGAGATTAAAACAAATTGCACATTAAGTAAATTAGTTTATGTTAAAACTGTGTAATCCGAATGCAATTCAAATACATACACAACCGTTCAAAAGTTTGGGGTCAATCGTTTTTTTTTGTTTATTTTTTTTTAAAGAAATTAATGCTTTTATTCTGCAAGTCTTTATTAAAATGATCAAAAGTGAGAGTGAAGACATGTATAATGTTACAAAAGATTAAGTTTCGATTCTTTTGAACTTTCTATTCATCAAAGAATCCTGAAAAATAAAATGCGTCAGTTTCCACACAAAAGATATGACTGTTTCAACATTGATAATAATCATAAATGTTTCTTGAGCATCAAATCATCATATTAGAGTGATTTTTGAAGGATCATGTGACACTGAAGACTGGAGTAATGATGCTGAAAATTCACAGGAATAAATTACACATGTATATATTCACATAGAAAACTGCCATTTTAAATTGTAATAATATTTCACAATGTTGCGGTATTTTTGATGACATAAATGCAGCTTTAGCAGAAGAAACATTAACCGATCTGAATGTTAGTGTAAACCTTCAATTAAAGCGTATATAGCTCGAGTGTGAAGGTGTTTACTGAGGGCAGGAGCTCCAGTAAGTGTATGTACATTAAATAAAGGCTTGGTTAAAAAGGTAAAACTAGGACAGAAGACAGAGGATCTAATGATTTCCTGTAACTTACGTCTGTATGCATGCTGTGGAATCAGAATCTTCGTGCTTGTTTGGTGAGAATATCTTTTTAAAAAATCCTCAAATAGTGGAAAAGTTATGACACCATCGCAGTCGGCAGAGCGTTTCCTTCACCATCACAGGAGGAAGTCAGTTTCATGTACACGGATGTTGTTTATCTAACTAAGTACTTATGTAGACAAGACCTGGGGCCTGTAGCATGAAGCCGGTTTAGGTGGCTAGTCAGGTGTGTTTTAGTTTAGTTGGCGCCAACCCTGGGTTTTAGGCAGCATGAAAGTGGTTTGGCTTTTAGCAGTGTTCATCGCCATAGTAACGAACTCTCCACGGCTAACCTGGTCCGGGACAGGTGATGTTGGACCAATCAGCTGTGAGCAAAGTGTCACATGTCTGATGCGATAAAGTCACTTCACCTGTTTCCACTCCAAACTCAAGATCACTACATAGAAAATTATTTTTAAAGACAAAATCGTCTGGCTTTTAGTAACTCTGATTTAGATATTTATGTAATTATTAATCGATCACACAATTTTAGTTTATCAATTATTATTATGCAGTTTAAATGAATAAATATATAAAGGTAATATAAATACGCTTTAGAATCAATAGATAAAGCTATAAAATGCCTACATGTGAGCTTAAATGTTCAATTCTCTCTATACCTTTATCAACTGTATAAAGTAACTTCACGACTTTAACTTGCACTGATATAGGAAGACTTTCTTTTAGTTGTCCTCTTTCATAGACGGCTATTTTCTTCTTGCTGTGTAGATTTGTTTAAATTCTGAATATTTTTCAATCTCGTAATATTCTGCAGAAGAGAGAAGTGAATCTCGTTGCTTCTCTCGCGAGAAACGAATCGCAGTTTCACTCTTTCTCAGCATGTGATTGGCTGTTCGCTACTGATGTCACACCTAAACTCAGTCTCAACATGTGATTGGCTGTTCGCTACTGATGTCACACCTAAACTCAGTCTCAGCATGTGATTGGCTGTTCGCTACTGATGTCACACCTAAACTCAGTCTCAGCATGTGATTGGCTGTTCGCTACTGATGTCACACCTAAACTCAGTCTTAGCATGTGATTGGCTGTTCGCTACTGATGTCACACCTAAACTCAGTCTTAGCATGTGATTGGCTGTTCGCTACTGATGTCACACCTAAACTCAGTCTCAGCATGTGATTGGCTGTTCGCTACTGATGTCACACCTAAACTCAGTCTCAGCATGTGATTGGCTGTTCGCTACTGATGTCACACCTAAACTCAGTCTTAGCATGTGATTGGCTGTTCGCTACTGATGTCACACCTAAACTCAGTCTCAGCATGTGATTGGCTGTTCGCTACTGATGTCACACCTAAACTCAGTCTCAGCATGTGATTGGCTGTTCGCTACTGATGTCACTCCTAAACTCAGTCTCTGCATGTGACTGGCTGTTCGCTACTGATGTCACACCTAAACTCAGGATCAGCATGTGATTGGCTGTTCGCTACTGATGTCACTCCTAAACTCAGGATCAGCATGTGATTGGCTGTTCGCTACTGATGTCACTCTTAAACTCAGTCTTAGCATGTGATTGGCTGTTCGCTATTGATGTCACACCTAAACTCAGTCTTAGCATGTGATTGGCTGTTCGCTACTCATGTCACACCTAAACTCAGGATCAGCATGTGATTGGCTGTTCGCTATTGATGTCACTCCTAAACTCAGTCTTAGCATGTGATTGGCTGTTCGCTACTGATGTCACACCTAAACTCAGGATCAGCATGTGATTGGCTGTTCGCTACTGATGTCACACCTAAACTCAGTCTTAGCATGTGATTGGCTGTTCGCTATTGATGTCACTCCTAAACTCAGTCTTAGCATGTGATTGGCTGTTCGCTATTGATGTCACTCCTAAACTCAGTCTTAGCATGTGATTGGCTGTTCGCTACTGATGTCACTCCTAAACTCAGGATCAGCATGTGATTGGCTGTTCGCTACTGATTTCACACCTAAACTCAGTCTCAGCATGTGATTGGCTGTTCGCTACTGATGTCACACCTAAACTCAGGATCAGCATGTGATTGGCTGTTCGCTACTGATGTCACACCTAAACTCAGTCTCAGCATGTGATTGGCTGTTCGCTACTGATGTCACACCTAAACTCAGGATCAGCATGTGATTGGCTGTTCGCTACTGATGTCACACCTAAACTCAGTCTCAGCATGTGATTGGCTGTTCGCTACTGATGTCACACCTAAACTCAGGATCAGCATGTGATTGGCTGTTCGCTACTGATGTTACACCTAAACTCAGTCTCAGCATGTGATTGGCTGTTCGCTACTGATGTCACTCCTAAACTCAGTCTCACCATGTGATTGGCTGTTCGCTACTGATGTCACACCTAAACTCAGTCTCAGCATGTGATTGGCTGTTCGCTACTTGTGTAGAGCATAATAATGTTGATAAACTTGTATCGCCAGTATTACAGAAAGAAGTATGTATGATTTGAGGAATCATATCTAGAGCACAAAACAAAACAAGCAATGCCACATACAGTTAACACACATTTTAATGGGAAAAACCATTAAATGTATGACAGTGAGTTACATGTTGACATCATAATCGGCGGGTATATTCGATGATGAATACATATCCATACGACTGCATAGATGGAAAAAGAAATAATTACAAAAACTAAATGCAACCCTTGGAGTGTCATTTTACAAACGCTGAAGAACGTCCTGTTCTCGGCAGAATTGTGTTAAATAAATATACAGCAAAATATCTGACAATCATTTACTCTTAATAAGTACATGAACTCTTGAGTTTCAATGTGTCTGAATCATGTCTGAGTTAGAGTTAGGGAGCGAAATAACAAGCGGAATACAGTTTCTGTAACATCCTGCAGCTTTTTAGTGATCATTTCTGTGCTTATTCAGTGCGAGCGTTCTTCTAAGCACCAGTGTCGTATTTAATAACTTAAAGATGGTGGAACTTATGCGGACAAACGTCAGTGTTGAGCATACAGAAAAATAATAAAAACAACAGAACGATCAAATCAAACCTGCACAAAACCACTGGGAAATGGCAGCGAGACATGAGGTTCGTCCAACTCTCACAACCATCCATATTTGGATTATTTGGACAGGTTTCAAATCAGAAGCAAATGAAAATATGACTGTAAATATATACACGTATGGAAACGACGTCCACTGAAAGCTGATATTAGAGATGGTGAGATTATAATCAGACGTTAGTTCTCTGATCTGGGACGCTTTCATCAAATTAACAAAATTAACCGATTTTAACATGAGCTTGTCCTCTCTTCCCACGAACAAATATTAATCATACAGCAGATATTTCATGTGCTAAAAGTGAGTTACAGGTAATAATCTGGGTAATATCCACTTCTGTTTAGTGAAGTTCACAATAATAGTCAAGAAATTATATTTTGCATTAAGCCTATTTTTTAGACCCCTATTTATTATATTAAGACAGAATTATATATATATATAGTGGCTGTCAAATAGATTAATCAAGATTAACCGCATCTAACACAAAACTTTGCATTTATATAATGTGTGCATATATACATATACACAAACACACACACATATATATATATATATATACACACAGATATCATATAAACACAAACTTTTATGTTAGATGCGATTAATCGATTTGACAGCCCTTACATATATATATATATATATATATATATATATATATAGCAATGTCTTAATACAGAAGATTAATGGTTTTAAAATGGTTTTAGACGGGGTAAAATATGACATTTCTGTTTGAAATTTACTCAGTTTAAAGACTGTTAAACATTAGCATTTGTGTTGAGCAATGGATCATTAACCAGCATCAACATGAATAGCCAAATTATAAACATTAAGAGAATTTTTTTTTTAATTCAGTGACCTATAGAAGTTATTCTCTAATCATTGGACCCAATAAACCCTTAATATCTCAATAAAATCGGTATTCTGCTACAGAAAGATAATCAAGTGCATATCAAATGATCACATAATTCAGATTCAGTCTGGGTTATTAGGATTAATTCTTCATCAGACTCACTCAATCGTTCATTAGAACATCTGTCGTTTGTAGTTAAAACACCTTAAAGAGAATCCGAGCACGAGACAGACGCCACTGTTATATCACTATGTTATATTGTTATATATTTGCGCGTGGAGAGAATGACGATTGAAGATGACAGACTCCTCTAGACATCATGTTCACCTGTCCATCGACACCATTAAGAGACGACGCAGCCCGTGTCTGTCTGTGGCTTCAGGTCCGGCTCCTTCACTGGCTTGATCTCCTCGTCATGCTTCGCTTTAGGCTGGAAGGAGGAAACAATTTTAGAGCTTCAGCCGGTAAACAAGGGACATTATGACAGTTGGTGTCCAGAGATACAGAGTGCTATCTATAATAACAAGTGCAATATCACATGAGTGCTGTTTTTACCCGCAAAAGTGATTTCTTTTTTTCAACAGTTTAATAAATTAGTTACTAGTAAATTTTGCCAACGAAAATATTACCTATAAAGCCAGAACAGAACAGTTGTGCATCTCAGAGTAACACAGCGGTGCTTCGTTTCTGACCGAATCAGCGTTTTGAGCGAATCAATCGGGTAAACCAATGATTCAATGACTCATTCATAAAGAGAGCCATTTAGATCACACCTGAATTAATCGGAGAATCGAATGAATGAATGATTCAATGACTCATTCATAAAGAGTGCCATTTAGTTCACTCCTGAATTAATCAGAGAATCGAATGAATGAATGATTCAATGACTCATTCATAAAGAGAGCCATTTAGTTCACTCCTGAATTAATCAGAGAATCGAATGAATGAATGATTCAATGACTCATTCATAAAGAGAGCCATTTAGTTCACTCCTGAATTAATCAGAGAATCAGATGAATGAATGATTCAATGACTCATTCATAAAGAGAGCCATTTAGTTCACTCCTGAATTAATCAGAGAATCGGATGAATGAATGATTCAATGACTCATTCATAAGAGAGCCATTTACTTCACTCCTGAATTAATCAGAGAATTGAATGAATGAATGATTTAATGACTCATTCATAAAGAGAGCCATTTAGTTCACTCCTGAATTAATCAGCGAATCGAATGAATGAATGATTCAATGACTCATTCATAAAGAGAGCCATTTAGTTTACTCCTGAACAAGCGTGCCGCACAAGCCCTCAAAAGTGAAGCCAAAACGTCTCGATCGCCCCCCGGTGACCGGTCCTAGTATAGGTCATAAGCCCCGCCTCCCCATGTTATTCAACGGGACGTGAGACCAACTAAATAATTAAATTACACTTCACATATCTTTTTTCTAAAGATAGTTTCTGTCATTTACTGTAGTTTCTATCACGTTGATGTAATTTCAAGTGTTTGTTTTTAAAATAAGTTAGTTTTTAGTTAGCTATTTGATGCTATAAAAACGGTGCTGTGACATCATGATTGACAGCTGTGATTGACAGGTTCTCTGTGCGAAGTAGTCACTGAAGTACTAACAGACTTTTTTTCTTAATGTTGACTATGTGGTTATTAGTTGTATTTATCTTATTTTAACGAGGTACTGCAATCAGCAGACATCATTGGAGAGGAACGGAGCAGACAAGGCCACTTAAGAAAAGTGCAGGGGCGTGTACTTACGATTGATTCAGCGAGAGTGGGGGCGGGGCCTTGATTTCGCGGCTTTACTTCCTGCTCACGACTGCGCATGACTGGTCCCGAAAACGCTACTGCGCAGACTCAAGTTCCAATATGTCAGCGCCATATCGGGACACTGGCGGCTTCAGTTCTCTCCAATGGAAAAGAACGAAGGGGCATCGTCCATCTTTTTTTACAGTCTATGCTCCTGAATTAATCAGAGAATCGAATGAATGAATGATTCAATGACTCATTCATAAGAGAGCCATTTACTTCACTCCTGAATGAATCAGAGAATCGAATGAATGAATGATTCAATTACTCATTCATAAAGAGAGCCATTTAGTTCACTCCTGAATTAATCAGAGAATTGAATGAATGAATGAATGATTTAATGACTCATTCATAAAGAAAGCCATTAAGTTCACTCCTGAATTAATCAGAGAATCGAATGAATGAATGATTCAATGACTCATTCATAAAGAAAGCCATTTAGTTCACTCCTGAATTAATCAGAGAATCGAATGAATGAATGATTCAATGACTCATTCATAAAGAGTGCCATTTAGTTCACTCCTGAATTAATCAGAGAATCGAATGAATTAATGATTCAATGACTCATTCATAAGAGAGCCATTTACTCCACTCCTGAATTAATCAGAGAATTGAATGAATGAATGATTTAATGACTCATTCGTAAAAAAGCCATTTACTTCACTCCTGAATTAATCAGAGAATTGAATGAATGAATGATTTAATGACTCATTCATAAAGAAAGCCATTTACTTCACTCCTGAATTAATCAGCGAATCGAATGAATGAATGATTCAATGACTCATTCATAAAGAGAGCCATTTAGTTCACTCCTGAATTAATCAGCGAATCAAATGAATGAATGATTCAATGACTCATTCATAAAGAGAGCCATTTAGTTCACTCCTGAATTAATCAGAGAATCGAATGAATGATTCAATGACTCATTCATAAGAGAGCCATTTAGTTCACTCCTGAATTAATCAGCGAATCGAATGAATGAATGATTCAATGACTCATTCATAAGAGAGCCATTTACTTCACTCCTGAATTAATCAGAGAATCGAATGAATGAATGATTCAATGACTCATTCATAAGATAGCCATTTACTTTTAAATGGCGGCAGTGGCTCAGTGGTTCATGTAGGTTGTCTACAAACCGGAAGGTTGGTGGTTCAATCCCCGGTTCCACCTGACCAAGTGTCGAGGTGTCCATGAGCAAGACACCTAACCCCAGCTGCTCCTGACGAGCTGGATGGCGCCTTGTATGGCAAAATGTAAAGCGCTTTGGTGGCCATTGGGTCTGTGAAAGCGCTATATAAATGCAGTCCATTTACCATTTTTACCATTTACTTCACTCCTGAATTAATCAGAGAATCGAATCAATGAATGATTCAATGACTCATTCATAAAGAGAGCCATTTACTTCACTCCTGAATTAATCAGAGAATCGAATGAATGAATGATTCAATGACTGATTCATAAGAGAGCCATTTACTTCACTCCTGAATGAATCAGCGAATCGAATGAATGGATTCAATGACTTACTTATTTAGACATTTACCGCCACCTACTGGAAGTTTTAGACTATCATTTCGTTAAAAAAATTATTTCATATTTCCATACTTTAAAAGGGACAGTTCACCCAAAAATGCTAATTCTACAATCATTTACTTACTCATGTCGTTTTAAACTTGAATGACTTTCTTTTTTTTCAAAACATTTTGAAGAACCATTGACCATTTTATGAACAAAACAAAACAACACATTTCTGGGACAATTCTCAAATGATCTTCTTTTATGATATATATATATATATATATACACACACACACACACACACACACACTGAGACTCAAACCTGAGACCTTTGGGTTACAAGTCCAACTCTGTGTGTGTGTGTGTGTGTGTGTGGACTGTGTAAATGCTCTTATTTGTGGGAAGGGAAAGATCTCCTCACCTTGTCGTCTTTCGGTCCTCTGGTAAGGTCAAAGGTGGCGTAGACTTCAGGTGTGCACTGAGCGCTGAGAGCCGGGAGCTCGAACGGAGTCGGTTCAGCCAAACCATAGCTAGCCTTCAACTCCAGAGCAGGAGCTTCAGCGGGAACCTTGTGGAAGTAACTGACACAGAAATTCAGCCGTGAAAAATTTGTTTTCTATGAAGCTTTTTTTTTAATCATACTGTTAAAACAAGTGTTAAGGAGGACCTATTATACCCTTTTACAAAGTTTACCCTACTAGAATAGGTTTTTATGCTTTATTTTTTTTAAAACACCATATTTTTCACAAGTTTGATATTGTTGCGGCTCCTCTCTTCCCAGTCTGTCAGTAACGCTCTGTTTAATTCCTGTCTCTATGAAGCCCCTCCTTCTGAAAAGCACACTGTGCTCTGATTGGTCGGCTGGATCAGTGTTTTGTGATTGGTCGAGCGCTTCGAGTGTGTTTGGGAAATGTCCCGCCCCTTACCATAACCGCCAGTTTAACACACTACTAACTAACTCAACCAGGCCCCGCCCCTTTATTCTGCATATGAATTATTTAAATGAGGAATATTGTGACGTGTTTGTGACTCAAGAGTACAATGGAGGCGTTTCAGGAGTTCAGAAACACTGACACTGATATAGAGAAGAACTCCCGCTGGAGGGACTTTGTGCTCAAACAGCAACATTACACACTAAAGAAAGATGAACATGTGAAAAAGGATAATAGGTCCTCTTTATATTTTCTCTGGATGTTGGTTGACTCACATGAAGCCGTTCTCTCTCTGGCATTTCTCCAGGGTGTTTTTGATGAACGAGCCCAGTTTCTTAAAGAAGAGCTGCTCCGAGGGTTTGGCGGTGCTGCCGGGACCCTTCATCTGACGGTACTCTTTACACAAGGCTTCAGCGCGCGAGTAACCTACCGCCATTACAACCATTAAAAGAAGGATTTCACACATGTGATTTAACTATTAACTCTTTCCCCGCCATTGACGGAATTTTCCGGCTTTCCGAGTTTTCACTGTTATACGGTAGGGGGCGCTATTACACATCTAATGAAAGATTACTGAATCTCCTGATCAAAACACAGGCGAAGAAGAAGTGAAAGAAGCATTCCTAATGCATATGTACACGATCATTTAACATTAAACCCCATTTAAATGTTACTGAATGAAATGTCGACCCAGGACGAGTTACAGGACTGTGAAGCTTTGATGGACTCGATCTACTCCATCTGTGTTTGAATCACCGTTCTGAATCTAATCTGGATGTAGTCTTTGACAAAAACATGATTTTTTTCAGCTTTTTGCTCAAAATGTTGCTTTTTTAATGAAACTTACCCACATTCAAGTGTTAATAAAAGAATGCATGCGGGTCTGTTCTTTTTGATATATTGCATGTTTTGATATATTGCAACTAAATAATCTTGGGGCCATGAAACGTTTGTGCAAATGGTCAAAAACGCTGGCAGGGAAAGAGTTAAAAGCTCTAAATATTCAGAAACTACAAGTCATCACAGCATCATTTTGCTAAAATACATTCAACCTTTTCAGACAATTATGAAGAAGAATGAAGCATTTTTACTATTACAGCATAAAATTAGTTTTTACTATCAATGTTAAAAATAACTGAATATCTTTGAATATAAAATATGGCTAACACTACAATAAGGTGTCATTTGTTAGCATTAGTCAATGCATTAAACTAACAACGAGCGAAATATTTTTACCTTGTTAATGAAAATGTTCGTTCACAGTGCATTATCTAATGTTAACATATACAACTTTTGAACTTAATAAGTGTCACCAAAATATGTCCACTAAAATACCCAACTGTATTGACTGAAATGTCTGATACTTTAATGTGGGATTTATCTTTGCGTACATTTCTCCGCCTCCTGCAGGGATCTGATGGCCTCTCCACATTTATCACCCGCAAGAAGAGTCTGTCCATGATAGCAGTGTGCCTGCCAATCAAATCAATCAAACAGGAACATATTTATTGCACTAGTGTTGCCAAATGTTGAAAATCCAAACATTCAACTCGTCTGTCATCGTTCAAACTAACAGAAAGTCCCGCCTCAAACTAAAAGCATTTGCTTGAGTCAATATTAAATGTTAAAATGCCCCTATTATGCGATTTTAAAGGTTCCTAATTTAGTTTTTTTTTTGTTTTCAGGTTTACATGATTCCAAGGTCAAAACTTTTTAATTTTCTCATAATATACACTGCAGCATCAGCTCTTTTTTGCAGAGTCTCAAAACAGTTTGTTTGAAGATTCAGTCTCTCTAAGCCCCGCCTCTCCGAGAGCCTGCTCTGCTCTGATTGGTCAAATTCCCAGTCTGTTGTGATTGGTCGAAACTGCCATTACCATATCTGAATTTCAGCTCTTTCTCAGCGCTTGATACACACAGTGATACGAACAGTAATCAATTCTCAATCAATTCTAGCGCAAGTTCTAATCCTTTTTAAGTGATTTTACTTTCGCAGCACAGAAAACATGAACGAGTTCTTCTCGACATGAACAACACGAACCAAACTCTTCCAGTCTCAGCTACAACTACAGTGTTTGAGGGCGGGGCAAAGCAGACGCTGTTCAGCCAATGAAGACCAGAGGCTGGCATTATGCAAATTTGTTACAAACCTATGTAGATTCGAGCTAGAAGTGAGACTGGAATTACTGACGACTCGTTTCAGGCATTTCAGAATCGCCTCGTTCTTTTGGTACACAATATCTACATTTATCTGCACTTGTGACTTGTGACCAGTGATGGGAATAACGGCGTTATAAATAAACGCGTTACTAACGGCGTTTTTCTTTTTCAGTAACGAGTAATCAAACGAATTACTGTTTCCCCCGTTACAACGCCGTTACCGTTACTGATAATAAAATGCGGCGTTACTATAGCCTAATTGAGCTCACTGAAGCGGTTTTCATCCGAGTCGGCTCTCTCTCCGCCATAGGACCTGCAAAGTTTTTTCTCTGGTGTGTGTGTGTGTGTGTGTGTTTATGAGGCGCCGGACTGGACAAAAGTGAAGCGAACGTCGCAAGCAATGTGCGAGAGAGACCGAGCGTGTCCGAGAGCACGCTCGACAGTGTGCGAGAAAGACAGAGGGTGTCCGAGCATTATACATATATATAATAATAATAATAATAATAATTCATTACATTTATATAGCGCTTTTCTAGGCACTCAAAGCGCTTCACATGGAAGGGGGAATCTCCTCAACCACCACCAATGTGCAGCATCCACTTGGATGATGCGACGGCAGCCATAGTGCGCCAGAACGCTCACCGCACACCAGCTTACTGGTGGAGAGGAGACAGAGTGATGAAGCCAATCAGTGTATATATATATATATTAAATATTAATCTATTATGTTTTATTGTTCTACTATAGTAATGATACTATTTAAAATAATATATTGAATTTAATAGGTGTATCTCACATTGTCACACAGCAACATTACAATAGTGTAGATTAGTGTACAATGTATTATAATAATAATTTATTCTATTTAGTGTCCATTTCATTAATTTAACATAATTATTATTGGGGGCATCCAAGTTATTTGACATAGGCCTATTTGAACATTTAAAAAAAAAGAAGTAACGCAATAGTTACTTTCCCTGGTAATTAGTTACTTTTATAATGATTTAACTCAGTTACTAACTCAGTTACTATTTGTGAGAAGTAACTAGTAACTATAACTAATTACCTTTTTTAAGTAACATGCCCAACACTGACTTTGACCTTTTACATTCACAAACAGCTTTATTACACTCTACATGAAAGGGAATATCGTTGCACAAAGCACTTAAGACTCTGACTATCTTAAAGGTGCTCTAAGCGATGTCACGCGTTTTTTAGGCCAAAACATTTTTTGTCACATACAGCAAACATGTCCTCACTAACCGCTGGCTGCCTGTCCCCTGAACACACTGTAAAGAAACGCGATCTCTGTAGACAGCCCAGGCTCCACAAACAGCAACAAAAACAAACTGCGGCGACCCGCTCCCCGAAACATAACAAACTGTTCCAGCCAATCACCGACAAGAAGGGTTTGGGGGGTTAGTGTGCGGATGAGGAGGAGGGAGGGTCTAGCTAGCCTCCGTTTTGTTTGACAATAGTTAGAATGTCAACAAGAAGTGACGTCACCCAGGATCGCTTAGAGAACCTTTAAGTAGGACTACACTGCAATGCATTCTGGGTAAAATAAGACACTTTTCTAAACAAAAAACATGGCAGATCTAGTAAGTTTACCCCAGCGGAAAATATGTGTTTGTTGGAGGAGTATAACAGTTACAAGGACATTTTACTTGGGAAATTCAGCAGAGAATGTAGTAACAAGAAGAAATGTTTCATTTGGAAAGGTCCATTTTTCCCTTTTCTTTCGGCTGTTTGTAATGTAACTGATTGTTACTGTTGGTTGCCAAGGTAACAGATATGCTGCGTTCACAATGTTTGTAATGTAACTGATTGTTACTGCTGGTTGCCAAGGTAACAGAGTCTTAGCCCTAAGTTATTCTGGGGGAAAGGTGTCTAATTTTTTTGTCTAAATTAAGTCTTTATTTTTGTGAAACAGTCTAACTTGCATTAGACTAGTCTATGAGCAAAATTTAGACCGGTCTAAAATAGCTTTGTGAAACCGGCCCCTGATGGACTCACATAAGCCATGTAGAAGTGTTGCTTCAGCTGCAGGTATTTCTTCCATTTACTGCTGCATTCTGGATCCAAAGTGTTCAGAGTGTGATCTGAAAAAGAATATGAAAAATAATCTTCTAAATAATGTATAATGTCTTATTATAAGGCTCTCTGAAGTATTTGATTAATATTTCTGAACAAATGCTCTCATGTGTCCTGCTGGACTTTATAACATAAAATAATTATATAAATTCACGTCAATATTCCATGTGTATTTTTTGGGGGTAAGATGACAATTTTTAGATAAATTCTTATACATTCCAGATAAGATTATGGTAATTAAGTACAACAAGCATGAGCAATTCGTTTCTGTCTGTTCATAGTGCATTTATTAATCTTAACAGATACAACTAATGCATTAATAAATGTTGAAATTAACATTAACTACGGTTAATAAATGCTGTAGAAGTATTTTTATTTCATGTTATATAGTTAACATTAAAGTAAAAACAGTAATATTGCGAAATATTGTGAGTTGAGAACTGTTTTCTATGTGAATATATATTAAAACGTAATTTATTCCTATGATCAAAGTTGAATTTTCAGCATCATTACTCCAGTCTTCAGTGTCACATGATCCTTCAGAAATCACTCTAATATGTTGATCTGATGCTCAAGAAACATTTCTCATTATTATCAATATTGAAAACATTTTTGTGGAAAAAATATACATTTTCAGGATTCTTTGATGAATAGAAAGTGCAAAAGAACAGCATTTATTTGAAATATAAATAATTTGTAACATTACAAATGTCTATAGTCACTTTTGATTCATTTAATTTCTTTCCAAATGATCCCAAACTTTTGTATATATAACAATAAATATACACTCCCACATTTGCCAATTATAATGCAGAATTAAAGGGACAGTTCACCCAAAAATGAAAATGCTGTCATCATTTACTCACCCTCAACTTGTTCCAAACCTGTATGAGTTTCTTTCTTCTGCTGAACATTAAAGAATGTCAGTTGACAGTAGCCATTGACTTCTATACAGTATTATTTTCCTACTATGGAAGTCAATGGGGTCCAACAACCGTCTGATTACAAACAGTCTTCAAAATATCTTCTTTTGTGTTCAGCAGAAGAAAGAAACTCATACAAGTTTGGAACAATTTGAGAGATAGGTTAATGATGATAATTTTCATTATTGAGTGAACTGTCCCTTTAAACAGAGAAAGGTTGATTAAACAGAGTCAGTATTAAACCTACCGGCCTTTTGGTAGAAGTTTGCCGTTTCGAATGCCAGCGCTGCGATGAGGGAGGCGTTGTGCTTCAGCTCGATGGCTCTGGCAATGGTCACTAAAAACACACACACACATGAACCGTCACACACACACACACTTGATTATTTTATTTGGAATGACCAATACTGATTAAAACAACACAGCATCCAAATATTCACAAAGAGCCTGTTATGTTTCACCTGACAATACACACATCGACAATTGTCACAACCACATGAATATATAAATAAATAGGCTATGGATAGAGGTGACATCGCCTTCTCCAAACATGCAGACTGCCTATGATTGCTGACACACACACACACACACACACACATGCAGACTGCCTATGATTGCTGACACACACACACACACACACACACATGCAGACTGCCTATGATTGCTGACACACACACACACACACACACACACACACACACACACACACACACACACACACACACACACACACACACACACACACACGTAGACTGCCTATGATTGCTGACACACACACACACACACACACACACACACACACACAGAACAGTATTTTGCTATTTGCTTAGAGGTCTTTTTACTCAGTCCAGCAATTTGCAGACCTCTGACGCATAATCTGTGCACATGTCCTAGATTTGATTGATTGATTGATTTGTTTATTTAAAGGGGTGGTATAGTGCCCTTTTCACAAGATGTAAAATAAATCTCTGATGTCCCCAGAGTGTGTTTATTTTAGCTCAAAATATTCCACAGATATTTTTATATAGCATGTTAAAGTTGTCACTTTTTGAGCGTGAGCAAAATCGCCTCGTTTTCTGTCTGGTCCTTTAAATGCAAATGAGCTGCAGCTCCCGGCACAGGGGGCGGAGCTTCAAGAGTGGGTGTGTTAGCAGCTCTGATTACCTAAAATGTCAGAAACTGTTCTGCCTTTTATGTTTAAACCGGAGTCAGACAAAGATGGAGAGACTAAGAAGAAGTGACAACATGTAGAATGCAACAAGAAATCTCTGAATGGTTAGTTGATGAATTTATGTTGCTGATGTGGAGTTGACTATCTTTAATTAGCATATTCTATCAGGATAATCAATAAATCGCTTGTATATGAACTGTTGTGAGATGCACACAGAGTGACTACAACAGCTCTTCCTCTTCTCAAAATGGACTGCGTGTTCCTGGGGGCGGGGCTTATGTAAATTTTAGGGTTAGTGATGTCACTAACCCGGGAGGAAGCTCGTGTAGTTCCTACCAGCCGTTTGTTGTAGTCCTTAAAAAACGATTTCTTTAAAAGCAAATATCTCCCTTTGCTTTGAACTTTGTAACTTTGCAGATGTCGTTTACGCTCAAACAGCAACATTACACACTAACTACAGTTAGAAAAGTGAAATCATAATCAACCACCCCTTTAAGTGTCAAACACCATGGAGCCCAGCCCTCATAGGCTTATTAGACACTACAGTAATAATTTCACAAATATCTCCAAGTACCCACGTGACATAACACAGAACCCAACATAGCATAACAAAACCACTAAAAATAACTACACATACAAATAGAGATGGCTTTTTATATGGGATACAAAATACTTTGCCGCAGATAACAGGCCTTTTCTATACATTTTGCCAAAGCAAAAACATCATTTTCAAACAGCCAGCACAAAATCTCCCCTTCATATTTCCAAAATATATCAGGATTTTTTAACTGAATTGATTCAAAAAGAGAGTTCCACGTTAAATCACAGTATAAAAGACAATAAAAAACTAAATGAAATTTATCTTCGTGTGTCCTAGACTACCAAAGATTAGGATGATCAGTTTTGTGCTGTAAACACACACTGCTAAAGCATTTGTTAATGACTGGTATTTTAACATTTTCTCAGAAAAACACAAGTCCATGTAAGCATCAAAACAACAACCCACTTCAGAATGTTTTTAGAAAGTTCATTGACAACTACAATGTCTGGAGTATTTGGATTTTCTCTGAGGACACTTCGTAGAGTTTATCATTCAGATTTGAAAACCATTTGTATGTAGGGGTGTGCGATATATATCGTCTGCGATAATATCGTAATTGTTATTTTAACGATGTGACATTATCGAGTACAGCCTATCCCTCACACACACACACACACACAGAGATTAGACTAGTGCGGGTGCGCATTTAGAGCGCGCACTTTCACTGCGTAATTTAGTCATTAGTATTTTAGTATTTATATAATTTAGTAATAAATATCACAAGAGTGTAGTTTTCTCCAAATATCAGCATGATAACAAATGTTATATTGATTATATACAAGTTTAATAAACAAGAAGGTAATATTAAAGGGGTCATATAATGGTACATGCACTTTTACAAGTTGATTGTACTGAAATGTGTGTTGGCAGTGTCTGTACACAACCATCATATAATGACAAAAATCCATCCAGTGTTTTTGTTTTAATCTCCTTATATGTTTTCACCTGCCTCAAATCGAGCCGTTCGACCGTGTGACGTCACTATATCGGACGCCCCTCCCGCGATTGTTGACTGACAGCAGTGTTTCAACACAGACCCACCCTCGCTCGTGAGCGAGCTGTCATCACAGTTCGTCATTGATACGCTGGAGCAGAATGGCGTCTAAGCGATTGTGGTGTTCTGTTCTTGGGTGTAATAACGAACACAGCAGTCATTTTAATGTTCCTAAATCCAAACCGCTGAAGACGCAGTGGCTGAGTTTTGTTTTCGAAGGGAATATTCCCCACGAGCAACGTCAATGCGTTCATGTTTGCGCTAATCATTTCTCACCAGACTGCTTTATAAACAAGGATCAGTATAAAGCTGGTTTTGTTAAGAAGCTGCTCCTGAAAAAAAAATCGGTGGCAACTATTTATGTTCCCTCTGCACCTCCAGAAGAAGTGAGTGTAAAGTTTTATTAACCTTTATATTAATCTTTGCAAATCGCGAAAAAAAGTTTTTCGTGACCATTAGTTGTAACGTCAATCTGTCAATGAACTAACGTATACATCAGTAAACACACAGCGTTTGTATCTCACTACTCTACCCTGCCAGTACGCACAAAAATAGATCAAAGTGACATTACGTTAACCAACCATTCAGAAACGTCCTGTTCGAGCCTTTATTGTCGAACTTCTTTGCGGCCGTCATCTTGTTCCGGGTCGTGCTGAAAACAGAGCTGTTTTTGACCAGGTAAAATGAGTGTTTTCTTAAAATACTAATGAGAATTTTTAATAAAAGTATATTACAAAGTTTTTATTTAGACCCTAAACATTCATATTAACTTGTACAAAAATGGCATTATATGACCCCTTTAAGTGACTTACATTTTAGACACCATATTCCCTGTTTTTGCTCTATTTGGCGAACGAAAATAGTTCAAAACAAAGCCACACACGGCGGTGTTTCTTACTGAATGAATCAGCCGTTTGAATGAATCGGTTGAATCTAAATGATTCGCTCATTAACAGTGACTCGCTGGCACCTACTGGCGCTTTCAATTTCACATTGAAAGTACCGGTATCTTTTCTTGTTTTAAATCATTTTAAATATCAATATTCTGAAATATCTGAAAATATCAATATTGCAAAGATTACTTTTGTTGATACTGATTTCATTTGATTGGTAACAGCCATATTGTGTCTTATTTTTATAATTGATTATGATTAAATTTATGAAATTGACACAATTGAATTAGGTTTAAAAAATGGCTTTAAAAGGTAAAAATCAATTGAACCATATTGGAAAAAATTAAGAATATCCACGACAGTCCTAAACCTGCAAAAGTACCAACAGAATAAACACACTCAGTAAAATATCGTCTAATAATCGTTATCGAGAAAATATCGAGATATCATTTTTTGTCAATATCGCACACCCCTATTTGTATGCATTGCACTTTGCCCAGAAACTTTGTGCAGTTTCACAGTGTAAAGTATCTCACACACACAGACACACACACACACACACACACACACACACACACACACAAACACAGACAGACACACACACAGACAGACACACACACACAAAAGCAATACTGTAAACTCAGAGTAAACGGAGGCATGTTTTACCCTCCTGAGCCTCGGCCTGACTCTGCACAATGTATGTGTCAATGACTCGGGGCTCCAGGTCTCGGCCCTTCTCTGCTGGAGTGATGAGCCGAGGAATATGAGTCTCCTGACAGGAAAGAGGAAGTCAAATATTACCATGGATCAAACAGTAAGCCACTCATGAGCATGCATTACAGTGGTTTTACCATGTTAAAGGGTTAGTTCACCCCAAAATGAAAACTCTGTCAGTAATTACTCTTCCTCATGTCGTTCCAACCCCGTAAGACTTTCGTTCATCTTCGGGACACAAATTAAGATATGTTTTATTAAATCTGAGAGCTGTCTCACTCCTCCATAGGCTTCTAAGGGATCGAAACTTGCCGGCCCAGAAAGTTATTAAAGACATCGTTAAAATAGTTCGAGTGACTACAGTGGCTCAACCTTAAGTTTATCAAGCGACGAGAATACTTTCTGTGCGCAAAAAACAACAAAACTAACTTTATTCAACAATTAATTTCCTTCTCTGTTGGCCTCGAGTGAGTTCACGTAGTGTAACAGCGCAGCGCTTCTGTGTTGTACGACACACGCATCACACACATGACCAGCGTCTGCCAATAGTGAGCCTCCGTGTGACGTACAACCCAGAAGCGCTGCGCTGTTACACCACGTGAACTCACTCGAGGCCAACAGAGAAGGAAATTAATAGTTGAATAAAGTTGTTATTTTTGTTTTCTTTTTTTGCGCACAGAAAGTATTCTCGTCGCTTGATAAACTTAAGGTTGAGCCACTGTAGTCACTCGGACTATTTTAACAATGTATTTAATAACTTTCTGGCCCGGCAAGTTTCGATCCCTTAGAAGCCTATGGAGGAGTGAGACAGCTCTCAGATTTAATAAAACATATCTTAATTTGTGTCCAGAAGATGAACGAAAGTCTTACGGGGTTGAACAACATGAGGGAGGGTAATTACTGACAGAGTTTTCATTTTGGGGTGAACTATCCCTTTAAGGGGGTTTTAGGCACTCAAATCTCTGTAATTCAGAGTCTTTCTGCTTTAATTCGCCACAAAATAAATCAGGCACATTTTACCTTGAGGGTTTTAAATATTCCAGCAGCGGTTTTCAAACTCTTGTGAACGTCTTTGGCCTCGTCCTCTGTGACGCTACAATGTAAAAAAACAAAAACTTGTAAAAATGCCTTTAATGAAATATTGAAACTAAAAACCCAGACAGAATTTATTACGCTTATAAATACTATATTTTACAGACTGAGGCGATGTGCAGTCAGCCAGACAGTAATAATGACTAGTTTACAGTGCATAATCTCATTTATTACAAGGCTACTGAATATGAATAAATTAAATATTGATTTTGAAATTAAAATAATTTTATTATGTAGGAAGAAAAAGAGCAGTGATCCGTGAAACGTTTTTGTTATTTTAGTATTTTTATACTATTATAGTATGTTATATTATTTATAATTATTATTAATTACCTTTTATTTTTAAATTTTCATATATATATATATATATATATATATATATATATATATATATATATATATATATATATATATATATATATATAAAAATTATATATTTAATATATATATATATATATATATATATATATTTCTTTCTTTTTCCGTTTTATATTTTTCAAGTAATTTTAGTTTGTTTTGTTATGTACTTTTGTCATTTTTTATTAGCTTTTTAAAAATTCTATTTAGCTTTAATTTATTTTTATTTAAGCTTATTTTCTTTTATTAATTTAAGTTTAAGTTTTTCATCTAATATTTATATTTTATATTATTTCAGCTTTATTTCAAATAAAAAATATGATTTTTAATAGTTTACTTTTAGCTAACATTACCAACACTGGAGAGAAGTTATATTGGCACAACTATGTGGGAAATTAGTTGCATGTCTTTTTAAAAACAGTTTTGAACTTCTCCAAACATCAGATATGCCTGCATGTGTACGGCTCTAGCAGTAGACACAACTTATTTGACAGGGTTTTATTTTACAATGCTTAAAGGGATACTTCAGGATTTAGCATTAAGCTTTGTATAAGTAGAAAACCTGTAGTATTTTCAAATTACCGTGCTTTCCACCCTCATATCCCCCTGAGACGAGAGATTTATGTATTTTTTGTCTGGAAAAAAATCCTCCAATGATGCAAAAATCGTCATTTTGCGTCATCGGAGGATTTTTTGGCCAGAGGCTAAAGACTGCAGCCAGTAGTAGGGGCTGTCCCGCATGTTCCCAATCCGGCCATAGAGGGTGGGATCTCACTCACAGAATGTACACATAGTGTCAGACATCTTTTTTTGGAAGCTAAGCTAGACGGCTCTTGTTCTGTGGAGAAAGCTAAGTAGTAGGGGTTACCATCCTCTTTTTCCCGGACATGTCCGGCCGTCGATGTCCGGGATTCAGCTTTTGCTTTCTGCAGTCGCCATTCATTGTTTACATGCACACCTTTTGTTTCAATCTAACTGAATTCATTCCGATTGGTGAATCTGAATGTAGTGTTTACATGAACGCTAAACAAGTGATCGGTTGATGTGCGTTTTAACATTGCTAAGAAAATTCCCGCTCCTCCGTGAGAGATACGAGACCGGTGCGTCTCACAGGTGTCGCTCATCAGTAATCACACCACCGGCCTCGTCCTGCTCGCCACAGTAAGCATAATGAATGGCACGGAATGGATACATGCGAACCGGAAAAATGATTTACGAGCACAATGTGCGAGTAACTACAACCATCGAAAGCGTGACGATAACTAAATAAAAAATAGTTTTGAATGACAAAAATGTTAGATAGTGACGATTTGGGAAGCGATCCAGTCAGAACTGATGTCCTGAGTGCGTTTGTGGTAGAAGCACACATTTGTACTGTAACGTGCTGATCTACCCACCGGCACACGGGCTGACATGCGCTGCATCTCATAAAACGTTAAAAAATGTAAACGTCTGGGAGAATGAGTAGAGCAGACAAATAGATCTGAATAAGAGTGACGACGCAAAAAAAAGCTCTATTTGGTTCGGTTTTCTGTGCGCACACACCCGACCCGAAGCGTGCAGCCATGCACAAAGACACCTATAACGTTACAGCGCGCGAGTACTGAATTGAGCTCTCTTTCGTGTCTGAATGGACAAATACACAACATTATGTCGAAATGTCCGTTTTGAAGAGTATTCACGTAAACTATGTTGGTTATGTCTTAAACAGTTGTGAGTGTATCGGATGTGCATCAGTGCAATTGGATCCGCATGTCATTGGACATGATCCGATGTCTTAAAGTGACAGTGGGTAATAAACCTAATCCGGTCTGTATCCTTAATATTGATCAAGCAACAAAAAAAAAAAAAGAGAAAAGCATTCACTGCTCGTTAATAGCTTTAATAAGGATTCATTATATTTAATTCATACAAATAAATATGTCTGCTGCTTGAAAGACTAAAGAATGATGTATGCAAGTTATAAAGAATGCATATATCATTCATTGAAAAGAAGACTATTCTACTTCTACGGAAAAGTGGTTTTATTTAATTTTAAGATATTTTTTAAGTCACAGTAGTTAAATCTGTATCTGTATTGCATGTTCAAACTTTAAAATCATTCATATTAACAGGTTAATAGATGTTTTCTCCGGGAGTATATGGGTTTAGAGAAATTCTAAATTAATGCATTACAATTGAACTAAACCCATTATATTTTAGTCATCTGAATTGTTTTAGTTTTAGTCGACGAAATACAATAAGATTTTAGTCGACTAAATCTACAGTAGATACTAATACTAGTAAATACTAATACACTCATTTAAACTAGTTTCTCCTCCATGTTGTGGAAAGAGCCTCTGCAGTGGAAAGATGCAGATGTCCACTGCACAGGTGTGCCAATGTGCTCTTAGCCTCCACCTGAGATCAACACATTCCCCTTGTTCTGTTTTACTAAAGTGATTGTAAAGTGTGATTTATACTTCTGCATCAAATCGGCGGTTTCACACCATAGTTGAAAACAAAGAGAAGGAGCACACACGTAGTGTATATATATATATATATATATATATATATATATATATATATATAATAGTTTGTTAAACTCTGTTACTTGAAAATTTTTCACTGCGCTCCAAAATTTCTTTGTGTGCTCCTACATTTTTTCATTTAGGAGCACATGTGCCCCTTGGGAAAAACCTTAGCGTAGAACCCTGTTGTAGAACGCAAAAGCCGAATCCCGGACATTTTGGGCGATCTCGAAACACATTTTCGGGCAGACTCATCACGGAGACTCACTAGTAGCCTAGACTTGTTGTTTAACTACTGCGCTCTGTTACCGGTAGGCGTGGCCTCCTAGGGCAGCGAAGCAAGTGCATTCTGGGAGTTGTTGTCTTTCATCCACATAAGCCAAAAATACATTTTCTGGCTTTTCTCAGTCTAGAAAGCTCCAAATTCAAAAATAATTTCATATTTCTTTTACATAAATGACCCATTTTAAATACACATTAATCTTTCCCGAGGTGAAGTATCCCTTAAAGTACAGCAATTAATACCTTATCACAGAATGTCATCACTGACCAATCATAATCAATTATTCCAGAGAACTTACTTCTCCTTTCCAGCCAGTCGTGAGGCAAACTTGGTGTACCAGATGGCGACATTAAACGCCATAGACACCAGCTCAAAGATCGCATCCTGCTGCGCACTGGAAAACACAAAACATCTTTTTAAATGGGGTCATGCCTCTTAGTCAATAGATTTAGTCCAATCAAACATGTTCTCTTAGTTCAGATTCATCTTTCATTTGGTAGAAGCTCATCAAATTAGATCGATGTCAACATAAACACGTCACATGACCTGCTTTCATTCTCAAAAACCATGAACAAAACTACACAAAAAAAAAAAGAAAATACAGGTTCAGTTGCTGGACGCACTTAGTTTGTTCAGATTAGAACACAATTTGTTTTTTTATGCAATTAAGTATTACTACCAGCTTGATAAATATAATAAATTATGCATTTCAGTGTTTTCTTCCAAGAATGTGACGCTTTTATGTCTAATGCAATATAAAGGTATTTATAATGTACATTGTAATGCTATTTCTTTTCATAAATATTTGTATGCATAATAATATTTGCAGATTACTTGTTACATCTGAAATTGGTTGCTTGTCATGTTTTTTAATGCATTATACTTTCTAAATGAGTAACAATGAATAGATTGTATTAGGCTATAACTCTGGTTACAATTATTAATGAGACAATAGAGAGCCTAAGCCCCTCCCCTTCTGGTCGACCACCATGGGACCTTATTTCGGAAAAATATTGTAATGGTAGTCAATGGCGAGAGACAACAAATATTTTGATTGTGTTTGAATTGTGCCCTGAATTACACATATGATGTTTGTCCATTTAAAACAGTGGTTCTCAATCCTGGTCCTAGGGAGCCACTGCTCTGCACAGTTTGTATGTCTCCCTCATTTAACACACCTGATTCAAATCATCAGCTCGTTAGGAAAGAGCTTTATTAACTGAAGTGGGTGTGTCAGATAAAGGAGACATATAAAATGTGCAGAGCAGTGGCTCCCTAGGACCAAGATTGAGAACCACTGATTTAAAAGATACATTTTAAAGTCAAGAAAGTTGCAGTTTGATGTAAAACTGTTGAGGTATAAGACTGTGAAAATACGTAATTACAAAGACTATAAACCCCAAAGGCGCACATTTTCTCTCATTGAATGAAGCTAACTTTACTGAAGCTAACTTTACTGACGCTAACTTTACTGACGCTAACTTTACTGACGCTAACTTTACTGACGCTAACTTTACTGACGCTAACTTTACTGACGCTAACTTTACTGAAGCTAACTTTACTGACGCTAACTTTACTGACGCTAACTTTACTGACGCTAACTTTACTGAAGCTAACTTTACTGACGCTAACTTTACTGAAGCTAACTTTACTGAAGCTAACTTTACTGACGCTAACTTTACTGACGCTAACTTTACTGACGCTAACTTTACTGACGCTAACTGTACTGACGCTAACTGTACTGAAGCTAACTTTACTGAAGCTAACTTTACTGACGCTAACTTTACTGACGCTAACTTTACTGACGCTAACTTTACTGACGCTAACTTTACTGACGTTAACTTTACTGACGCTAACTTTACTGACGCTAACTGTACTGACGCTAACTGTACTGACGCTAACTGTACTGAAGCTAACTTTACTGAAGCTAACTTTACTGACGCTAACTTTACTGACGCTAACTTTACTGACGCTAACTTTACTGACGCTAACTTTACTGACGTTAACTTTACTGACGCTAACTTTACTGACGCTAACTGTACTGAAGCTAACTTTACTGACGCTAACTTTACTGACGCTAACTTTACTGAAGCTAACTTTACTGACGCTAACTTTACTGACGCTAACTTTACTGACGCTAACTTTACTGACGCTAACTTTACTGACGCTAACTTTACTGACGCTAACTTTACTGACGCTAACTGTACTGACGCTAACTGTACTGAAGCTAACTTTACTGATGCTAACTTTACTGAAGCTAACTTTACGGAAGCTTCCTTTACTGAAGCTAACTTTACTGAAGCTAACGTCTGTCATTGTTTCTATAGTCTTGCGTTATAATCGTAACGTTACGCCGTCATGCCTGAGTGTTTTGTTCCAGACTGCACACACACACACGAGCTGCGGATCTCGCTCGTTGTTTTGCTTCCCGGGAGATGTTGTTCATTGAGCGATTTTCACATAAAACTAAATGTTACTCTTCTGTTTTATGACAAACTGCGACTTTCTTGACTTTCATAATTATCTTTTAGATTGACAAACATCATATGTGTAATTCAGGGCACAGTTCAGACGGAATAAAAGATAAGTTGTCTCTCGCCATTGACTACTAGGGGTGTCCCAGACATTTGTAATGTCCACAAGAAGTAGTCATGATCAGTTTTCTAATATGAAGCGGGCAAAGAAAAGCACAGCGTGGGAGCACTTTAAAATCGAGAATGACGAGGCAAAATGCAAGTATTGCAATGCAGTGCTTAGATATACTTCAAGTACAACCTAGTTGTTGTACCATCTCAACAGCCAACACCCGGGCATCATTATGGTGTGTTCACACCGAACGCGAATAGAGCGTCAAATACGCGTCTATCGCGTCTAGTTAGACGCTTGAACATTGGCTCGAGTTCAAATTTTTCAACTTGCGCCGAAGACCTTCGCGGCAAACCTGTCGCCCAATTCGCGTCATTCGCAACAGATGTTGTCAGATGTTTGTTGTTTTAATCGGCGAGACTCCCAAGATGTGGATCAGGAAACGCCAAAACAATGAACGCTCTTCCGGTATGACGTGATTCGGACGGTGACGTCACGCACACGCCCATTGGGTTAAGCCCTCATTTACGTAATTTATTAAAAAACATGTTTTGGCAGTTTCTAGTTTCTAGTTCAGTTTCATGTAGAGATAGCCTAAATGAAATCGATCATTTTTTTTTTTTTTTTACTTGTATAGGTTTTTGTGGTTTCTGTTCTAATATAAGTCATAATGACTTGGTGCAAGAAAGAGCAACACAAACAAAAATGAATCCAATTAATTAAACTTACATTAGAGTCACCACATCCGTGTGAATGTCTTATTACCCAGAATAAATCAAATTTTAAGGATCAAATACCAGTGTGTATGTGTGTGTGCGTGTGTGTGTATGTGTACTCACACCCATTTGTTTGCATATACTGTATATATTTTTATATATATGTGTGTGTGTGTGTGTGTATAATATATATATACACACATATTATATAAACAAAAACTTTTATTCAACTTCCAGACTGCACACACACACGAGCTGCGGATCTCGCTCGTTGTTTCGCTTCCCGGGAGATGTAGTTCATTGAGCGATTTTCACATAAAACTAAATGTTACTCTTCTGTTTTATGACAAACTGCGACTTTCTTGACTTTCATAATTATCTTTTAGATTGACAAACATCATATGTGTAATTCAGGGCACAGTTCAGACGGAATAAAAGATAAGTTGTCTCTCGCCATTGACTACTAGGGGTGTCCCAGACATTTGTAATGTCCACAAGAAGTAGTCATGACCAGTTTTCTAATATGATGCGGGCAAAGAAAAACACAGCGTGGGAGCACTTTAAAATCGAGAATGACGAGGCAAAATGCAAGTATTGCAATGCAGTGCTTAGATATACTTCAAGTACAACCTCGTTGTTGTACCATCTCAACAGCCAACACCCGGGCATCATTATGGTGTGTTCACACCGAACGCGAATAGAGCGTCAAATACGCGTCTATCTGTCTATTCAGACGCTTGAACATTCGCTCGAGTTCAAATTTTTCAACTTGCGCGGAAGACCTTCGCGGCAAACCTGTCGCCCAATTAGCGTCATTCGCAACGCCTGGCGCGAATGATGTGTCTATTCGCGTCTTTGCATTGACTTTGCATGTAATCTACTCGCGCAAATAATTAAATTCGCGTTCGGTGTGAACATACCATAACTGCTCTGTCCTTACCACTGTGTTTTATTTCTATAAATTAATTTCGTTTCAAATGTGGTCCAACCAGTTATTAAAGGTGTTAAAAATGAACTACCCCTTTCTCGTGTGTCTGTATCTCGGGGTTGCGGCGCGACACTATGGTTAACCGAGTATTAACCGCTAAGGGCCTCGGTTAACGGTTAATGAAAAACTTGAAAACGTGCAGCCCTATTGACAATGACTACCATACATATTTTTTCCGAAATAAGGTCCCATGAGCCGGAAGCGGAGGGGAGGGACTTAGGCTCTCTATACAATGCATTATAAGGTTTATTACAAGGCAATTTGTGTTGAGTCGTTATTGGTGAAACCAGCTGATTATTGCTGAACCACATTGTATGATAGTTACCTTGCAATATTTCCCTGTAAAGTGTCAGTCCATTTGAAGTTCTGGATGAACCGGAGCTTGCTCTCTTGTGTGGTTCCATCCAGCGGCAAAATGAATCCTATGTGAATTATAAAAAATAGAAAGTAGATTTTTTTTTTAACAATGCCAACAAAACAACAATAAAATGCCTCTGAGCAACATAAATGCAAATGAATCAAATCAGCATGAGCAACATGGAAATATCTGACCAGAGCCACAAGAGAGGAAATATAATAATTCACAAACCCTGTAAAAGAGCGAAATATTCATCACTGGATTTCTTCATAATCTCTGGGGTACATGTGGCATCGGTGAACATGTCCAGAAGTCTGGCCCGTGTCGTTCTCAGGTCACTGAGACAGAGGTTTTACATGTACGTCATAAATACAGTGGCCCACAAAATGAATATACAATAATACCCGAATAAAATCCTCACTTGCAGATCTTATTGGCAGCGGGACTGGATGCCACACCATACAGGTTGAAGGACACGGGCGCTGTGGATTTCAGAGGGTTTCGGTGGAACCAGTGAGTCATGGTGACCTGAACAAGAAGAAAGACACTATTATTAGTAGTTTCTGTTTTATTAATGCATTTCAGGACAATTAATTTGCTGTTGTATTAAACTATTTTAATACGGTACTACGTCACCACCAAAGTCCGACATTTAATCTGGATCGTGACCATTAGGGAACAACTGGTTGAGTAGAATTATTCTCGAGAAACAGAGAAACACGTCCATGTGACTAGAATAACTAAGCTAGACGTTATGTGATTTTCTATATAACAGAATCTAGACAGATGGTATTAAACACTGACATTTTCATTCAGATTGAAAAGTTATGGACAGCTAAATTTCTGAGCACATTTCACATCTATTAATATGCAGTGTTTGTAATTTACAAAAGTAGTAACACTTATGAGATCAGATCAAAAGATCATTGGTTCAAGTGCTGTATGAACTGTGAACGAGTCATTAGTGAAGGCAGGTCCATTTATAACATCTCGGCCTTGTTTATCATCAGCTCTATGTGAATAAAAACAGACACAGAAACAATACACCAGTTAAAAACGATCTACTGGTGATGCTTTATCGTCTACATATGAAAAAACGCTGATCTGTGATCTTAATGCTGTTCATAATGCGAATAAAAATCTGAGAGAAATGAACCGAGTCAGAGACTCGCTGTTCAACAGCAGTCCACTAGTAAACACAGCAGCTACCGGCTCAAATCTCACAACTGATTTATAAAGCTTGTTTTAAATGAAAGAGATATGTATTTATACCAGTAATGTGTCGACTGTCAGATGTTTGTTGTTTTAATCGGCGAGACTCCCAAGATGTGGATCAGGAAACGCCAAAACAATGAACGCTCTTCCGGTATGACGTGATTCGGACGGTGACGTCATGCGCACGCCCATTGGGTTGATCCCTCATTTACGTAATTTATTAAAAAACGTGTTTTGGCAGTTTCTAGTTTCTAGTTCAGTTTCATGTAGAGATAGCCTAAATGAAATCGATTTTTTTTTTTTTTTTTTTTTTACTTGTATAGGTTTTTGTGGTTTCTGTTCTAATATAAGTCATAATGACTTGGTGCAAGAAAGAGCAACATAAACAAAAATGAATCCAATTAATTAAACTTACATTAGAGTCACCACATCCGTGTGAATGTCTTATTACCCAGAATAAATCAAATTTTAAGGATCAAATACCAGTGTGTATGTGTATGTGTGTGTGCGTGTGTGTGTATGTGTACTCACACCCATTTGTTTGCATATATACTGTATATATTTATGTATGTGTGTGTGTGTGTATAATATATATATACACACACATTATATAAACAAAAACTTTTATGTTAGATGCGATTTATCGCGATTAATCGATTTGACACTACTAATTTACGCCATATACTACATACATATACATATATATATATATATATATATATATATATATATATATATATATATACTCACACACATACACACTGGTAAAACATTTAGCTTAAGAAATTCACATGGATGTGGTATAAATCACACATTACTGACTAAGAAAAGTAACATTTATTTATATAACGCAATTACTTTCTTTTTTAACGCAATTACTTACTAGTTTTACACTACTATCACAACTCAACCGAGTTAAAAATATATATAATGACGAAAGATCCCTCTCTAACGTGTTCTTTATTCTTGAAGTCGAAATATGACTTTTATTTTGAAAACGCCACTAGTGGGCGCGTCTTCCGGTGCAGTCGCAGGCCAGGTAGTTCGGTTGCACTCTCGCATCAGGCCTGTGGCGGTGAGTGTCGGTGCCACCGGTGCTTCCGGAGCCCAGTGTGTTTCCCTGCGGTGCGCAACAATGCGGCGCTGGAGATAAAACTCCACCAGCGATGTCAGAAACCAAAGCCTTCGCGCAACTTTAACCCGAGAAGATGTCAGATGTCAGCAAGACCGGCCAGAAATGGCACGCGAGTTTTAGAAAGGGCACGGACTTTGATTCGTGGGGGCAGCTGGTGGAAGCCATCGATGAATATCAAATGTAAGTTGCGCATTTCTGATAAAAAAAAAAAAATGTATTTGGTGATCTCTGGATCAGAGCAGGATAGAATTTTTCTTTCCTAATAAAAAATAAAAAATCTAATAGAAAAAGGCATGACAAGTGATGCATTGGAATCACAGAAAGTTGCATTTTATACTTAATTTTGCATGATCTTGCATTGTTGGATTGTATGTGTTGTAGATGTGCATCATATGCAGTGAGTGTGTTGAGGTTTGACAGCCTGTTTGCGTTATGTCGCGCGCCACACCCTCCTCGAGCGCGGGGCGGGGCTTCGCTCTCATCTCAGTCTCAAGCTGAACTCATGCCATTTAGGTCAATACTTACTGACACACACATCAGACAAACAGCTGCAGCATTTCTGCTCTTCACACTCTAATCTCGCTTTTTCTTTGTAGGTTTTAACGTAGTTATGTATGTGCACTTGTTCATGCAACACAAACCACAAAGAAAATTCGGTAACACTTTACAATAAGGTTCACACAATGAACTAAGAATGAACAATAGTTCTTCAGTATTTATTAATCTTGGTTAATATTCATTTCAACATTAACTGCGTTATTAAAATCAAAGGTTGTATTTGTTAACATTAGTTAATGCATACTGAACTAACAATGAACAGCTGTATTTTTATTAACTAACATTAACAAAGATTAATAAATACTGTAATAAATGTATTGCTCATTGTTAGTACATGTTAGTAAATACATTAACTAATGAACCTTATTTTTACAGAAAATTGAATTCTTATATTTTCATCCAGAACACGCATTTTGTCCGTAAACAAAGTTCTTTACGAATGTTTTAATTCTTCATTTTGAAGTTATTTGATGCGTTTTATTTTTTCACCATGAGCTATAAAACAGAGAGACATGTTGTGAATGGAAATATATTCAGTGTTTAATTTTCCTGCGAGGGTTATATTTATATATATATATATATATATATATATATATATATATATATATATATATATATATATATATATATATATCCCTGTACGGTAGATATACATATAAATACATTTAGACCACTTAACTTAGTGATTGCTATCAGGATGTGAACTGAAGAGACTTTCAACCAACATAACAAAAAAAAAACTCTGAAACAAATCACCTATCCCTGCCTTTAAAATTAAAATGACATTCTGTCATTTACTAACCTATGACTGTGATTTATTTATTTATTTCTTTATCAGACTCGCAAGGCAACTTCAGAAAGAAGTGCAGTCATCAAACTTGCATGATTTCACAGAGGAACAGAAGGTATGTGTGTTTCCCAGAGGTGACAATCACTTTTTTTAAAGTCAGCATGAAATAGAAGTTGCGCTAGTCTTTTCTTCTCTATAGAGAGCCTAAGCCCCTCCCCTCGGCTTCCGGCTCATGGGACCTTATTTCGGAAAAAATATATATTGTAGTCAATGGCGGGCAGAGGTGTAGTGGTAAAAAAAGAGGTGGGTAAACTATAAATTCTGGTGGACCACGACGTGGTCACCCGGTAAGGTGGGCCACTGCCTACCGGTGTATGTGTATCCTGATGACATTGCTATATAGGGAGGGCTCGACATTAAGCCTTTTCATACGCTTGTCCTTCGGACGAGTAAATCTGTCATTCACTTGTCCGAGTAAAAAAGTTGCTCGTCCGGATTTTTTATTTTTATTTTGTGTGTGTTAATTTATTCTGAAACAATATTCTCATCAGTGTTCAATCAGCTTTGATATTTAAATCACCATATTGTAATATCTGCACGTTTATAGGGCATCCCCTCCCCCAATATTATTAAATGTATGCTTCATCTTTCATTTTAAATGCCTAAATTTGATCAATAAATTCAATTATTTCGAATAATAAGACACTATAGTGCTGTTACCCTAGGGGCTGATCAAATTAAATCATTTACACTGAAAAATTACAAATGCATAAAATAATGTTATGAAATTGATTTAAATTTACATATAAGAAACGTTGGAAAGAATGATCTACTTTTAAACATAACACGAAACCGCCAGTAGGTGGCGGCAGGCGACCGTCTTAATGAGTGAGTCATTGATTCGTTCATTCAAACGATTCGTTCAAACGGCCGATTCATTCAAGATTGAGACAGATGTTAATGAATGGGTCATTGAATCTTTGACTCAATCGATTCGTTCAAAATGCTGAATCATTCAGTAATGAAAACAGGTCGAGTGTTCCTGTGAGATGCGCTGTGGTTCTGCTGTGATTTTTGTTTGGAACTATTTTCGCTGCTGAAACAGAACAAAAACAGCCTGTTTTAGGAAATCAATGTCACATTTTCAATCGTGATGGTGTTCAGGAAAAATAATTGAGGTTGCTTAACATATGTTAAAAATATAAAAACTCCACATTTAGATTTTTATAGGCAGTATGTTGTTAACTGAGTGTGTGTGTGCGCTCATTTGTGTAGATTTCTCCTCGAGAGGCTGCGCGAGCGTCAACAGCGCAACCTTACCGTCAGCAACACTGTAATGCAGCGCAATATGAAAGAGTTCGTCTTAGGTTTAACAACCTATGAAACTAATAATGAACAATATGAAACTAAAACGACTAACATTAATTTAACATTAATTTAAAATGTCTTAGGAACTACAGGATATTTAGAGGTGGATAAACGCAATTTAGAGGTGGATAAACGCACTTTGGAGGTGGGTAAACGCTATTTCCGAATATTGGGAGGTGCGTAAACGGCGTTTACGTGCGTTTAGCCTCCACTACATCCCTGATGGCGAGAGACAACTTATCTTTTTATTCCTTCTGAACTGTGCCCTGCATTACACATATGATGTTTGTCAATTTAAAAGATAATTATTTAAGTCAAGAAAGTCGCAGTTTGTCATAAAACAGAAGAGTAACATTTAGTTGTATGTGAAAATCGCTCAATGAACTACATCTCCCAGAAAGCGAAACAACGAGCGAGATCCGCTGCTCGTGTGTGTGTGTGCAGTCTGGTACAAAACACTCAGGCATGACGGCGTAACGTTACGATTATAACGTAAGACTATAGAAACAATGACAGACGTTAGCTTCAGTAAAGTTAGCTTCTGTAAAGTTAGCTTCAGTAAAGTTAGCTTCAGTAAAGTTAGCTTCAGTAAAGTTAGCTTCAGTAAAGTAAGCTTCAGTAAAGTAAGCTTCAGTAAAGTAAGCTTCAGTAAAGTAAGCTTCAGTAAAGTTAGCTTCAGTAAAGTAAGCTTCAGTAAAGTAAGCTTCAGTAAAGTTAGCTTCAGTAAAGTAAGCTTCAGTAAAGTTAGCTTCAGTAAAGTTAGCTTCAGTAAAGTAAGCTTCAGTAAAGTAAGCTTCAGTAAAGTTAGCTTCAGTAGAGTAAGCTTCAGTAAAGTTAGCTTGAGTAAAGTAAGCTTCAGTAAAGTAAGCTTCAGTAAAGTAAGCTTCAGTAAAGTTAGCTTCAGTAAAGTTAGCTTGAGTAAAGTTAGCTTGAGTAAAGTTAGCTTGAGTAAAGTTAGCTTGAGTAAAGTTAGCTTGAGTAAAGTTAGCGTCAGTAAAGTTAGCGTCAGTAAAGTTAGCGTCAGTAAAGTTAGCTTCATTCATTGAGAGTAAATGTGCGCCTTTTGGGTTTGTAGTCTTTGTAATTACGTATTTTCACAGTCTTATACCTCAACAGTTTTACATCAAACTGCGACTTTCTTGACTTTAAAATGTATCTTTTAAATGGACAAACATCATATGTGTAATTCAGGGCACAATTCAATCGAGATTGTCACAATTGTCTCTCGCCACAGACTACCATACAATATTTTTCTGAAATAAGGTCCCATGGTGGTCGACCGGAAGGGGAGGGGCTTAGGCTCTCTATAGTGACGAATACCTTAAACTGCATCTGGAACAAGAACAAATGTGGGCGGGGCTTGATTTTGTCTGTGGTCATGATCTCATGTGAGTGACAGGTTGCCCCGCCCACATCATCAGAGAAGAGAAGGGGGAAGTTATTCTGATTCAAGATTACAAGAGTGCATGAATCTAACAAAAATAATAATGTGCACGGATAAATAATTTATTATAAATACTGCAATACTGCAAAATATGCTAAAATGTCCATTTTGGTCTCAAGGTGATTTTAATGCCCAGCATGACAGTAAATGCAAGTTTAGATATTTTAAATTGAGATCAAACTAATTTTAGATCTGCTTTCTGATGTTATCTCATAATATTAGTTTTTCTTTCTTCAGAAAACCCTGGGGAAGTTTGCAACATGCCTTGAAATGCGAAGTGCAGCCTTACAGGTCAGTGTTGTCTGGGACTCTAAAGACGACAGGAAAGTTCATTAGTGGTTTTGATAAAGAAATTGCATGAATCATTATGGCACTGCATAATTATTCACTGCAAAAAATGCTTTTTTTAGTATTTTTGTCTTGTTTCCAGACCAAATATCTAAAAATTCTTAAATCAAGATGCATTCACTAAAGTAGTGAAATGCCATAAAATATTATTTCTTGTTTTCTGGGGAAATGTATAAAAAATGAAGTGAGTCGTTGCTTAAAACAAGTAAAATGTTCTGCCAATGGGATAAGAAAAATATTCTTGTTTCTGTATGAATGAAGATACATTTTTTTATCCCATTGGCAGATAATTTAGCTCCTTTTAAGCAACAACTCACTTAATTTTGATTTATTTTCCCTGAAAACAAGGCATTTTACTCATCTAGTAAATGCATCTTGATTTAAGAATTTTTAGATATTTGGACTGGAAACAAGACAAAAATACTAAGTAAGAAAAGCATTTTTGGCAGTGTTTATTATCTCACATTGTGAATAAAATAATTGATAATGATAAACAAATGATCAGTGCTGTTTTTAATCTTCTCTTAACTAACTCTGCTGTTTGTCTTTCTCAGTGCACACAATCTCAAGAGGAGTTCAAGCTAGAAGATCTGAAAAAACTGGAACCCAGTATGTACATAAATATGTGGATATGAATGAATTTTACCCTATAAAGCCTACTGTATCATATTATAAATGATCTAACATGATCAAAACTGCTGTTAAACCTGTCGCACTCAATCTCCGATTGATAGTTTAGACTTTTAGTGTAATTGTACAAACGTGAACACAAGAATAACTTTGATATTGTTAGTAATACTTCACTGAAGCAGCTTCGGTTTACTTGATTATCAGACATAATTTCTTTTGAAAAATCACGAGTATCAAATATGATCATCAGGCTTTTGGTGAAGGTTTATTTGTTCATCTCTCAATCATTATTTTATTGCATTATGTTTTAAAACTAGAGCTTTGATCATAAAACTAAGCATTAAATATTATCTTACTAAGACATATTATTGGGAGATACAGAGAGAAGACGGATATTTTTTTATATGTATATGCATATTATACAGGTGAAACTCGAAAAATTAGAATATCGTGCAAAAGTTCATTTATTTCAGTTATTCAACTTAAAAGGTGAAACTAATATATTATATAGACTCATTACGTGCAAAGTGAGATATTTCAAGCCTTTATTTGTTATAATTGTGATGATTATGGCTTACAGCTATGAAAACCTTTCCACAATGTTCTAATTTTTAATTTGGGTTTTTCATAAGCTGTAATCCATAATCATGGTTTCACCTGTATAAGGATCTGCTATACTGTTATAAAGATCTCATTGATTTACAATACAGGCATCAGAATTTCATCTTTTTAGAAATTTAAATGTGTCAGTTTGTGCCTTTGAATAAATCGTTTTTTTTATACAAAACACATGCAAACTTTTTTTTAGATGTTCATCATTTATATTATTAAGTAAAGGTACAATAAACTCTTCCATTTAATATTTTTTTAATCTATTTATCACTGCTATTCTTCTGTTTCTCTACAGTTATTAAGAACATTCTGACTTACAACAAAGATTTCCCTTTTGATGTCCAACCAGTGCCTTTGAGGTAATTCTTCAGCGTTCGGGGAATGGATAGTTCTGGTCCTGGATGCTGATTGGTCAGTCCAGTGCATTAGTGCCCGCCCCCTTTTTGGTTCCGGAAGTATTTCTTCCATTCATTTCTCCCATAGGGACTTCAAAAAAGTCACGAATCAAGCCGACGAGGAGAATCATAACATTACAAACTTTGATTTGAAGCAAAAAAGCATTTGAAAATCAGACAAGGTACAAGAACTTAACATCTTTAGCGAGGGAAAGAACTACAATCCCATGAAGCTTTGCAAACAGCATAATAGAATTAAAAATGTTAGAGAAATATAAAACTACTCATTTAGAAATGTTGATTTTATATACGCAGTGCTTCATGGGAGTGGGCGGAGCTAAAGAGCTCTTTTGGCGCTCTGATTGGTGGAATCTTCTGTACAGCATCATGGGAAATGTAGTTTTTCACCACAAATTCGGCTGTTAAACATGATTCTTTTAAAACTAAGTTGAAATGATGCGGGCTGACGGCTTCAGCAGAAGCAAACACCATTGATTAACAACCTCGTAGCTCACAGTAGGGCTGTCTTTAAAGGTTTATATGTTATTGTTAAAAATCTATTTCCTTATGGAGAAAATGAATTGGGTTTTTACTTTCAGAACTCGACTGTTACTCTCTATGATTATCTGCACAATATTTACTATACTAATATTCTTTTTTACAGATGTTTTTGCCGATACAGTTATTAATTCTTAATTCTGTGTGTTTTTAGGAAGATTCTTGCACCGGGTGAGGAGGAAAACCTTGATTTTGAGGAGGATCTGGACGCTGGTACTGGAGCAGGTTCAACACCATCATTCCCTTCAAGGGTGCCAGGTGATCACTGCATAGTGCATGACGCTCAGCTGGACTTATTGTTATGCACTTCAGAGCTGCACGATTTATAGTTAAAAGATTGCGATCTCGTTTCAAACACCCACATGATCTCATTCCTAAAGAACAACGATTCGAATCTGTTTGTTAAAGCTTTGACAAGTCCGATCACAGCGAACATTCAGATCTGTGTTGATCCAGAGAGAGCGGTTGTCATGTATAAGTATGAAACCGCTTCACAAACAGACTTTTTAACCACACACACAGTATCATTATTTCTGTTACAAATATTCATATTATCACAGAAGTACTGGGATAAAAGTATATAGAGTATATAACCTTTCGAAAGTAACATGGCGCTTCAGCGATTATAGCGTTCCACCAGTAGGTGGTGACAAGGGACTGTTAAAAACTGTATTTGTCATTGAATCATTCAAGAGATTCGTTCAAAAACACAATTCATCCACTAATGAAACAAGTAAAGTCTTTGAGTGAGTCATTGAATCATTCACTTAAACGGATTTAAAAAAAAAACGAACCTCTAGTAAATTAAATGTTGTTTTGTTTAGTTGTCTATTTAGAATTACAATCGTGATCCGGTTTAAACAACAACAACAAAATTAAAAAAAAATTCCAGCATTTCTAATGCACTTCGTATGATCATTGTTATGCTATGGACATAAATGATAAGCCTTAAATATGATTTTCTGCCTCAAAAAAACAAGCTCACGTTTCACATTCAGTGTTGTTTTAGTATCTAACTAGAATTGATATACTATTATAGTTTAAGTTTGTGTGGTTTATTTATTTATATATATATATATATATATATGTCTATATACTTTTTATTAGGTTTTAGTCAATTTTTTAATATAAAAAACAATATTTTAATATAAACTAAACAAAAATGAGAAATGTTGCCTGAAATGAAATGTTAAAAAAAAATGTATGTTTTATTTTAGTTAATGTGTATTTAATTTCAAGTACGGATATTTTTTTATGGCTTCAGTTTCAGTTAAAGATAATAACCCTGGCTCTGTTACTACAATATTAAATGTAATAGGAGCAGAGCTGGCTCTCCCTAAGCGAACCAAGCGGCTGCTTAGGGCCCCGCCGCCACTAGGGGGCCCCCTAACTACAGATGGTAGTCGCCGGCGTCGCCGATCAAAGTGTGGGGCGCGCCATCACTGGTGGGGAATAGACAAGGGGGTAATCCATCAGCCGGAAGTTGAAGCTGCCTCCGGGGGCCGCCATTGTAGCTGGCTATCACCTGCTGTTAGCATCCCATTGACTCCCATTAATTTTGGCCCGTAGCCCATAGATAGAGTTCATAAAAGCAACGGGACAAAATATTTCAACAACAGATTTGTTTCAAATTTCAATTCAGATTTGTCCCGGCATAGCTACTAGAAGGTCAGAACGGTTGCTCACGTGACAACTACGTCGTCAAGCTCAGTTTGAGCCTGCGCAGAACGCTTGGCTATCAGGAAGTGAGTGCCCATGTTGGGCTTCAACTCTCTTCGTTGAAATCAACGGGGTCGCTGTGTCCATTTCTTTTACTGTCTATGGGAATAGAGACGTGACAGGTGCGCCGCGCCAACGGGAGGAAATTTTCCTTTTTATGCCTTTATATCTGTATTCGTTCATGGCGAGTCCGCATTGTAACTTCATCAACTTAATCTTTGGAACGACGCAGAAAACACCAGTTTATTAATAAACAATTAAATGTCTCCTTGCTATTTTTTACACATTCATAATCATTAGCCTATTTATGCCGGTTCGTGTGCTTGAGTGCGGCTTTAGAACACTCCTGTATATCCTATTTAAGTTATTAAATCAATATAAAGGGGCGATTTGTCCACTAAACAATTACTAGTCGACTAGAAAAAAACTTTAGTCAGAGGCAGCCCTTATTCCACATATTTTGGAACCAGCAGGGTTGAGCGCGCAACCCTGAGCGCCGGAATGAGCGAGCCGAGGAATATTCAGAAATGCGCTCTCCGCTCATGCTCTGATCGGAACAAAGGAATATTAAAATAATTAATCACTAGTTTATATCTCATATACTGCCCATCATTTTAATCCCATATCAAACACAGCAGCCTATGTTATGTCTATTTTGATTTTTTTTAAATAGACCTGTCTTGCCAAATGGATTTCTCTTATTTTCTTTTTTTAACAGATTGCAAAGTGCCACTTTTATTTCTTTTCTATTTTTGAACTTGATACACATCTTGACACAGCTGCACTATTATTTTCTTTATTTTTGAACTTGCTGTTATGTAATTTGATGTAGATAGTTAGTTTGTATTCAGATACTACTTGTTACTTCAATAAATTGGAATATTTTAAGCTTTTCATTAGCATTGTGTTAGGGCGATGGGGGCAGTGGGGCTTGAAAATTCCCCCTTGTCCAAAGTGGGGAATGACCGAAAAAGTTTGAGAACCACTGCGTTAAAGCTGCAGTAGGGAGTTTTGAGAAAACGTTGACTTAGCCTGAAAATTTGAACAAGCACAACTTACAGGTCCCACCCCCTTGCTCTCTGCTGTTATGCTCTCTGCATTTTATCTACATGTTATGCGGCTAGAGTTTTGACACGAGTCAATGGGCTCTGTGTAATTCTTTCTTTTTCGCTTGTTTATCGTCATCAGTCTTTTTCCTTTTACCTCTTTGTTTTATGAACAGGTGTCACTCGAGAATTGGCAGTTTAGGTTGTTTCTCCGTCATAAGCACAGCTGCAGCTCGCCGGCAATCTTGAGTTTGAACGACGGCTCGCGCTGTGCAAGAGAGGGGTGTGATCAGCGCGTACACGAGCGTGATTGACACTGCTAAGACATTCCTCCTGGCTCTGATTGGTTGTTTCTGACCGGGAGCGTGTATTTCTTGCAAATGGCAATAGGACCACTGGGAGGAGCCAGAAGAGCTTGATTTTTACACAGATTATCTGTCTCATATTCTACTGTCAGGACATAATGACAGTTTTAGCAAATACATTTTTTCAAAAGTTACCTACAGCAGCTTTAAGTCAACCAACCGTGTCAGATCGTTGTCTTCCCTGGACTTGGAAATATGACCGCAAAAATGAAACGAGTCTATCCATCGGGTGCAGAAAAAAAGAAGAATATTTAAATCACTTTAAAAGGAAGCAAAGAAATTACTGGTCCAACTTCTCTCTCTTTTTAAAGTGTGGAAAAGGGAAAAGAAGTTCAAAGATCGAGACTCCAGCAACACCTGTAGTATATGCAACAACTTTATTAAAGATTTGTTAGATTGGGGATAGATTGTATACAGTTGCTGGTTTGCCGTGGCAATACTCCATTATTTACTGCAAGGCAGGGCCCCAAAATTATCCTGCTTAGGGCCCCCAGATTTACAGAGCCGGCCCTGAATAGGAGTAAACAGTAGATGACCTTAACGATTTTTATATTTATGGCCTACTTCCTTTATGGCCTACTTCCTGAGAAACATTTAAAGTCCCCCTGTAGTCAATAATTTTATCCCTTAAAACTCATCTTTGATCACCTAAATGACATGTGTAAACGTTTTTTTCCTTGAAAAAAAAATTATCATGCCTTAAAATGTCGTGTAACTCGACACCCTTGCCTCATTTAGTATACGCGGTTCTATGAATATGCAAATGAGCCCCGCCTCCACTCACTCAGCCAGCTCAGAGATCCAATGGTTGACGATCACATGTTGATCTGATTGGTTACAAGGTCGTTTGTGACGTCAGAAACACCAGCGATTTCAAACCGTGTTTTTGAGACTGTCTTTGGTTCACTGCAGTTTTAAGCAGAAAATACTCAGCAATGCTGTCGACTTATGAATTTACACATGGTGTGTCTTAAAGCTTATTAAAAACACCACATAGACATATAAACAACATTAAAAACTTACGACTTAAGTCTTTAAACAGTGCCAATTGATCCATTTAGTTTGTTAATAAGCAAACAAATTCTCATTCGTGGATGGTTTTAATGAAAGTTTGACGTCTTTGACAGGTACTCTGTTGCCACGGTTACCCTCGGAGCCGGGAATGACTTTGCTCACGCTGGCGATAGAGAAGATCGGTCTGAAAGATGCAGGACAGTGTATCGACCCGTACATCACAGTCAGTGTTAAAGGTAGAGCTCAGCAGCGTTTCTGAACCTCAGATTTACTGCCCTGACACTCTATTACGTATTCTCTCTGTTTCCTTCTCCAGATTTGAACGGTATAGACTTGAATCCAGTTCAGGAGACTCCAGTGGCCACGCGGAAAGAGGACACGTATATTCATTTTAGCGTGGAAGTGGAAATCCAGAAACATCTAGAAAAACTACCGAAAGGTCTCACTTTGCTCTTAAGCGTAACTGAAGAAGTCGTTGTGCATTGCTTGTTGCAGTCGCGCATGTTTTGGATATCACATTAAGATGGTGTATGATATATAATACACTGGTAACAATTTACAATAAACTAAACAATGTGCAATTATCTATAATGTTAGTTAATACAAATACGGCTGTTCATTGTCAATTCATGTTAACTCGGGTCCAGATACAACTAAGATTCATAAATGCTTTAGAAGTATTTTATTGTTAGTTCATGGTAAATTATGTAGTTAACAAATGAAACCTTATTGTAAGGTGTCAACATTACACTATATTTTTGCACTTGGTCATTTTCATGTGTCTCTTCTGTAGGTACAGCTATTTTCTTTGAATTCAAACACTACAAACCCAAGAAAAGGTTCACCAGCACTAAGTGTTTTGCCTTCATGGAAATGGATGAAATCAAACCAGGTCCCATTGTTATAGAATTGTGAGTACAAGATGAGTTATTCCAGATTGTTGCATCTACACCGTACCTACATTTAACTAACAGACAAATAGTTAAAAATAGTTCAAATTAAATGATGTACTTTCGCTGGTGTTGTTCTAGTGCCGTATACCCCCCTTTTTTTATTGGACCTCAAAAGGAGAATATTTAAAGGAATAGTTCACTTTAAAATAAATGTTTGGTATGTTTTAGCTTACCTCAAGGGCATCCAAGATGTAGGTGTCTTTGTTTCCGCAGTAGTTTCAATTTTGATATTTTTAGGTCAAACCGTTCTTGTCTGTCAGTCATATAATGCAGGTCTATGGTCACCACCTCAAAGAGCATGCACAGAGAAGTCCAAATTAAACATGATTTAATGATTTGTAAATGTAAGTACACATTGATGGCCTAAGACACGAAACGAGCGGTTTGTGTGAGAAAACGAACAGTATTTATATCGTTTTTACCTCTTGTAAACACAGCCACGTCCAAGTGATCTGAGGGCGCGGGCGCTTCGGTCTGCGCAACTTTAAATATATGACACGTGTCACATGGGATCATTCTGTGATACTTTTTTGTCATTTTTAAAAGCTTAATGCCGGTCGCTATTCACTGCTGTTGTAATGATGAGTGCGAGCGGGACATTTTTTTTCTTTCTTTTTTATAATCCTCCTTCTGTTGTCCATAAGGGCATACGACATTAGAACAACACCAGGGTGCGTAAATGATGAATTGATTTTCATTTTAGGGTGAACTATCCCTTTAATATGCAATGCAATCTGGTTTTAGGTACAAGAAACCAACTGACTTCAAGAGGAAAAAGCTCAACCTCCTGACGAAGAAACCACTTTACCTGCACCTTAACCAGACTTTGCACAAAGACTAAATAAAGATCATACAGCCAAACACACAAAGGACAGGAGAGGGATACACTCTGTGTGTCGACTCTCACATTCCTTGCAATATCTGACTCTTTTATTCATATCCTCAGTCGGATGTCTCCATCGCTCTTCATCTGAAAGAGAGTTGAGCATTTCAAAAACTGAATGGTGTACAAAGAAATGCTCTGTATGATGATTTCTGATGAAAGCGGATATAACTACTTGTTTACGTAACACTTCCCATTGGGTTTTTACATTTTTATTTAATTAAAGAAACTACTCCCCCCTCATGTTCCAAACCTGTATGCTGTTATTATTTTGAAAAGATTTTTCACATCGATTTTCAATTCAGTGACTGTTAATAGAGCTTCAAAAACATAAAAATAGCCCATTGACTAACTTAATGCATTCGGTTCGGTAATGAAATGCAAGATTAAGTTGCCGTTTAGTTCTTAAAACATTTAATCTGAACATGTTGAGAGTTCAATTACTTGATTTGTTTGTTGTGGGTGGAAAATCAGCATAGAAGTTTGGAACTGAGGGTGCGTAAATAAAGACTGAAAATTACATTTTTGGTGAGTTGTAAATGTTTAACAGGCAGGCTTGTTGATTTTATGGAGTGGTTATTGCATCATACACATGGAGTACATAAAACCCCTGAAGAAACAACACTGACAAACAAACTCAAATATAATATGTTAGTTTTTGAAATATCTTCAGGTTTTCTCAACTGGTTAAACAGTTTTCCGTTGGCTAACTTATTCTCGCTAAGTTTAGCATTAGAGCATTAATACTTGTTTGAAATGTGGCCTTTGGCTTATTAATATCATGGAAGATCTATCACAATAATGTATATTTAAGATGTTTATTTGAGAATTAATCAGAAAAGCCAGTAAATATATGGAATTTGACCGTATAAGAGAGAAACTGGAGCGAAGGCATGTCGGTTTTGTAATTAGCTCACACTTTGCTCTGTGTGGTTAGTTTGAGGAAATTGCGGTTTTAATTTGTAATTTACGTCCGGCTTAGTTTCTCAAACTGTTTTTTACCAAGTTTAACTACAACTAAATGATTTCTGTGGAAGATTGACCTCGGGACAGTTTCTGACAGGATCTTTCCAGATATATATAAAAAAATGTATTAAGGAAATAACTGATGCTTTCCCATCAGGCTGTTTAATTATGTTGTATTAAATGTCAATGTTGGAGTCTCGGAATCATCAAAACCAACTAAATGGTTAAAAAGTATTGCATTTCTGTGAAGAGTGTTTGATGGACGATGCCGATCTGTTTTTAAAACGTCCCATTTCTAATAAATGACAATGCTGATTGAATCAAGGGTATCATGAATGAGGACATGCTGGCATGATTTACTAAATGCAAATTACCTGGATTTATGGACAATGCATTAGTCCAGAGTGAAATGAAATCCCATACGAGTTACTGCCTGTTTGCTATAGGAAGATGCTGAGATTCACACTTAAATAAAGATGTATTGCATTAGAATGATCAAATGTCTCCGAAATATCTCCGACCTTAATGTATTCGAATCAGCTGGTGTTTTGTTTATTTTTAGTGGATGTATTATACACTGGTGTATCCACTAACCACAGACACACCTAGAAAAAAAAAAAAAAAAAAAAATCACACATACTGCATTTGCATTCCTTATTTGCAACTCCACATTGATCGTTTAGTATTTCAAACCATGCAAACTTCTATTTGACAATCATTTCAAAATTTGTGCATGCTCCTTGAAATAGATAACCAATAAAGTTAAATATTTTGTATCTAAATCAATGACATTCAAATATTTGTAGGTGTATCTTAAGTGTCTAAATACTCTTTGGGGCAAACGCTAGCATGATTCATTGCTAACTGCGAATGTCCTGGATTATTTAGTCCATATCAGCTGGACGGGTGTTGAAAAATGCTGAGATAAATGACACAGAAATGCTAGATTTGCCAGTAAACACATTCATCAAAACTACAGGAAAAAGCAGCTTTATTCAAATCATTCATTCCCACGATATCAATGCCACTTATTTTTAAAACCGTTTCTTCCCTAGGATTTCAACACATGATGCAGACACTCTTAGATGCATCCTCTCAACACACTTACTAAAATAATTTACTCTAATATCAACAAAACAGTATATGCCACAAAAAAACAAACAAAAAAAGTTATTTTGATTTTGAGGACTGGAGTATTTTTGTTTCCAAGAGCATTGCATCAAAAACCCAGAGAACATCATTCACAGGCCTCGTTCATGAAACATGACAGAATGATTTTCTGTGCAATTCTGAGGATTAAACAAGATGAGAGTAAATGGTTCATAAAAACAACTATGTTAATTATTGCAATTCAGTGAATCGTTTGCTCGTAAAATCATTCCTGCGTGAATTGAATGATAAATGTTTTTACATCGTTCATAAAATCATTTTTATGCAAATAGACATTGAATTCAATGCAGCAATTTACATAAGAACAATTCAAATCTTTTGTTGCACGCAAATTAATTCTGCTCACGTTTCATTAATAAAAAGCATCGCCCGTGAGATGATTTTGTCTCTACACAAACATTACAGTCCAACACTCATTAATACATTTGGCTGTATGAAAACTCAGATGTACAACAGAGAAGTTCATCAGTTTCCATTGAGCACATTAGGGACGTCTGATTTATGAGAATATTTTATTTGTATACGCAGCTGAAAGAAATGTATAAATACTTTGTCAATATGACATCATTTGTGCCTTTCCGTTAGGAAAAGAAATCATAAGAGCAGACGAACGTCAAATCAAAGTTAAAATAAACAAGTGAGCTCGCGAATCAGGACTAAAAGCGACCAGACAGGAATATGGGAAAATAATGTGCATTCAAAAATGGTGAAAAAGGCATAAAAATTCAGAGTCCTCTCACATTAAAGGCATGAGGAAATGGCTTCATTACAGGTTTGTCTCACGTGCCTAAATATTTTGTTTGATATCCCAAAATGCATCAGCACTGGGCGAGTGGTAGATACAATAATTTTAACCACATGACAACCACCGGAAAAAGAGAAAATTAAACGTATATTAAATCAAAACTATTTCCATAGGAAAGGTTTGCTAATGTATATAAAATCAAAACCCTCATAATTTCTGTCACAAATGTGTTGAAACAAAATTAAGCACAAAATCAAACTTGAGTTTATCTTCCCACCCAGACCAGATGTGGCATTTTGATGCTTAAATATCGAAAAGAATCAGGACCGAAACAAAGTCAAGCTGACAAAACGGCTTGTTGTCTCAAGTAGTGTTGTCAAAAGTACCGACTCCGGTAAAAATGTGACGCTTTGAGTGCTGTTGAGCGGAATCGTAAACACCTCTGATTGGCTGTTGTCTTCACACGCTCATCAAACATGTCTGTGATTGGCTACAATGATCAGCGCTTCAAAAATATGTAAATATACATCAATGACGCTCTTCAGCAAGCGCTTGCACCGATACACACGCGAGCATTTGAAGCAAGCGTCAATCAGGGGATCAATCCTGCTTGTGCTTTCAAACGCTCCTGCTTTCAAACACTCCGGTGTGCTCTCAAACACTCCCGTGCGTTGATCATTGTAGCCAATCACAGACATATCCGATGAGCGCGTGAACACAATGGCCAATCAGAGGTGTTTTTGATTCCGCTCAACAGCACATTTTTAAAATTTCAGTATCAACTTGGTACCGAAGTCGGTTCTTTTGACAACACTACTCTCAAGGCTCAGCCATTGTGGATCCGCCGGCGTTCTGATGGGAGCCGTCCGTTGGCGGGACGTTGGCTGGTGTGGCGTTCCCGTCACCGTCTCTGGAGCTGTGAGGAATCAGCGGAGCGGGTCCCGGGAAACCACGTCCTGCGTATGAAGGAGGAATCATTGATCCGGGAGGGAAGGGACGAGGGGGAAGTCCTCGAGGTCCAAAAAATTCGGGCGGGACGTCGCGCGGCCCAAGTGGATGTGGAGGCAGGGGTCCCAACGGTGGTCCTCGTACTGATGAAACAAAATGCAATGGAAAGTTTCAGTTAATGATGCAATGAAAACAAATATTTGTCTAAAAAAAATTTCAAAACTGAGTGGCAGTGAGGTTTAATAGCACCATTTTTGACAGGGATTAAAACTTGGGGTGTGCGGGATAGAATAGTGCGTTTAAATTATGGTAGTTGTTTACCAACATACCGATTGTTCTTTCTTTAAAAAAAAAAAACTTTCAGCAGACAAAAGCTCAATAAAACAGTTTTAAAAGTTGCGAGTAGGGTTGTCAAACGTACCGTAAACGTAAAAAAAAGGCGCTGCTGTCAAACGCTCTCGTTCATGTTTGTTTGAGTGTCTCTGAGTGTCAAAGGTTTCCATTTACAGTGTGTTTCTACAACCGTTGAGCATTGTAGCTAGGGAAGATCCGATGTGAACATTTTGGTCGATACCGATAGCAATTATTCATTATATTTGAAAGCCGATAACCGATATATCGGCCGATAAATTTAAATCCAAATTTAATGTGCGCTGTTCCTTTTTTGAAGTGATTACAATCATATTTCATGCAATTCAAACCCATCATGTTGAACAGTCGCATCTGAAGTGTCTCAGCTGGAGGAAATAATACATTATTTATCAGCTTTAATATATCAGCCAAATTTTCTTATCGTGCCGATAACGATAACATTAAAAATGATCATATATCGGCGATACTGATATGGTGGCCGATATATCATGCATCCTTAATTGTAGCCAATCGAAATCATATCTGTTGACAAGTGAACGCAATGGCCAATCAGAGGTGCTAGTCAGTGAGTTAGTCAGAATCCGTTTAACAACGCTGAAAACGCACAAGGTTTTGCCGTTTAACGCGTGGCTCACACTTGCGAATCCTTTCATTATAACTAAAGTGTAAACGAGATTCATTGTACAATAATGACAGCGTTTTTGATTATAACGGGAGTTTTTTACAAGAGTGCAGAATTCAGTGAGCTTGCGCTTTAGAGACTGACAGCCTTAGTGATTATAAAGCAGTTCATTTAGTAGGGCTGTAGTCAACCAAAGAAATCCTTAGTCGACCAAAGTCCTGTCCTGCGCAACGATCAGTCAAAGAAAAAAAAAAAAAAGACTGTTAAATGTTATGTTAAATGTTTTGCATTTTGATTGAACATTTATTAAACAATTGTCATAGAGCATTTATAAAACAACAACGAAAAAACATCAATAATACATACAACTATAACACAATTATTTGAAAATTAAGTGATTTTTTTTTTAACTGCAAAGTGAGGAGCTCTGTCCTAGGTCTATAGTGACAGTCACAATCGCGCACCTGACCACACCACACGCTACAAAAAATATAACTGCTAAAACTGCCAAATAATGACAAATCCTAACAAAAGCTCTCGTTTATACAGGCTGTAGCTATAGCTATTCTTCTTTACTTTCAAAGCTATGGGTTAACGTTTGTCCAGCTGATCTAGGCGTTTTAAAACAAACACACAAAAAACCCAAATAGCCTACTAGCGCGCTCAAGTTTGTTATTTCAAATGTAGGCACGCGGTATGCGCGCTCATAATGGAAGCGACGCGCTTGTTTTTTCCAAGCGCGTCCGCGCCGCAGCAGCAGTGCAGCCACAGGTGCGGTTCCCGAGTGTTCTACGTGGTGCGCTAAACTGTGGCGCTGTTACAAAATAGCCTAAATTACAGTATTTAAAGTTGGGGATAAAACATAGGCTAATTATATTTAGAATACAGTAATATATAACTGCGTATAAAGGAATAAATATCAAGGAGTAAATCAATGAAAATTTATTTCTATTGGTGAAAAATAAAAAAGTAAAAAAAATAAAAATATGCAACTGGTCGACCAATGAGAATGTCAGTCGACCAAGACAGCATCGACCGATTAGTCGACTAAACCAGCGGTTTTCAATAGGTGAGGCGCGCCTCCCCAGGGGGGCGCCAAAGAGCGACAGGGGAGGCGCGACACGCGAAGAAAAATTAACTGTATGCAGCTCTTGAGCTCTATTAATATCGGCTGTGAGGAAAAAAAGATTTTTGGGGGGAAACTTGCATGCGGTTTAATATTTTCGAGTCAATTAATTTCACCTACCAATCATATGAGAGGAACGCAGCTCTAACACGTTACAAGCCTATCAGAAGCAGAGCAGGTCCAGGCAACACAGTATGATTGAGATACGTCAGCGTCGTCGGTGAAAGCATGGAGCGCGAGTTAAAAAAAAAAAAAAAATTGGAGCGCAAGTTCATGAAGCCTGGGGATGATGTCCTACCCACGGGCGTAATTTCCTATGCGGACAGGGGGGACATGTCCCCCTACACTTTTCAAAATCCCGTTTGTGTCGTTTGGGAAGAAAGAAATATCTGAGAGACCGTTTTGAGGCAAATAAATGGAAATTTTATAATTATATAGAGTTGACACTGCGTAAGAGAGACCAAGTGTGTCCGAGCATTAGTAAATTGGTCCATAGTAATATATAATTACTATATAAGAGAAGAGGCATGGTTCGTTCGAGCAAGTTCGATAAATGGACAATAATATGTTGTCCAAGCCGATTTACTGTGCATGCGTGGTACGCGTTCACCGAGCGGACCTCAGCAGACAGTAAATATACAAGTAGTGCGCGCCATAGACATAATAATTATGTCTATGGTGCGCGCCCGTGCTGTCCGCGGCTGTCCATGTACGCGTCCAAACTGGAGTATATTTTGTGCTTCACACACACACACAAGACGCACAGAAAGACACGCGCCAGTATCGAGTTATCTTTCGCGCTTGAACGAAAAATAACACAGACATTTAGGCTATGCCAAAATGTCCGTTTTGTCGAGTATCTTCACAAGAATAGTCTTAAATGAGTTAAATACAATCTTAAATGAAAGTAAAGAGTAGTGAGAGAATGAGATGCGTGAGATCCTGTCAGCAGGTCTTAAAGTGACAGTAGCCACTAATTCTCTCTGTCAGTAAAGTTAACGAAAGAACAAAGAGAACATAGAAAATTACTCACTACTCTTGAGTAAGGAACGCTTGTAGCTTTAATAACGATTAATCTATATTTCATTTATAATTTATGCAGTACGGACTGTTTTATAACCTTATTCAATTTCTGTATATTTCATACCTGTTAGACAGGAAAGGTACGGGCAAATATGACATTTATTATGGGTTTAAGTGAGGATCGTTTTAAGTTAACTTAAATTAAAAGTTGTTATATTTTTTGAAGCTTAAAGGGTAAGTTCGGTATTTTACAATTAAAGCCCTGTTTTAAGATCGTTTCTAAAGAAATCGAACGGTTAAGATTAAAGTTTGGACACATGCTGCTGTCCCGAGAATTTTAGGTTTATTTGGTAGCTCCCCCAACCTCTACAATGCTTTCATAGCATATGAAAGAATCATTCATAAAACGCATATAATAAAATACCGAACTTAGCCTTTAATGTATGGAGCAAAAATAATTTTCATGGAGACATCATAGCTATATTAATATCAGTGATACTGGACCTTCATTCATAAAAAGATGCCATTAACATACAGCCATAATACTTGAAAATAAATCAATTGAAGAGAAGTCCGTCTGTGCGGTTTCTCTCCAATCGGCTTTGGCGCCGATTACACGTTAAGCATGTTTTGTTGACTTGTGGTTAGGCCTACTGACGTTCAGTGATTTTAAATTAGGCCTGCATGAAGTTGGAAATGATTTGCTGTTGCAAAGAATCGTTTATGAATGCACTTTAAAAAAAAGTTGTGGAAATAAAATGTCTTCAAATACAATATTAAAAAATATTTACATTTTATCTGTTTTATTGAAACTCTTCATTGCCTGGAACACACAAAAGATGGCATTTACTGCAGAGGCGTGTGGGGGTTAGGGCAGGCGGACAGGATTTTGGGGAAGGTGGGGCTCGGCTGTCCTTACCTACTGTAAGGGGAGGCTCACATTCACCCAATTTGAAAACCCCTGGACTAAACGACTAAAGTTGACAGCCCTATCATTTAGTTATCAAAAAACGATGACGAAAAAAAAAAGTTAATCAATGAGCTTTTTAGATACAACTTACTGAAATGAATCATGTCTCATGTAATCAATCAATCCGTGTTCCAACCACGGAAAGACACCAACAGACCATCTTGAGAACATGAGGGGCTTTCGCACCGGAGGAACTAGGAACAATTTTAGTTCTAGGAACTCCTTTTGGAGGAACTAATTTACTCCTACTCCAGAGTCGGTCTAAACCAGCGCTATAAGAACTATCTGTGACGTTAGTGTTCGCTGATTGGCCATTTAAAAAAGAAAAAGAAAAAAAAGCTGTGTAAACACACAGATTATAGCCTATATATTTACTCCAGAAACTAACTCTACGAACATGTAAAACAGTGATAGACTGATCTATCCTCTTAACCTTTACGCTGAGGACAAAATCCAACGCGACTTTGAGGAGACCAAGAGAAACATGATTATGTATGTATGCTCAGCAACACTGGACATCAACCACACGGCAAACGCTAATAACTTTCATTACGGTCTACTTTCTATGTCTACGGTCTACGGTCTACTTTCTATAATAACGTATTACACAGGACATCGCAAACTAATGAACAGCTAGCACTGTGAGCTCAGGCTCTGGCGTTCTCAGCGCTGTCAAAATAAAAGTCTCAACAACAAGCACGGCTTACGTCACTTCAGAGTTCCTATAGCGGTGCGAATGCAACCAGGAAAACGTTCCTAAGGGGAACCATTAGTTATCGGGGAATCACCCTGGTGGCTCGTTGCCTCGTTCCTATAACTATCCAAGGCGAAAGCCCCCAATTTGACATAATTTCATCAAGAATGTCATTCAATGACCATAAACTCAATAGTCAGCTAGAAAAATAACTCTAGAGAAGAGCATTTTGCTAAATGTATACACTATATTTATATTTTTACATAACTTGATAGTAATGTCTTTGTTATTTAGTGTATGTTTGAATAAATCTGTCATGAAAACACAAAAACAGTGTCAGATAACTTACCAAAAGGTGGCGGTACAGGTCCATACGGGCCAATCGGAGGAGGGCCGTAAGAATCCATGTGTGGCGGTCTGAAGCGAGGCTCAGGGGGCATCATGGGAAGGTGGCCATTGGGCGGTCGGATCATCATTGGCGGCGGCCCATTGGGCGGCATGATCGGGGGTCCGTAAGACTTGGGTGGCGGAACCGGAGAATCCCGGATGGGAGAAGGCAGGAAAGATCCCTGACTCTGAGACTTGGAGAGCTGGAAGATGAGATGCAGAACAACAGGTTATGGAAAAATAATTATTACTGGGGCGATTTAACGGTGGATTCCTGTTAACCGACCCAAGCAGATGTCAGTGAACCATCGTAAGACCAGAAACATACTTTAAACAAGATCGCAACAGCTGAAACAAAATATTTACTTGAAAATTTTAAGTTATTATTTCAATAATCGAACGACACATTATCATGTTCATGGTTCTCTGATGCTTATTAGTTATACTGGTTTTAGGAACCCAATCAAATTAAATATTATTATAATAATATATCAGTTCTAATTATTAACTAAAAATAATGAATATAATGGTTGAGTATTAATAAATTGAGAAAAATATATTACTGTTGTAAATTACAATTACACTGTAAAATAAAAATAAATTTGATATTTTTATACTACAAGTTACAATACTAATATTTGTCTTTTAATTATTTTCTTTCAAACTCTAAAGCTTAACAATTCAAAGTCTCGAGCTTAATTAATTATAATTAAAAGTGATGATTATTAGTCTAACTCTAATTATACAAAATTAACAGAAATATTAAGTCGTAAATTACAATTGTACAGTAAAATAAAATTAATGTAAATTATAATAATTTTATTTTACACTATAGTAGTTCAAAAATGTTGGAAATTACATTTGTAACTAAAATAAACCTGACGCATGTTGCGTTCTTATGCAACGTTACTTAATTAAACCCAAGTCTTTAATTTGGACCCATTCCCAATTTTATTTAATAATCTCAACATTTTTTGTTTTCTTTTTATTTCCTTTGCTCTATCCTGCATACTAATAAGCCAACGCTATTATCAATAAATGTTTTTTTTTTATGTTATTTTAAACATTTATATTATTTTAAGTAACAAAAATGTTTTAGTTTCCTATACTAACCCTGGGTAGAACATGTACTTGTGGTGAGTTTTGCTGCATTGCATTATGAATTGCAACCAAACCGAGCGTGCATTGCTATAAATCATTGGCATGCATACTTGCGTAGAGTATGTTTCAGGCGTAAGACATGCTGGAACTCACTCCCAAACATGAGTTTTGTTAAACATACCACAACATTCTGAGCACAAGACCCAAGACGGTGATTAGAAAGTGAAAAGAAACACATCTTGATGAACAAAACTTGTGTTTAATCAGACTCTGAAGACCCAAACACAAGTGACAAAAGCCATGAGCCACAACCAAATGTGTCATCTGCACCCTGCCACTGTGCACAAACCCGTCCCATCATCCATCCCAGCACCCAGTCGCAGTACTCACGGGCTCTACGGGCTCAGACGAGACCTGCTCGGCCGTCTCTGTGACCGGTGCGGTCTGCTTCAAAGCAAACACACCCACCGCCGTTTAATCGGAGAACAACATCTATGCATGACATTTACTGGAGATCGGCTTGCTCACATGTGAACATTGCACATCAAATTACAAAAAAAACAAACAAAAAAAACTGATCTTTACCATTGGTCCATCATGTGCACATGGTGATGATGTCATCGGAGGAAACATTTCTGAAAAAGACAAAATGACAAGTTAGGCACACTCAAAACTATGGAAGCTTGTTTCCGCCACAGAATGAAAAATAAAGAAGGTAATTGCGACTTTTTATCTCACAATTCTGACTTTTTTTCTCACAATTGCGAGATATAAAGTCAGAATTGCGTGAAATAAAGTCGCAATTGCATGTTATAAAGTCAGAAATGCATGATATAAAGTCGCAATTGCGTGTTGTAAAGTTAGAATTGTGAGATATAAAGTCAGAAATGTGAGATATAAACTATTCTGAGGGGGAAAAAGGCAGTCTTTTTCCCCCCTTAGAATTGGCCTGATAACTCACAATTGCGAGTTTATATCTCACAATTCTGAGAAAAGATGTCAGAATTTCGAGATGTAAACTCGCAATTGTGAGAAAAAAAGTCAGAATTGTGAGATAAGTCTCAATTCTGTCTTTTTTTCTCGCAATTGCGACTATTTCTCATAATTGCGACTTTATATCTCGCAATTGCGACTTTATTTCTCAGAGTTGCAACTTTATTTCTCGCAATTGCGAATATTTCTCACAATTCTCGCAATTGTGAGATAAAATGTTGCAATTTAATTTAATTTTATTTTTATTCAGTGGCGGAAACAAGCTTCCATACAAAACTGCAATGCAAACCAAAAAAATTATAATAATAAAAATCCAACACGTTTGAAATATTTATTTTATTTACAGTATTAGATTTTTAAATTACATGGAGTATTTAAATGTTAATGTAATAAATGGAATTAATAAGTGTATTTATTTATGCCATATCAGTAATAAGGCTATTTCCATGGCGAAAACAGAATAAACAACATAAATGGATGAGTGTAAAAAACGGTACACTACTATTTAAATGTTTAGGGTCAGTAAGATTTTTTGATGATGAAATTAATACTTTTTTCAACAAGGATGCATTATTTGATCTAAAATGACAAATACTTTCTATTCATTAAAGAATCCTGAAAAATGTATTTTTTTCAGTAATATTTTTCAACTAATAATAATCAGAAATGTTTCTTGAGCAGCAAATCATCATATTCAAATAATTTATTGAAGGATCATGTGACACTGAAGACTGAAAATTCAGTTTGATCACAGGAATAAATGATATTTTACAATATATTCAAATAGAAAACAGCTGTTTTACACAATAAAAATATTTCACATTATTACTGTTTTCACTGGTTTGCTACAGGTTGTATCAAAAGCACCTGGTCGGGATGGCAGCGGGTGTCCGAGGTCCGAGAAGCGTCCGTGAGGGTCAGACGGGGGTCGTGGACCTGGAACACATCACAAGTGATCAGGAGCCGTTCGTTATCAATCGTTTTAGCCTGAGGACTAAACATCTGTGCCCGGTTGCATAAAGCACCTTAAGATTTTCCCTTAAGTATGAGACTAAGGGTGCTTTCACATCTGTAGTTCGGTTCATTTGGTCCGGACCAAGGGCGAAAAATTATACTTTGTAGCATTTATCAGGCGTTTTCGTTCGTTTTCACGCCACACTGATTGCGGTATTTTTTTTGGGGGGGGGGGGGGGGGGGGGGGGGGGGGGTTAGGGGGGTATTTTTTCCAAACAAAATTATTACATTTATCTTGCCTAAATGTTTGCGCTCATTGCATTTTTACAATGGGGTAATTTTGTTGTTAAGAATTTACACAACACAAAGAAGCTTGATTTAAATTGTTTAATTAAATTAAATAAAGTAGCACAAATAAATACAACAGAATAAAGACAAATAAAGAGAAAAGTTCTAACACTAGTATTCATATACAGAAACTGAATAAAGTAATCAAATGGAAAATAACACTGGGTAGTATTTTAGTCCTGAATAAATTAAATACATAGGCTATTAATCCTGATTCCTTTAACTTAAAGCTAGCTTTTGTTGTTTTGACAACAAAATTGATGACAGACACATTTGGCTGCCGTCACTTTAAGAGCTAGTGCACGGATCCTGTGTTCATTATACTGGCATGCGTTTTATACTTATTAAAAACAAAACCGACTATGTTTAGAGTATACTCACGAAGACCGAAATTGACACAATTTTGCGTGTTAAAGCAATATAATCCGTGAAAAATAACTTTTGTTACTGGCCAGCTGTTTTTACGGCGGATTTTCTCTGAATGTGCGCATAGAAAATCATCTCAGAGAGCGGGCGAGCACTGATTAGTTTAAAATCGCTTGAATGTTTAAACTGGTAAGACTTAAAAAGACGTGCAAATGGTAAACTTCAGTCACGATGCACTGCTGGCCCGATTGTGCAAGTGAATATTCCATCATGTCCCGACTCCTAAACGCGAGTGTATTATCGCCGCAGCGCTTGATGCTTGCCTTGCACAACACATTTTGAGAGAAGAGATAGAAGACGCGGCACCGCTGAACACTCACGCTGTTTGTGAAATTGCGTCTGGCAGAGAGTTGTTAAACGAATGATTTGATTTTATAATCTGTGCAGGGCTCCAGACTAACTTTTCCACTGGTTGCACTGGTGCTACCAACTTTCTCAGTTGGTCGCACCAGCATATGATTTGGTCGCACTTTTTTTTTTTGCTACATGCCATGGGATTAATCAATGCATGCTGATGAATAGTGGTTTTAATGGACCAAGGCTAGCAAAGCCTTTCTGGGTTGCAGCAGAAATACCTGTAATATATTAATTATCATTGCCAAATTTCAGGATTTTCATGGATTTTGGACAGTAATTTTAATCTGTAATTAAGCATTTTACATTTGAATTATATACAATCTATCTATTTACATTTGAATCATATTCTATCTATCTATCTATCTATCTATCTATCTATCTATCTATCTATCTATCTATCTATTATCATCTTTCTATCTTTTAAAAATCATTAAACATTCAAATTTATGCATTACATTTTAAAAGATTAGAGTATTATAATAAACTGATACAGATTTTTCGTTATCAAAGTTTATAGTTGTAACAAAAAGCAGAAATCTCACACTCCTTACCTTCTGCATTTTAAAATAATTTCCTTTTCCTCTGTCGAGCGATCATGAGAGTAATCGCTCGACAGAGGAAAATATAACCGCTGAAAAGACGTAGGAGGAAGGGGCTCTGTGTTTCGTGAGACCATTTTTATATGCCTTAATTCGTGAATTCGTAATTGGCGCGTTTCACCATCAGTGTGCAATGTGCGTGACGTCTACGTTCGTCAATAAATAAACTGCACGTGTCTTGCGGAAGAACATTGTAGACCGAACTTCTCTCCGTTAATGTCTATGGCGAGTCACGCAGGCACTGGGCTACTCCGCAGTAGGGATGGGCATTTTTCTAAAATATTGCATTCGAGTATTCGGGCTCATAAAAATCGAATATTCGAATATTCGTTTATTTAAATGACGTTTAACGAAAAAGACGTTATTTTTTAAGTTTAATTTTTTTTTCCGTTTTTGTCACCATTTCTGAACACGCTTACAATTAGGCAATATACACAACAAGCTTACAATATATGTTAAAGTTTTCTTTTAGTTGAAAACATTAAACAGTAGGCCTATGTGTAAACAAAAAATATAAAAAACAAAAGCATTAATAAAAGCATGCTCAAGCAGCGCAAACGGTGAAAAACGCCTAAAGCATATTGCGGCAGATATCGTACAGAATGCACACACACACTCGAGTCAGCATATGATTATCGTGTTTATATTGTTTCACGTTTATATTGAGAAAAACGATATCCACAAGCAGGGGGATGCACCAGCAATTTATGCTCGAGGGAGAAAAGGCGCTTTGCTGACAGACGCTTCAGAGACACAAAGATAACGGTGTTCTAAGTTTCTAACAGCACTTTGCGTTTTCTGTTCTTCAACCTGTCTCCCTCAACGAAACCTAAAGGAAGTATATGTCTCAAAATCATTTTGCTATAAGATAAGTTATCATTTCGGATCACGCGGGGTCCAGCTGCGCTTACCTGCAGTCGTGAATGCAGTGATGGACAGCTGTCTTTCCTCATTCGACTGTTTGGATTTCATGTGATTTCTCATTGTGTTGATGATATTATAACTCAGATTAATTAATTAATTTGATCAAAAGTAATTCCATTTAGTAAGATCATTTTCAAGTAATTCCAAACTTCGCGAGGCAGATGACAACATTATGTGATCAAATACACACAACTTGTTAACACACTCCACAGCACCACCCAGTGCATGTAATTAAAACTGCGAGTTAGTGCTTGGGATTTATCATGGATTCACTGCATTTACGGCCAGCAAAGCAACATAGTAAAATTCGAATAGTATTTTATTTTTGGAATAATAATTACAGATCGAATATTCGAAAATTCTAATATTCGTGCACATCCCTACTCCGCAGCCGAGACGACCCCGGGATAAAATAGTCCAAATATAAACACTTATTATAGGCGTACCATAGTGATTCAGAATAAGTCAAAAACACGGTTTGGAAAATGGATTCATGATGTAGCCTACTCGTTCATTTTGAACATAAGTTATGGACTGCAGCAGCTGATACAACGGCGTTCTGTTGCTCGAGCGTCCACTCGCACAAATGCGACCACACAACATTTTAACTCGCACATTCTCAAAAAATGGTCGCAGTCTGGAACCCTGCTGTGTGGATTACGATTGCGGGAATTTCCCGCATTATAAATGGGAGACCTGCGGGAATTATTAGAATTATGCGCAATCCCGCGCCGAAATTCGAGCCCTGATAAAATTCGATTGCTGCCATGGACACTTTATTTGTTAATACAGATAGCGGTACGTTTCACAGAAAATAGCATAACATGGATAAAGAACACAAAAAAGAAAACCAAATATGAAAGAGAAGGACCAGACGAGACCAAACTCAAATTAATAGTTTACTCAAATTTGGACAATTCTGTCATCATACTCACAATCATGTCGGTCTAAACCCACAAGTCTTTCATTCATCTTTAGACACAAATAAAGACATTTTTAATATTCGCTCATCACTTCTGTCCATTTATTGAAAGACATAAAAGTAATCCGAATGATTCAGGCTGTTTCGAAAGCTCAAACGTGAGAACCAATGGTTTGTTATTGCTCGTGACTAGGGGTGTAACGGTTCACAAAATTCACGGTTCGGTTCGATACAGTGGTGACACGGTTCGGTATGTTTTCGATACAGCAAAAAGAAAAATGTCAGAGAAATGTCCTTGATTTTTTCATTTTTATTTATTTATTAAAACAAACATCATAAAGTGATTTTAAAGTGAATTTTTAAAGATTTTAAAGATTTTTAAAGTGAATACGTGTACCGTTACACCCCTACTCGTGACACATACTTGTGTGTATTTTTTGCAACACCCTTAAGTTTAAGGGAAATCTAAGGTCGTTCTTAAGGGAAAATTACACTTAAGGTGCTTTATGCAACCGGCACTGGAGCTCAGGAGCGTTTCCAATGACAACAGAAGAAAATGAGAGAAAATGAGAGAAGAAATCTAAAAACGCAGAGTGACAAACACAGGAAAGCTGGAAAAAGGAAAGGAGGATAAAGTTGGGAGTCGGGATGGTAAGACTCACCGAACGGTTCGCCCCGTCGCCCTGCAGGTGCAGAGGGGGGGCGTCCGGGACCCTCTATCATTAGAGGAGGAGAGGGAGCCCCCCCGCTCACAGGAGACGGCCCGTACGAATCACCTGTTCAGACCAAACCACCACAATCAGAGAAACATCTTAACACTGCATTATAGGGCTGCACGATACTGGGAAAAACTGACATTGCGATTTATTTATTTTTTGCGATATGAAAATTTCAGCTGATGCATAGAAAATAAATTACAATCATAGGTAAATACAATAGAAAAAAGACAGATAAAATAAGCAGTGCTTTATGTTTTTTTGGGAAATTAACTGTATTCAGGTACAGACATTGAGTAATCAAATGTAAAATAACACTGCATTAATTATATGAATCATATTTTAAGACTATGCAGTTTATCTTTGTTAAAGCTACAAAAGTGATTTTCTCTTTCTCTTTTGTTGTTTGAATAACTTTGATGACACAAACAGTTGCGGGTAAATTGGGCTGCTGTCACTTTAAGACGAAAGCACGTATTCAATACCGTTAATGACAAGCATCCGTTTTCTTTCTCTGTTTACAACTCATAACCGACTGCGTTTACGAGGAAACTCGTCAAGACGGGCATTTTGACTTAGTTTTCCATGCACAAGTCAGTTCATCCACCAATAGATAAAGGGAAGGAACAGCGCACGAGTTCCAGTCTTTTTGCACTTGATCTTTAAACTAACAGACTTAAAAACACATGAAAACGATAAACTGTCACTCTATGATGGTTAAACTTTGCAATTAATCCGCGAATCACAAGCGTTATGGACCGGGGAGCAGCTGGACCATACGGCTCACAGATCAACTACGAACCCTATAGACCAATTTTCAGTTAGTAAACATGGTGACGTTTTTTTGTGGGTGGAGCTTAGGTGGAGGCAGAACGATCCCTCTGGCCGCTTCACTAACGCTAGTTTGCAAGTTTTGTTCGCTTGTTTTTTTAAAATGACTGGAGAAAATCCGATTTTATCTTAATGTGCAAGGTCACTCATTTTAACGGACGGAACCAGATTGGCTGACCCGTACTGTACACGCTCAATGGATGGACGATCTGACAGGATTAACGGTAACGCTACCTTCGGTTGAGTGGCCTGACTTCTACACCTATCCGATAGAGAGGCCTAGCCAGCGCCGAGAAGACGACAATATAAAGAGTGACATTACGGTGCGATGTTAATGATGTGAATATTTTCTAGAAATAAAAATGTCAGATACAGCATATTCATTTTTCATCGATTCTTGCACCCAACAACACAACAAGATGACATTTAATAATAATAATAATAATAATTTAAGCTCCTTATTATGTAGCCGAATCTGTGCTGGTTTGTATTAGCCGCCTCCAGTTGTCCCTTTGTTTTGCCTCCAGCTAGCGCCGTGACGTAACTGTGACGTCGGCTCGAAATTGGTCTATACTACACCGCAATATTGATGCTAAAATGATACATCATGCAGCCCTACTGCATTATACAATTACAAAAGCCTGTCAGACAGCATGTGCACAGCAGCAGCAGCCGTTCTGTGGGTTGCTTGTGTTTTAGAGACCTTGTGAAAGCTGAATTATGGCGCTTTCCACTGCATGGTACGGCTCAGTACGACTCGGCACGGCTCGGTTCGCTTCGCTTTAGCTCGGTTTGCTTTTCCACTGCAGTTAGTACCGCTTCAAAGTGGGTGGGATTATAGACTGATCGTTATAGTTTGTCCGCTCCTCGGCAACCAACGAGAGGAACGTCTGCACTTCGTCCACGGACCACGATTCAGCCATTTATTTTTTTTTCCTTTTTTTTTTTCCAAGCAAGTAGTTTTAAAACGGGTGCTACAGCGGTGGCTGTTACTGGCTAGTTAAATCTAGCGGGTTTGATGTCTCGCAAATACAATGACGCTGGTAGTGACGATTCTGTCTGACCAATCAGTGATCTGCAGTGTGTTCACATCACATTTTTAGTATCGGTACGGTACGCTTGGAACCTCAACAGAGGTGGTACCATTTAAAGCGCCGAACCGTACCATGCAGTGGAAAAGCGCCATTAGAGGACGATAACTGCTCACCTCTTCGCGGTGGCGGCATGTGGCGATCCGTGGGTCCAGAGTTGTGTTTGAACATGCTTTGCTCCATGTCTGAGATTTTATCTCTGTACTCCACAAGCCTTTAGAAATGCACAAACATCAGAGTTCAGAATCAACACTAAAAACAACAGCAATGATGTCGAGAAATTGCATTTAAACAGTGATTTGAATAATATATTCACTTCTGACGAAGGTTGGCCAACTCTCTTCGTTCCTCCACCAGAGCTCGTTCTGAGGCGCGCGCTTTCAACTATTGAAGATCAACAAGCAGACGTGATTATTATATCACTGAATATATATCAACATTAGCATATATTATCATTTTTTTAATAGAACTGAGTATGCATAGGAATGCAAACGCTTCCGGTTAAGCAATCTTGATTTCATGTGCAGCTCTCTTATTACTGGCCATAACACAAAATTATTATAGGCTATCAGTATCAGAAGTGCATCCCTAAAGACAAAAGGCTTCTAGTTTACATGATAACGACTAACAAAACATGGTACTCACCCAGTTCTCATGGGCTTTCTTCTCCTGGACCGCCACCTATAGGAAAGATGGCACTATTTAATGTAATAATAGTGAATAGCACATGTAAACAATTGCTGCAATAAAAATTATAATTTTACATATTTAATAAATTGCACCAAAAACACTTAAAATGAATAAAATGTTTATTTGATATTAAAAAAAATCATTAAATGACAAAATACGTAGCATGTCAAGCACTGCTGTGAAAATAAAAGTCAGCTTCCAAACAGGGTTATTTTTAAATAAAACTATAAAAAAAGGATGCTAAATGAAATTAAGCTGAAATAAATTAAAATATAATTAAAAAACTTTAAAACGTATTTTTAAAAAAAGAATAAATTGACAAAAGCACATAACGAAATTACTAAAAAGTAAACTACAAGTAAAAAAAAAAAAAAAAAAAACATTGCTTCCGACACTATCGGCCAATGCCAATAAAAAAAAAATGACAACCCCCTAAATGAGACTATAAAGCGTCAGATAGAGAGTGTTGTTGTTTTTACTGTAAAATGCAATTTATTCCTGTAATCAAAGCTGAATTTTCAGCATCATTACTCCAGTGTCACATGATCCTTCAATAAATCATTTGAATATGATGAGCTTAGTGCTGCACGATTAATCATATCGCGATGTCAAGCCTATGCGATTATATGATGCAAAATACTGCGATTTTATATGAAATAAACAAATTAGGGCTGTTAACGCAGCATCTGTTATTTTTTTGTCATCCTTTGGCTAGTGTTACATGATCCCGCTCTTATTCATGCAATGCAGACAAGTCAAAAGAGAGCGCGCTGCCTGTGAATGTCCTGACTGAAAGACGCGCGCCAGTATCATGCGCATCCACAGACCGCGCGCCAGAATACAGTTCTCTTTCTGCTTGAAGTGAACGAACAATCACACACACAATTATGCTAAAATATCATTTGTCGAGTGTCTTCATAACATAAGAGCAGTCTTATGATGGTCGTAAAGAGTTGTGAGAGAAAGGCGCGTGTGAGATCCGCGTCTCTGTCAGCAACTCTTAAAGGGCCAGCATCCAATAATGCTTTCTGTCAGTAAAGTTAATCAAAGAACAAAGGGAACAGAGAAAAGCACTCACTGCTCTTGACCAAAGAACTTGTGTAGCTTTAAATAGGATTTTAGTCCATATAATTTATAATTTATGCAGCGCAGACTGTTTGATAACTTTATTCAATTTCTGTATATGTCCTACCTGTAGACAGGAAGAGCACAGGTAAATATGACATTTATTATGGGTTTATGTGAGGATTGTTTGAAGTTCACTTAAATTAAAATTAAATAAATTTTTATCCAGACATCAATGGCTTATTGATCATTATAGGTGTTATCAATCATTTAGTTCATGTTGCTAGTTTGAGTTGAGAAATACACATTTCAGAATTATCACTTATCTGTGTGTGCATTTTGCTTTAGAACCAAGCAAGTTGACTCATGAAACCATTTGTTTATTATATCGCAATCGCATATTGCAATATTCCCCAAATCCTGCAGCCCTAGATGAGCTTCTCACCTCAGACTTCAGAGAGCGTTCGTTCTGCTGCATCTCCTCCTCGATGTCCTTGATCTTCTGTTTAAGAGCTCTCAGCTCCTCCTCCGACCGCACAGCTTTACTGTCCACCTCCGTCAGCTTCGTCTCCTTCTCGCGTCTCTCCAGCTCCTCCTGAGTCAATTTCCTGAGCACAAACCAAGCTCATTAAGCGAGGAAATACAGGAGTAGGGAGTTTCTAATGCCGAACTACTGCTGTTCGAATGAATCCGGGACGTAGGCTTTGTTCACATGGAAAGCACAAATTCTATTCATATCGGAACATCTAACTTGAGTTGTTTAGTTTATGCAGCAAAATGAAATACAGTCCTTATTTGAAATGAAGACAAGTTGAGTCAGATACATGGATCATGTAGGACGCAGCTTCATACACAATAGCTGTTTGAAAGCGGTCACATGCATCTCATGATTCGACATGATTTCCGATTATTGTGTTGTGTTCGGACCTATTGAGACTGTTATTAGAATTATTTTAGTAGTATTGTATTAACTTAAAACTCTTCTGTTTAGATTAGCTCATCATACATAAATTTCAACATTTTGTCTTAATTTCCTGGATCTTATGGTTCTTAACATTTTGATTGTATTTATTATTTTGATTTTACTAATGATATTACTGTTGGGCTAGTATTAATGTTATGTTTAATTTTGTTGTGTAAGGTGTTCTTGGGTGTCTTGAAACAAATAAAATGTATTATTATACTTATTATTATTGTAATTGTTGAATAATAATTTGTTATTGTATTTTTATCCGTTTCATTAAAATGTTTTGTTAATGTGCCATGGAGAAAAACAAAACAAAATGCTGATGAAAAACGATGCCGCTTAACTTTTATAACAAACACTCCTGACAATTTGTGAATAAATAAACCTGCCATTCAATTTTGATGCAAGTTGTAGTTTTGTAGTGTGTTTTGAGATAATTTTCATTGAGGAGTGCTCAATCCTCATACGTGTGCGTCAGTGTTGTTATGAGGTGATTACTTTTATGAAATTATGGGGGGGGAAATGAATTGTAGGCCCTAATATTAATTTGTTAATAATAATAGCCAATCATAATACTATAAATGTAATACATTACTGGTAAAAACAAAGATATCAGGCATCGCTGATACACAATATCATAGACTCTCGGCAACACCCTAATTGAAATAACACAATTATTCTTAGGCTATTCATAATATTTTAGAAGAATGCCTTCTGTAGTGTTTCATTTTAACGTTAAGTAAAAATATGATTTGAGTACAAATCATCTGAAATGTAGCACTCATTGGTAGGGCTGTCACTTTACGTTGGAAAATCAATTGCACAATCGATTGGACCAACCAACACAAGTTTCGAAAACGAAAATAGGGAATCGATTTTAATGGCCTTTTTTTTTTTCACATTTTTCAAAAATGTGTTTTAGGTGGACAGATCAATACAGCACACAGAACATGTAGGATGCTGAAAAATAACAATGTATTTTCTCTTAACCAAATGCTTTTTAATATTCGCTATTACTTCAATGCAAGTGAACAAGCACGCCGTTATTTGTTGCTTGTTGCGTGTGTGTGTGAGTGTGTGTGTGCGCGTGTTCAAGTAAGCCAGAAATTAAGCAGATTCTGCCCATATGCTGTATTTAATATATCATGAGGATCACGAGTTGCGTATTTGCGCTAAATCCGCGCAGATTTGTCTTACACGAACTTCCCCAGCAAAGGGAGTAAACACAGAAACACGCCAGATTGGCTCGTGATTTGACAGCGTTTCCCGCCAAAGTTCATTTTTACCCGCATTTGGTCAGTTGGAGGGTGTTAATCTCAATCCCTGAATGTTGCGCTCCTGTTTGTCATTGTGCACGAAACTTCACGCCAATAAATCATCAGAAATATTGCTAACTTGTGCGTCTCAAGCGCCCTCTTTACGCTCGTCCTAATGCCTGTTGGGTGTCCGTGGATTTGCCTATATTTGGTGTTGAAAATGGAAACGACATGGACAATCGATTTTACAATCGATTCAATGAACACTTATGTCTCAAATCGAACAGGATTTTTTCACAAAAGTGACAGCCCTACTCATTGTGTGCAGTGTGAGTAATGTGTGTGATCTCACTGTTGCAGGGCGTTTTCTTTCTGCTGGTAGAGTTCAGTGGTGATTTCTAGTCTCTGCTGCAGGCTCTTGAACTGGTTCTCCAGATGCGTTTTATCATTGTTCAGATTCATCTGGTCGTGCATGACCTTCTGATATTGCTCTAGTTAAAATAAAAAAAGGACAGGATTAAAAGAGGATGTGGAAAGCCAACTGCAATGTATTCAAATACACAAATCCCAATCTTCATACCCTCCAGCTCCTGTCTGGATTTCTGTTCGGCGAGGAGACTTTCCATGAAGCGATTCCTCTCGTCTTCAACAACACTGAGAGTTGCTTTAATCTGTGAAACAGAAACGGCATTAGAAATAAGAAGAGTGTTCGATTATCCTCCAAAAGAATCTGCCCGGAGCAGACGTACCCTGGAGACGTCCATCATCTGTTTGATTCGCACTCTCGAGATGTCCATCTTTTTCTCTGAAAGAAAACATTTGATGTTTAGAATGTTTCAACCATCTCCAATGACCTCGAAATGAAACGGAAATCGTGATATGGTTTATTGAGATTATTAAATAGCAAAGACTGCAATTTAATTAAATAAATATATGCGCTGCGTGTTTCAGAGTGAAGCGAGGTAATGTGGTATTACTAGTGATGTATGTCTCGAGACCGGTCTCGAGACCACTTTTACGTGGTCTCGGTCTTGTCACGGCCTTGACGGTCTTTGGTCTCGGTCTCGGTCTCGGACCTCTCGGTCTTGTCTAGGTCTCGCTGTCTCAGACCGACATAGTGGTCAGGGGATTGACCAATACAATACTACAATATCCACGACGATATCCGCAACGTATTGAAGCGCGCGTCCGAGTGAAGACAGTGCGGTGCGCGCGAGCCACGCGAGAAAACACTGTATCCGCGCCACTGATCGCAGCGGCAACGAGCACTTTGATCACTTGATTTAAAAAACACATATCATGTACAGTTTTTGATATATTAATATTTAGTAAAACACATATCAGTGACATGATAGGTTTTACCTTCATTCAGGAGATTTTGGGTAACTGCACAACTGACAGATGACTTTGAGCGCACCGCCAACGGTGTGTGTGTGTGTGTGTGTGTGTGTGTGTGTGTAACCATAGCGACAAAAACGACCAACTTTCGGATCCTGCACTTAAGCCTATAATTTCGTTTTTAAAAATATAATTATGTATTTAAAAGTTGCAGAATGGATTCATTTGGAGACTTCGAAATCAGCAGAGATAGGCAGGCAAATGCAAAACAACATTTGACAAGTTATTGCTTAGCTTCAACACTAATGTTTTTTTTCCCCTCCGGTCTCGACTTGGTCTCGGTCTTAGTCTCGCCTTGGTCTTGGTCTCGACTTGGTCTGTCTTGGTCTTGGTCTTGGTCTTGTCTTGGTCTCGATACCATCTGGTCTTGGTAGTGTCTTGGTCTCGGTTCAGGCGGTCTCGACTTGAGCAGCTCATGATTTACGAGCTCGTGTTCAGCGTCTCCGTTCGCACAGTAAATGCTGCTCTACACAAACTCATCTCTGCAAGCGCTATGATTATCATCAACAAAAGAGAAGCTTTAAGGGTTAAAAAAGTTATTTAAGTTTAAGTTATTTAAAGTTCTTAAACGGAATGCTGTAATCATGGCAACCTTAAAGTAAATTGATGATTAAATTGATTATGTATTGACCTAAATTGATTATTTCTTTGCACCCCTAATAGGTAGGACTTCTTTTCTCAGTAAATAACTTTCTGCATTTCACACGTGCAATAAAGCACTTTTATAAGTCCCTCTAGATAAAAGCATCCACTAAACGCAACTCACCGTGAAGACAAAAAAAGAAAAATGTAAAGAAAAATGTAAGTTATAAATAGAGTGCTCACCAGCATCTTCTCCATTAGACATTTTAGCATCTTCTTTCTGTAGTTCAGCAGGATCACAGGCTCCCAGACGGTTGAGCTCTGCAATACAGCTGGACAAAACCTACAAACCAGAGAAACACACAAATTATCATGGGATGTAGGGATGTGACGTGAGGATATTTCCCCACCGGTTAATCGACGTGTGACAACACCGGGGGCTTTTAAACCGCTAATTTAAAGGCAAAGGTAAAATGAGCGCGTTTGCACAGGCATTCATAATGGTGCGGTCGTGCGAAGCAGCACTGTTTTGTTATTGTGCCCTGAATAACAATTGACATGTGTGGATGAGCACATTTTAGTTTCGTTTTCAAATTAGCACCAATTCCGGACGGATTACTTGAATGGTTAGTTCATTAGCCTATTATTCTTAAAGAAAAACACAACAAAACAGTGCAATGACAAATTTGCTTAAAGGTGCTCTATGTAACTTTTCTTCTAAAATGAATCCTCCTTTTATTGCCTGTGTGTGAAGGGGTTGTAATCACACATTACAATAAACCACTTGTCGGGTTCTGCTATTACCTCTGAAGGCCAGTATTCCTATTTCTATGTAAAGTCTCCGGGTCGGATTTTCTGCGAAATCCATCGGATGTGACGTGCATGCGCGCTCATGAGCCTCTCTCCTTTTTATATACAGTCTATGCGACGACATGGAGTCTGATAACACCCAAAAACGACCTGCCTCCAGCACAACACACACTCCAACACAAACTCCACATAAATATAAAAAACAAAAAAAAGTTTTATCTGCTGAAGCTTGTCAGGCCAAACGTGAATCGGATCGACTCAGGACGAAAACACGGATCAACATCAGCAGAGCGTTTGAATTATGGAGAGACCTCCACTATTTTTATTGTGATAAATTACAAGTTTTCAGATATGCTGAAATAAAATGGTAAACTGTAATGAAATAGCAAGGTAAACTACAACATACATGAGACATGAAATGAATACAAAAGACTGTTCCAGGATAACAAAAAGTAGGTGCTTTAGGATGTAACTTTTATTTTATGTACTAGATCTACTGTCTAACGTCACTCATCCCACTACTATCATATTGCTTATAATACACATTTCCAGACACGTTCAGTACAGTAATGTTACTTCCTACGATCTTACTGTTACACTGAAATTGTTCAGTCTAGTTCACTAACCGTTTTCGTTATCATATTATACATTCACATGTTGACATTGCTGATTGTGAAAGATCCACGAATAGTTAGTGAAATGCCTTATGCTAGACAACACCACATGTCGGCTAAATGCAGTCAATGTAACATTATCATGGTACGAGCATGGAGCATTAGTTCAACGTCAAGCTGATAAAAGTAGCCTATTATTGTAAGGTTGCAGTGGGAGTTTACATGAGTTTCCAGCATGTTGTGTGATGCTTTCTCCGGTGTGTTGAAAGTCTCAGTGTGGCCGGTACCATGAGTTCTCGCTCTTGTGTTCGAGCACGCGCAAGAGCACGAGCGCTCTTGTAAAAATTGGTTGCAATCTGAAACATCACCGATAGAGGCCCCTAAAAAATACATATAGCACCTTTAAATAGGCGCTTTTACAATTCGCCTTGACACCAAATATTCCGCAGTCACCTCGTCAGTCCGCTCCTGTTGCTGATCTGTGCGGCGACTCGTTTGGCTCACGATTTATTAAGCAGACATGTTCAGTTTAGTGTCTGTTCTCTAACTGAACTAAATGATTTATTTTTTTAAAATCTAAATCGACAGTGGGGGGCGGTGCCGCGGTAGGCAAGAGATGTAACCGGTGTTGCTTCTGAACACCGGTAACACCGACTATCATAGCAAGCCTAATGGGATGATTATCATATTTCGAAGAAAACACTATAATTCATAATTAAGTAAAGCAAGGGACATGCACTGTATTTCATAAGCAACCAATTTTACTCACATCAATCTCATTTTCCTTGTGCAACAGAGAGTCCTCCAGCTCTTTCTGGGATTTGTGATAAACCCTGATCTCCTCGCTCAGTTTCTTGTGCTTCTCCTGCCAGTCTTTAGCATCTCGAAGGAGCTGTCAGAATAAATATAATTTAGATTGTGTTGATGTTAACGGGAGGACAGGATTGGCAAGTTTACAGCTCTGACAACAGGACTTACAGATTTCTTCTGCTCCTTTAACGTGCCGTTTTCCTTCTCAAAGGACAGAACCTGAGCCTTCAGAGCATCTTCTCTGAGTTTAGCTTCATCCATGAGGACATGAACCTGTTGTCAATTCAAAACAAACACAGAACATTTCATATCTTCAGGACATGAGACGACTAATACAAATGTTCAGACAGTCCCTCCAGAAAAACGTGATTATGCGACCGCATGATTTAGTGTATAATCAGCCAAAGTCCGCATATTTATGTGGGGCCGCATTTTTTCAAATACGCCTCACTTTCGCCGCATAAATTGCCGATTTCCGTGCAAAATATGCAGGGCTTGCATGATTTCATAATCCTCACATTTTCGTTGCAAAAAAGTCACATATATCTTAGCAGAAAGTTGAAAAATGTTGCGTTTGGTTCACACGGGAGCAGCCGTTTCCCCCTGTTGCCATGGGAACGTTATGAAGTGACGTAATTACGCGACGTGAACATCACCCAAAGCTGTAAAACAGGAGCACACTTTATTTTTTTATATTTTATTTATTCATTTTTACAGAAGTTACATTTTTACAGGAACCATATTCCTTTTGTAAAGCTACAGAACATGTTTGACTCAATGTTTTGTAAGTTTGATGTTTTTATTAAGGTCTGAAATAATGATGAGAGCTTAAATATTCCCAGCACTTTCTGTGATGTAGTATGCTTGCTTATCATAGGAAGTAATAAGAAATGACTCTTTACATTAAGGTAGTAGCCTAGTGAGAACAGGGTGTTGGGGGAATCGCATAAAATTGCATAAATATCCCACATATTCCATCGCATTTTTAAAGAAAACGGGCCGCATAATCGAGATGGTCCTCACTGCAGAACACGAAATCCAGGGGGAGTAGTTGGATCCAGATCCAACTCCTCCCACCTTACATATACCTATACCTACCCAGGTCCGCCCCTGATCCCTAACCCCACCCCTAATCCTACCCATCTCCACCCCCTGATCCCTAACCCCACCCCTAATCCCACCCATCTCCACCCCCTGATCCCTAATCCCCCCCCCGATCCCTAACCCCACCCCTAATCCTACCCATCTCCACCCCCTGATCCCTAACCCCACCCCTAATCCTACCCATCTCCAACCCCTGATCCCTAACCCCACCCCTAATCCTACCCATCTCCAACCCCTGATCCCTAACCCCACCCCTAATTCCTACCCATCTCCACCCCCGATCCCTAACCCCACCCCTAATCCTACCCATCTGCAACCCCTGATCCCTAACCCCACCCCTAATCCTACCCATCTGCAACCCCTGATCCCTAACCCCACCCCTAATCCTACCCATCTCCACCCCCTGATCCCTAACCCCACCCCTAATCCTACCCATCTCCACCCCCTGATCCCTAACCCCACCCCTAATCCTACCCATCTCCACCCCTTAGATCTGGATTCAACTCCGCCCCCTGGATCTCGTGTACTGCAACTGGCATAATCAAGGATTGTTGGCGCAACAATCACAAAAAAACTCAGCGTTTTTCTGGAAGGACTGTTCAGATACATGGTCAAGTGACTACAAAAACCATAAGGTGATAATTTAATAATTTATCATGAATTGTCAAAAAAATATCTTGTTTTTATGGAATATTGTTAGATTACAGAACTTTAGATTGTATTAATTTCCATGACTGATTTTACTCAGTTTTCCATGACAGTGGAAATCCTGTATTTAATAATTCACTCAATCAAACGGCTTCTCTCTCTATGTTTGTCAGAGAAAGAAAACGTGGTAGTAGGATAACCTGTCAATGTTAGCAACGGTAACTAAGCAGATTGCTCGCATCACTACATTCATTTGTTCCGAGAAACAAAACGTTTGACATTATTACTGGTTTCTCATTTCAACCGGTAGATCCGCCAAAGTAGTAAAGGGTTAGCTCATCCAGAACAAATTACCTTTGCACGCTCCTCGTCATAGTTCTTCAGTGTTTTCTGGTATTTCTCGATTCTCTGGTGCATTTTGGCAATCTTTGGTCGAAGGAAAAACAAAACAGTTCTGAAAAATCTGACAGAGAAAAGTCACAACGGCAGACGATAAAATAAATCAAAGCTTACCTTTTCATTTAGATTTGTATTTTCTTCCTGTGTGTCCACAATTTTTTGGTTAAGCTGTGAAACACTCCCAGACATCTCCTCCCACTGACTCTGCAGTTTCTGCTGATGATTCTAGTCAGTAAAAACAACAAAGCACATTAAACAAATGTGTACTGTGATGAAACTGGGATGGGAACACATCAATCCTGCTGCTGATTCACCTTCAGCCCTTTCATTTCTTGTTGGCTGGAACTCAGTGATTTCGCAGAGTTTTTCAGCTGTTCTTCACGTTGTTTTATCTGCGAGGAGACAAATTACACATTAATATCTGATCAGGTTCATCAATAAACTCCATCAAGAGAAGTCGAGAGAAAGAAACATTGAGGTTTACCATGTCATTTAATTCTGTGATCTTGTTAACAGCATCAGATTTCTCGCTGAGAATCTGCTGGATCTTGTCTCTGAGCTGCTTTTCTGTTACTGTGAAATAAAATACAACGCAAACTATATTAAATCAGAAACGAAAATATTTTAAGAGGTAGTAGAAATGGGTCGCATGCCCTCATACCTCATTCATCTTATTTCACAGCAATGATATTTTGCTGATTTTCATATTATATTATACTATATTATAATGTAGTAATGCCTATTTTTAGATAATCCAGTGCATTACATATTTCATTGTGATGGACACAAACCAAAACATCAGCTTAGTTTTAAATGAATAAATTTGACATTAGAGCAAAAACATATTCCCATGACGTAAAAATCTCAAATTAGAGCTGCACGATTCTGGATAGATTGAGAATCACGATTTTTCTGTTTCAAACAGAGATCACGATTCTGAACAAACAACTAAGAAAAAAAAAATGAATTTACAAGAGGTTATGACTTGAAGGAGTTACACCGCACTCACGATCTTCAAGGTGCCAGACACACAAGACTAAAGATCTCAATAAATAAACTGTCCGCACACTCAAATCCTTAAAGCAAATTTAATAGACCAAGCTTTCGGTCAAAAGACCGAAAGCTTGTTGCCCTGAGGATGGTCTTTTGACCGAAAGCTTGGTCTATTAAATTTGCTTTAAGGATTTGAGTGTGCGGACAGTTTATTTATTGAGACAAGAGGTTATGACAAAAATGTTAATCGCTGCGGTCTATTTAAAATGTTAAATTAATCTGAATGAATACATTTTTGAATAAATGATTCAATGACATACATTTTTAACGGTCACTAGTCTCCACCTACTGGTGTAACTAGGTATGTAATTAAAGCTGCAGTCCGTAGCTTTTTTTGGGTTAAAAATGATCCAAAATACATATTTGAGAAAATACATAACCAGCCAGTGTTCAACGCTCTCTGCTTGCTGTAGCTCGATTCAAAGCGGTAAGCTTGTAATAATGTTTTTAATTCCAGTGGTACTGGTGGATTTCCACGGGAGATTCGAGCATGTATCATTACGTCACATCTGTACACAAAGAAGAGTCTCGGCTAGTATAAGCTATATTGCGTGTGAGGATGTTGGAGGTGGAGATTTATAGCCTTTTCTCACAGCACTTGATATAATTAAACTTATCAATTTGATGGCGGATCCAGAAAGGTTCAAACGACAATCACCAGTGACAACAGATTCACCCGCTGTAAAATGAAGACTTCGTTCGGACTTCGGAGTGACTACAGAAAGAAGAGACTGCAACCGGATCCATGCGAAAACAAGGATAATATCGGAAGGACATTACATGCAGTCACGCAATGCTTGCTTACGTTGTTAACATTAACAATTTGAGAACAAAGTATAATTTGCACGGTTTTGCGTGATACGATAACTTATATAAGCAATTGTTAGATTTAATCAGCGTGATTTACTGCAATGTCAGAACCAGAACAAAAGGTGGATGTTTCTTACTAGTTCAGATGACATTTTCCGGTGAAAATTATTATGTTGGTCATACTTCCAAAAAAGAATAATCTGTGATTGTGAATGCCAGTATCCACACCGGCGTGGCGACTGACAGCCGCACACTCTCCTCAAACATTGTGTTCATCCGAGCTGTGCCGTGTCGAGGGTGTCGAACTACAACTAAAGTTGATAATTCCGCGAATGACTGCAATTGCAGATTTCGAACAGAGATGGCGACAAAGAGGGAAAACGCCGGACTGCAGCTTTAAAGGTGCCCTAGAATGTGAAATTGAATTTATGTTGGCATAGTTAAATAACAAGAGTTCAGTACATGGACATGACATACAGTGAGTCTCAAACACCACTGTTTTCTCCTCATTTAAATCTCGTTTTTAAAAAACACCCCTGAAAAACAGGCGAATCTGCACATAATACCGACTATGACGCAATAGTCGGGATCATTAATATGTATGCCTCCGAAGATTTGCATATGCCAGCCCTCAATGCCAGGCGGAACTGCGCAGCCGAAGCATGGCAGTTGCTCAGTGTTTGGATGTACACATGAACACAAAAGTATTTTTTAGTTCCTTCATCCGAGCCTCTGAAGAAACAATGGGTTAATTTTATTTTCTCTGGAAATTTCCAAACATTTCACCGACGACGGTTTCCTCAACTTGGGCCAATACAGAGCTGGCCTCGGATCGAGCTACCAAGCAACACTTTCTGATGTGTAATTGTTCAAGTTCAGACAGGTAATCTTTCTCTCAAAATCGTTCAATAGTGTTTATGCATCAGTAAGTCAAGCCAGTGACTAAAATATCAGCTTCACATCGTTTCTTTTAGTAGGATGAAAACAAACTTTTTTTATAGTGAATAAATTATATACAGAAAGCGATCAAAGAACAATCTTTCCACACAGCGCGAGTTTATCTGGACACTTGCCAAACTCGTTATGAAATCAATGACGCACGTTACTGCACAACGAAGCTCTTACTGTATGTACATCATCGTGTTTGCATTGGTGTAAGAATTAGAGAGAGTGCAGAAACTGCTTTGCAATGATTAGATCTTCAGTCTCGCGATTAACACACTGTCATCTGCTCAATGCTCATCACGTTAACATTTTATGTGATGGGAATAGATTTAAAACTTTAAAAACATCTCACGATTCGTTAATCTCGATAGCTGTAAAAACGTATAATATCTGTAGTAAAAGTATTCGAGAGAGTTTCACATGTACGTAGCAATTTCATATGCAAGCATGTCAGCCAATCACAGCAGTGGCCGGTTCTCACAGCAGACACGCCCCTTCAAACAGAGTGTTCAAATCAGAGGCTAAAATCAGGCTAGGAAAAATGCCTTTTATTTCTAAATTATGACTATTTTTGATCTAAAAAACATCCTAACATTATAAGGGCAACCCAGGAAACATTATAAAATAATTTTAAAAAACATTCTAGGGCACCTTTAATACAATCAATGAAGCGCCATGTACATTCAAAAGGTGATTTACTCTATTTAAATTGCTACTATAGACATCAGTCTTTATATCCAAACTATAAACTTTTATCTCGATACTTCTGTGATATGAATATTTGTAACAGAAATAATGATACTGTGTGGTTGAAAAGACTGTGAAGCTGTTTCATCCGCTCTCTCTGGATCAACACAGATCTGAATGTTCACCGTGATCGGACTTGACAAAGCTTTAATCGTCGTCATTTAGGAATGAGATCATGTGGGTGTTTGAATTGAGATTGTGATCTTTTAACGATTAATCATGCAGCTCCATCTCAAATTGAAAAGACTAAAAACAGTAAAATCCATATAAATGATTAAAGTAGTATACTAGCTGTATAAAAGTGCCATAGCAAGTATATGCATGCCATCATACCACCCAACCCTAAGAGACTGGTATAATGTATATTTAGCTGATATCTCAATCATGGCGAGGCTGAGAAGTGACTTACATTGATAGGTTTTTCCTTTGATCTAAAGGAGAAAAGAAGAGGTGAATGGCACAGATTTAATTAAATCAATCTCAAAAGAATGAAAACATTAATCATGTAAACAAGATGACACAAACTCTGAATCAACATCCACCAATAGTACATTTTTCGAAATGTCAATCATTTGTTAACAAACAAGAATTCATTACTTCAATGAGCTTATTGTTTCTGCCTTAAATTATTACATTGTTTAAATTAATACATTTTTAGCTAACTGGGATTTTGTATATGTACATTTCTGAAATACATAACTTAGACAGTTTCCTCTGATAACAGATCACTGTAAATTGTAATATGGACTCATCTATTTTCTGCTTTGAAACTATGTGTGTAATGAAAAGCGCTATACAAATAAATGTGTACATTGAATATCTTACAGCGAGCACTATATTAAATCAGAAAATAATATATTTTAAGAGGTATTAAAAGTGGGTCGCATGACCTCATACATCTTATTTTCATATTATATTTTAATGTAGTAATGCCTATTTTTAGATAATCCAGTGCATTAAATATTTCATTGTAATGGACACAAACCAAAATATCGCTTAGTTTTAAATGAATATTTGACATTAGTGCAAAAACATATTCCCATGGCGTAAAAATCTCAAAATAGAGCTGTGATTGTGAAAAGTGCTATACAAATAAATGTGTGAATAGAATATCTTACAGCGAGCACCGTCCTCCAGAAGAACATCAGTATCGTGAGGGTCCCGACAACCGCTGTGACGAGCACCGGCTCCCAGGGGACTCCGTGGAAAGTGGGACCCGGTCGCCATTCCTCTGGAAGAGCAGTGATCACCTAGATGACACAAAAACACACCAAATGTGATCAGTTTTATGTCAATTCCAGAAACAATTCATTTTTTGACAACATGGTTCCCCTGCCCGTCAGCTTTGAGTTTAGTAAGCCACTTAGACTGTTTCAAATCAATTTCTGCACTCTTTTAGACTTATATTGACAAATCTAAAGCACTGACCCTTATCACCAGCCACATGAAACAGAAACACAACACTAGGGGTTTTACTGGACTTTCACCTCTGATGAAACCCTACTGCCTATAAATAAGCCCTTACAACTCAGTTTAAATGAACCAATTTAGTTCCCTTGGGATTTTATCCGATCCTTCATGGACTTAACCGAATTAAGGAGAGCTGCATGTATAAGAAGGGGTCAAAATACAGCACTATTAGTATTACATTACTGCGTGGACTGATCTATACTGACTGACTGATCAATATTAAGCATTTGAGGTCGTTAAAGCTCACACATTTCACTCTTGAAGACAGTGATCGAGTCTAGAGAGGGGAAACACTTACTTCCTGAAGTCTGGACAGAATGAAGACGAAACAGGCTGCGTTTTCTATCTCAGCTGGTGTAGAGGTAAGACCTGGCTGTGAATCCATGCTCTTAAAACGTTTAAACTAATTTAGCAGGGTCACCGAGCGCTCAGACACGGAGGTTGAAGCCGATGAACACAGTATAAATGGCGGACCGTTGGTTCATATCGGGAAGCCGGTGTTTTCTGCTGTAAATCCACTCTGACACGCTTGTCTTTGAAAGCCAATAGACGTTTAACTTGAATAATAATGTACACAGACGGATAATAAGTACATACAACTAGTATGTTTTGAAATCGTGGCTGGAGGGAGATCAGTGTTGATCTCTTTCAACACGTCAACATTTCAAAACGCTGAGCTAAGAGTCTCTCACGAAGAGCAGTGTTTCCACTCTGTACGCGAGCGGTCATGTGACGCTGACGGCGGCCTCTGATTGGTCACACTGGTTGAGGGACCGTCTTTAGCACTGATGCTAGCGGTTTTGAAAGAATAACAACTTAACGCTTCAGTGTAATAGCTTCAATATGTGCTATAAAAGATATAAATGTTTAATTGACACGATTTGGAATTTAATCTAGTTATGGTTTTACACATTTTGGTCTTGTATGGAGTTGTATTAACAAGTTTAGCATGGAGCCCTATTGACAACATCAGCAGAAGTGGCTCCCTCATTACAAAATCATGATATTAATTACATGGCAGATCTAATAAATATGTGTACTTAGAACAGACATTACTTTAATAATATATTTTAACAAGTCAGTGGCAGAATTATTTTAGTGAGGTTCATACAAATACTAGGTCAAATAACATCCTGAAGCAAAATTATATTAAATGTTGTAATAAGAACTGTTGATTTTAATGGCACTAAAAATAGGGTTCATTTCCTTCTTTCTTAAAAAAACAACAACAAAAAAACCAGACATTCTTGAGGTCTCATGTGATTTGCCATTTACTGTAAACTGAGTTATGTGAACAGAAGTTCAGGCTAAACAACAACATGAACAAACCCAACACAACAAATGACTCCAAAAACCATTACAGACACATTTCTCAAATTGCTCAGAACCAAGCAAACTCCAACAGAAAACAATCCTGTTATTAATGTCACACCAGCTACTCGTGCACCATGTGTTCAGTGTGTCTGGGGTTAACCAGTCTTATAATTAACACATTACTACATACGCTAAAGATATTACATTTTCTTTTAAGTCAGTTAAAATGTCTCTGAAAGGGATTTTGGCAATGTGGAATAAAGAAAGTTCCTTTTGTCAGTTCAAACCACTCTCTTTGTGATACCACTCTCAAACCACTAATGTCTGATAATGCAACACAATTCAATAAGTCTTTTGCATTGATGTACTTGTGCTTGTGTAAAGCATAAAGCTTTAATGTCTTAAAATATTGTCTTACTCACAATTTCTCCGTACACCCCAAGATATTCTTTTATGAGAAGCAGCAAACCCCAAAGTTCATTTGAAGTCAAGGAGCTGGAGGAATCACTGCTTGATTCAGTGTCATGGAAGTCAGAGACACCTGGAGACTCCAGTGAACCTGGAGACAGAAAATAATAGTTATTATAACCAGCGCTTGATATTAACACCCGCCAAATGCGTTGGATTTCAGCAGTGGCGTGTAACGCAGTCACTCCTACTAGCCACTTCGGCGGGTTAAATGTTATATATAATATATATTTTTAAATTGTAGTCTTTTAATAACAAGCATCTGAAATATAAACTAAGTGGAAAAATTTATTTTTCGATACTGAAATATCTGAAACGCTTCCAATACTCATTTTTCGCAGATACACGATAAAAGCTGTGCTTTCTCTCTCTCTTCTCTACGACAGCGAAAGACAAACAAACCCGCCTCTCCTCACTCACTCGTTTCATTTGCTCTGGATGAATATTGTTGGTGTTACAGGGCTTGAATTTCAGCGTGGAATTGTGCATAATTTTACTCATTCCCGCAGATTTTGTGCTCAAACCCAAAGTGCGTGCAGATAAAGCCGCCTCAGTACTAAATTGAGTTCTTTTTCACGGCTTATTGCGCATATACAGTCAAATATACACAAAATAATGTCAAAATCCCACTCTTGGTGAGTATTCATGTAAACAGTCAATTATGTTTTGAGTGAACATAAACAGTTGAGAAAGAAAATGTGTAACAGTATAATAGATCAGTGCATCAGGCCTTAAAGTGACAGCAGCCTAATATACCTGCTGCCAAATTATGAAATCATATTACAAATATCTATATGGCAGTTTTTTCCCCATGGTATCGATGTCAACATTTTGGCCAGTGAAAAGTGGCTAGTAACTTTGGAAAACCACTAGCCACAGTGGCTGGTGAGCAAAAAAGTTAATGTCAAGCCAAGGTTATAACCCAAGACACGAAAGAAATTCACAAACCTGAAGATGGATCCATTTCAAAGTGAAAGCCGATGTCCACTGGCTTCTCCAAAATAGCATGAGGCCCCTTTTGAATCACCTCAGCGTCCTCGAACCCTATTTGTGCATCTTTATTTCTGTTGAAATGGCCTCCGTCCTCTTCAAGACCCGCGTCTTTACTGTGGGATAAATCTTCATTCGTATTCAATTCAGAATTCGGAATCAGTTCAGATTCGTTGTGCTCTTCGTGCATTTCAGGAGGTGCGATCATTTCGATGTCACTGTCCAAACCTTTCACCTCTTCAGAGTCAATTTTCTCATCTGGGGAAAAAACTGCATAAGATCTTTATTATATCCATAAATAAATATATAAATATCCATTTATTATATTACCATGTAAAGCCTGAGATGAAATAATAGTCAGAAAAAATCTAAAACCGTTTATTGAAGACTAAATATATTATATATTTGCAGTTGTTCTTTTTTTTGTTGAGTATCATTTTTGATACATCAGGTGTTTATGGCTCATATACTATGATACAGTGAGAATATGGAGGGGGAAAAAACAGCTCAATTTTATTCAAATATGCAATTCGGTGCAGATTCTGATATTTATATGGCCAAAACTTTAGATGAAATTCTGATGCTTGTAATGTAAATCAGTGAGATGTTTATAACAGCATATAATAAAATGTTAAAATATCAGTCGTCACTCTGTATCTGCCAATAATATCTCTCAGTAAGATGATATTTAAATGCTTAGTTTTATTTTAAGCTCTGTAGTCTTAAAAAAAACCATAATAAAATGCAGTACAATGATGATTGAGAGATGAAAAATAAACCTTCACCAAAAGCCTGATAATTATATTTGATACTCACTGATTTTTTTCTAATACATTTTGTCTGGATAATCAAGTAAACATAAGTTTCTTCAGTCCAGTATGTGTTAATCTTGAAATATTACTAACAATATAAGTTATTCTTGTGTTTCCTTCATAAAAATCAGATTTTACTGCAAAAAGCACAAGCTGAAGGTACAATTACACGAAGACTTTTACTTACTAAAAAAGTCTAAACTATCAATCGGACGAATGAGGAGATTGTGTGCGACATGTTTATAATTATCAGTGAAGTTTTGATCATTTAGAGGCCTTTAAAATGCATGTATCAAAATATGATACAGTAGGCTTTATAAGGTTAAAACAACTTTAACAGCATCCAATCTAAGCCAAACCCTGAGATGACTCACTGAAACAAGCAAATCCATGTAATTAGTGGATGGCAAAGGCAAGCATTGCTGTTAGTACTGCTAAATCTAGTGTTAGAGATTCAAACAAACACATAAATGCCTCATTCATTCACCTAATTAATGTCCCTCACCTGTTTCAGATGCAGGTTGTTCTTCCTTGAGCAGTGGGACGCTGTCACTGGCCGCTGAATATTTCTGTCGCAAAGAGAAAATGATCTCCTGAAAAGCGTCTAGGATGGCAGCCTCAACGTCATACATTTCTGGCTCCTTCTGCCGTCCATGTTCCTGAGCTTTCCGCTCTCTTTCATTAAACATGTCTTCAGTCGCATCAAGAACAGAGTTCTCCGAGGACTCCATGATCTGGTCTAGCGTTCGCTCGATCTCCTCGGTGTCGGTCTTCAGCTCTCTCGCGGACTTCATCTCAAGATCCAGGTCAGAAAACATGGCTTCGATTTTAAACAGGTTCTTCAGTCCGAAATACTTCTGCAATCGCTCCGTTTCCTCGTCCTTCAAGTGATCTCGTAAAATTGTGAGTCTCAGTACGTTATCGCTGTATTCGGGCTCTTCGGGAGGAAGACGAACCTCTTTGTTTTCTTCTTGTTCTGTTGTGCTTTCGCTCGGTTGGGAAACAACCAAATCATCGCTTTCAGGTTGAGGATTTTCTTTAGGTTCATTAATGTTTTCTGTGAGCAAAAGAAAAGCGTTCTCATCCTCCAAAAGCTCTTCGGTGTCCTCTTCCTCTTCGTCTTCAAGACTTTGTTCTTCAGATTCCAGTGTGTTTTTCGGTAGATTCACAAGTTCGTTCTTCAACTTATCAATCTGTTCGTCTGTTTCGTCAAGTAGAGGTGCAGTTTCTTGGCTTTCTGAAACTAATTCCCTACTTTTGGTTGCATTTTCTTTGTGAATGGATTGTTTTGCTTTTTCGATCTTGTTTGTAAGAGCATTCTGAGGATCGTCGTCTGCAGTGTCTTTGTGTGCATTTTCATTCTTGTTCAGGCTGGCCTTTTCGTTTGTGTCTAATATCTTTGGATGGTGTTGCTCAGTGTTTTCACTTGCATGCATCTTGTCTACATTTAATGGCGGTTCAGATGGGACGCCTTCACGTGCATCTGAAGCAGTTTTAGCGTCTGGTGGCAGATGAGAAATTTTGACGTCAAAATCACTTTGCTCTTCAAAATCACTTTGTGCATGCATGACCTCAAGACCAGCTTGTTCTCCGACATCAGCAACTGGAAGCGAATCTTTGGTGAGTTCTTGAAGGGACTCAGTCACTTCATCCTCATCCTCAAGTGTTTTCTCTGGTGTTTTGTAGTGGTTATCTTTATCGCGTAGCTCTGTTTTGGCAGGTTCTTCATGTACTGCATCTAAACCTGCTGTTTGTGTTTCAAGTAGAAGTTGTGAGGGCTCCTGAGGCTCAAAAACAGAGTCACTTTGGTTGTGCAAAAGCTCAGAATAACCAGTATCTGATGGTTCTGTTTCGACATCTTCTAAAATGACATCGGCATCTGGGCTTATTGAAATATCTTCGAGCTCTTCTTTTACTGCATCTTTAGTTTCCAGTGTTGGTTTTGATGAGACATTTTCCATCTTTGGCCGAAAGATATCAGAGTCGTCCTCAGTAGATTTTAAATGTAATGTCTCAGTTTCAGGAGCTTTTACAGATTTTGAATCGACCGACTCTGATTGAAGAATTGATGTTGATTCTGAACCGACTGACTCTGATTCAATAGGCAATGTTGATTTTGAATCAACTGACTCTGATTCAAGAGGCAATGTTGATTTTGACCCGACTGGCTCTGATTCAATAGGCAATGTTGATTTTGAATCAACTGACTCTGATTCAAGAGGCAATGTTGATTTTGACCCGACTGGCTCTGATTCAATAGGCAATGTTGATTTTGAATCAACTGACTCTGATTCAAGAGGCAATGTTGATTTTGAATCAACTGACTCTGATTCAAGAGGCAATGTTGATTTTGACCCGACTGGCTCTGATTCAATAGGCAATGTTGATTTTGACCCGACTGGCTCTGATTCAATAGGCAATGTTGATTTTGAATCAACTGGCTCTGATTCAAGAAGTGATATTGATTCTGAACCAACTGACTCTGATTCAATAGGCAATGTTGATTTTGAATCAACTGACTCTAATTCAAGAAATGATGTTGATTCTGAATCGACTGACTCTGATTCCAGAAACGATGTTGATTCTGAATCGACTGGCTCTGATTCAAGAGGCAATATTGATTTTGAATCAACTGACTCTGATTCAAGAGGCAATGTTGATTTTGAACCGACTGGCTCTGATTCAATAGGCAATGTTGATTTTGAATCAACTGGCTCTGATTCAATAGGCAATATTGATTTTGAATCAACTGACTCTGATTCAAGAGGCAATGTTGATTTTGAACCGACTGGCTCTGATTCAATAGGCAATGTTGATTTTGAATCAACTGGCTCTGATTCAATAGGCAATATTGATTCTGAACCAACTGACTCTGATTCAAGAAGCGATGTTGATTCTGAATCGACTGACTCTGATTCAATAGGCAATGTTGATTTTGAACCAACTGACTCTAATTCAAGAAGTGATGTTGATTCTGAATCGACTGACTCTGATTCCAGAAACGATGTTGATTCTGAATCGACTGGCTCTGATTCAATAGGCAATGTTGATTCTGAATCAACTGACTCCGACTCAAGAGGCTCCACTGATTCGGTCTCTGTTACAGAAGACAGTTGAGATGAATCTTCATTCTGAGCTGGTTCTGTTGATTCCTCTGTTAAATCCTCGTTTTCTATCAACAATGTGCTTCCCAACAGTACATCTATATCATAGATTTCAAATTTATCAAAACCAGTCTCAAAGCAAACAAAATCGGTTTCCTGAAAGAGAAAGAAAGCTTCACGTTAACCAAACGTCACATCAAAAAGGACCAGGCGTGAGGCAATATTAACCACATGAACATACCTCTGTAGGTACCTCCAATTCTTTTTCAGTATATATATGATTTATATTAAGATAGTCCTTTGGGAAATAACCAAAGTGGTTTCCAATCTATGCAGAAAGAGGAAGAAGAAATAGATATCAATATATGCACCTTTTACAACAGAAAACATACAATCATAAAAACAAACAAGCCAATAAGAAAATAAAATGCACAAGAGACAAATCTACAAGAATTAGAAAATATGCACAAAACCTGTCTGATAAAGTTTGCACTTGTGTGAAAATGCTCAATATTTTCATATACATTTCATTTGTCCATTTATCTATTTTAAAAAAATATTTCTAGCAACGCTTTACAATAAGGTTTTCATTAGTTAACTACATTAATTAACATGAACTAACAATGAACAATACTTCTATCTACAGCATTTATTAATCTTAGTTAATGATCATTTCAAAATTGTATCTGTTAACATTAGTCAATGCATAATGAACTAACAAGAACAAACAATGAACAATAGTATTTTTATAACGTTAAAGATTAATAAATGCTGTAAAACACATGGTTAATTAATGCATAATGTAACTAATGAGAACTTATTGCAAAGTGTCACCATATTTCCATAGAAATGCATTAAAAACAGTTAAAGAGGGAATAGAATTAAACAAACTGTAACACAAAGCACAGATAAACACTTGGTAAAATAGTCTATTTTAATAAGATATGTATCATATCCTTAGCTATATACTTATATTCAAATTTTCATGGAGCATATATGGTAATGCATTGTGGTTTGGAACATTTTAAAACAAGAATCAACACATTTACGATTATAATAAACAGTCATTTGCTTTGTTTTGTTAATGTTAGTATTTTCTTAACACATTTCTCTCCTATTGAAGATTCATGCATGATCTGTAGCCCCAATAAATAAGTAAATGTAATGTTTGCGATGCCAAATTAATACTAATCAAATATGCCGCATGGCAAATATGTTTATCATCAGCAACATCCATAAGCAGTTATTAACAGGTTACTTACACTGCCAGCCCACATGTCCGACCTCTGCCCTGAGAGTTTATAATATACATATATCGTCTCTCCTTTCTTGAAAGAGAGAAACCGACAGTCCGGCCCTGCGAAATCCTTAGCGGCCTTCCCTCTGACGAGAAGCACTAAAGACACAACAAACTTGGATGAAAACCACTTGTTTTATATGTGGATATGGTAAGCTTTTTAAATCTTGCATTTACTGTAAGGCAAGAACAAAACAGTGTGAAAGTTGAATGAAAAATGTTCCCCTAGATTAGCTCTTACAATGTGCATTTTAGCTTCTGTATGACTTAAAATTGAATGTAATGTGGCATACATAACACTGATGAATAATTTTACATGAAGCATTTTTCTCCTACAATGTATCTTCTTAAGGGTCCTAAAATAGGCTTAATTTTCCTTACGCAAAATATAATTTCAATCTCTTACTAGTTATTTTGAAGTGAAACACAACCCATGAGATTTTGTTGAGATTCACCCGATAAAGCTGCATTAGGAAATTCCATGTTTTTAATATTTTGCAATAGTGTAATGAAACAGCACTGCATGCAGCATTATCTACATTGTGATCTTTTTATTTGTTTATTAATGGTGTATGACCACACCAGGATCAACAGTGCATCTGATAGGTCTCCAGTATGGGATATTATGGAATATGGGTGAACCTCTCTTGGATTTCAGGAGAAACGTTGGACTTTTTGGCCAAATCATGGATAGTAAAATTTGATCAAGACATAATAATCAAAATTTACAAATATATGCTGAAACAATTGAACATCTCAACAACATTAGCATTATGTATTATTATCATCCCATAAATCTCTGCTCGACCACTAATGGACGGTGCACTTTTTGCTAAATTAAATGTAAACATCTGTCAACAGAAATGACAGAATGTGTTTGTTTCAAATCAGCTAAATACATATTCTTAAACTTTCATACACACATACGCATGCTGCATAATATATATATATATATATATATATATATATATATCATTGAGGAAAAAACATACAGGTCAAACACAGTTCAACCTCAATTCATTTCAAACGTGAACGGAATCATGTTGTTTGTAAATAACGACCTTCCGAACGTTCTGTTTTACATGAAAACAGCCAGAGATATGAAACCAGGCCTTATATTTAGCATTAAAAACTGTTGCATCACGTGAACACATCATATTAAGAGCATAAAACACAGACTCCAGCTCTCATCGAGCATTTATCCCATCCATGCACAGGTTTTTTTTATGTTGTTAGCTCGACTGGCTAAAACTGAGCTCGGTATCAACAGACTGGATCTTCAAGGACGCCACTCGTTATATAGACCCTCTATGGGCCATAAATAAAACCCATATTTTTTTTGCTGTTACAAAGTTACATGCGGCCTTTATGACGTCAGCAGCACTAAAGTTTTATGGTCAGCATCCTGATAATACTAAGTTACAGTGTGATACTGCTGATACTCACTGCTACATTCTTCATCGGCGCATCGCTTCAGGTCGGAGAAGCGCCGGTCCGCGTCGCTTATGTGAAAACAAGCGCAAAGAACAAGCGTAAAAACATAATAAAAATGTGTGTTTCGTGCAGCCATGCTGGCAGCTGTTGATCTGCCGACACGTCAGCACATACGAGGCGAGCTTGAGCTGCTTGAGTTCAGCGAGGAGGAGAAACGACTGGAGTCATGTTTCACACACACAGCGCTTAAAGAGATAGCGGCACCAAAACAACAGACCCTGGGCTCTGGTCACGTGTGTCTGCATGCAGAGGAGGCTTTACTGTGGAGGCTCTGGGATTGTGCTCAATAAAAGCTTTCTTTATACTGTTTATTTTGCCTTTTACTATATATATTATTTTTTTGCATTATTAGTATTACTACTATTTTATTTAGTATTATTTGTCGTATATATTTCATAATAAATAATGTGTGGGGAAAGAAACTTCACAACTAAGTGATCTATTTGATGACAGCTTCTTTAACAGCTTAAAAATACATTAAAAAATTGGATGGATGGATGGATGGATGGATAGATGGATAGATAGCAGCATCGACACAACAGACCCTGGGCTCTGGTCACGTGTCTTCATCCTATCTGCACAATAAAAGCTTTCTTTATAATGTTTATTTTGTCTTTTACTATATTTATTATTATTTTTAGTATTATGTATTGTATATTATTTGGTATTTCATAATAAATGTGTTGGGAAAGAAACATCACAACTAAGTGATTTCTTTGATGACAATTTTTTTAACAGCTCAATAATACATAAAAAAAGATAGATAGATAGATAGATAGATAGATAGATAGATAGATAGATAGATAGATAGATAGATAGATAGATAGATAGATAGATAGATAGATAGATAGATAGACAGACAGACAGATAGATAGATAGATAGATAGATAGATAGATAGATAGATAGATAGATAGATAGATAGATAGATAGATAGATAGATAGATAGATAGATAGATAGATAGATAGATAGATAGATACTTTTCATCCTCCTTCAGATCCAGAGATGGATAAATAGATTTTAATAAACTTAGTAAAACAGTTTATTAAAACCTGGATTAGATCAGTCAAAACGCATTATAATTTTCAGATAAATTCAATTTGAAAGTTAAAGATATTAAGCCAGTGTTAAGTGTAGTATGACAAGTATACCAAAATATAATGGGTTTGCAACTTTCCTTACTGCGCGCCCCTGTTCTGCACGCGAATCTCCAGCGCGCGCATAGTTACTGTCTTCCACAGAAATCCGCGCCCTCGTGTAATTTAAAAATTAACCGTCATTTCGTTTTGTTGATTGACTTACATTAGTTTCTCGACCTCTTTATATAATAATGGCTTATAATTGATATAGAGAGTAAATAGTGTAATTTCAGAGACACTTGACACGTCTAATTGAAGAGAACGTGAAGTGAAAAGTTTTTGTTTAGGCCTAATGTTAAATGAGAAGCACGCCCCGCGTCTTCAGTGGTAAGAAACAAATATAATGTTATGCTATAACGTTAGTTAATCACATAATTGTTTTTCATTTTTTAATGTTGTAGGCTCGTTTTTAATGCTATTTATATATTTAAATTCCCGTATTGTATTATTCCCGTATTGTATTAAATTCCCGTATACTCCATAGGACGGTTAAGTACTAATTATTGACGTCCATTCATCCGTTTTGGCGCTTACCATATGGGATGCGGGAGAATATGTAAATAAAATAAAATAAAAAACTTTCTGCAAACCTGATTTTTTTTTTCTATTTCCGTAACGAAAAGTTTCCTGGCTCACCAAAAACAAACGTTCTGGGAACCCAAAACTAACGATAGATAGGCTACTCAGTAAGTTACTACAAGGCACAAATAATATTCTCAAATTAAGACTGAAGGACTCATCTCTATTTTACTTGGCAAAACTGTTTTCACATAATTTAGAAAATCTTTCAATTCTCGAGAGCGCTCAGCGCAATTTATCTAATAATTGATTAACCAGCCTGCGCGTTCTCTGTGTTATTGCCCGCCCGTGCGGCAGGTGGCGCTGTCATCCGGTCACGCGCACCGCTTGTTTTGACCAAAGAACTGTTTTTTTTTCACACGCCCACGTGTTAGTTTGAAAATGTATAATTGATTTTATTCACGCTGTCTTCAAAAGGAAAGCAGGTCTTCGTAAAGCAGTGAGCCATGGATGATATAGAGGATGATTTTATAGAGGATGATTTTATAGAGGATGAAAGGACAAATCGGGAAGTGCTTAAATCGCCCGTTAACCTCCAATTGTGGACGGACAACAAAGGCAATGTTTCGATAAATATCATATATTAACTTGTTGTTTATGTTGTAAATTGGATATCATTATCACTACAGAGCAGAGTGCAACTCCAGATCTGGGGACCGAGAATGACACGAACACAGAAGTGCAGTTCACTCTTAAGTCAGCTTTATTGTGCTCGTGCCATAGTTTATATAGCAAGTCAGGGTGTTTGCTGATACCAACAAATAGAACTGCAAGTCAATATAGAAAAGAAAGGAGAGCTTCGCTGAAAGAGTAATTATACCATATGTATTGTTGCTCCTTATGTAATAACTAACATGCCCGATGAGCGTGTGACTAAACAGGGTGTACAAGAAATGATTTGATAGACAGAAAAGGAGATGCAAACATATTTATCCTAACATAAAGTCATATCAATACTTCATTTGTTTTCATGTTTAGGAGTTCCCACAGAGATCTTCTTCACCAAGTCGAACAGAAAGTGTCTGAAGCGGCTCAGAGATGCGATGCTGCTTCATAACTGGCAGGAGGCTGCGGTTTATTACAACTCTTACATTCAGGCACTGGAGGCCAGGAATAGCATTAAAGTGCATCCAACGGCTTCTGAGGTACAACAGCCCTTTAAACTCTGCCAAATCGACTTATAAGCTGCTTAGAGTGCTAAGAGTTTTTTTTTTTTTTTTACGAATTATGAAATCAGTATTAAAATGTTTGATTCACTTTTCTTGCATTGAAGAAACATAACATATGCATTAACTTTATCTGTATTGTTACACTGTTCATTGCATCCATAGCCTGTGAGTGTCACTTAAAGTTGGTTCTCAACAAACAGATTTAATCAATTCATTAAATCATTATCGGCATATAATGCAACAAAAACCCTATCCGGACGGGATTAACTTTACAAGGGTAGATGGAGTACTGTGATTTTACCACAGGACATCTGTAATATTAATGGCCAATTCTTACGGGATGAGATATCTCAGTGAAACTTTTAGAAGTGGGAGAGTAACTCGATTTACACACCGCTGTCACCCTCCTGTCGTCATGTGCTTATTACGTTGCTTCCTGATATCATTTGCGCAAACACATATAACATGTTTATGTATTTAAAACAGTTATGTCAGGTCGAACGATGTATTAATTAACTTCAGATTGGATTGTGTTGGTAATAGGCCTAACGCTAGATGTTTCGTGCCTCTAACAAGTGCTTTCGATCTTCTTTCTGATCTGAACGGTGTGTGTGTGGGAAACACTTGAGTTAGTCCTAGCGTCTAGAACGCAACTGAATGCTTTTTTCAACCGTTTCCATACTTTTGAACAGGAAATTGGATCCTCCTATTTTGTTTTTTTGTTGCTGTCGTGTGTGTGTTTTCTACTGTACGGATGATGTGTTTCTCTGCTGACTGCATAATTCTGTCCTTCAGATCACATGGAGAATAGGCACAGAAATCCTGCGTCATCTCCCTAACGCCAGCGCTGAAGATTTCAACGCTATAAATGAACAGTTGAAAAACAATGGAGTCAAAAACTTCTCGATGGTATGCATTGCATTAAGAAGCCCAAACCTCCCCTTTACGACATTTACACTGCATTCAAGGCATGCATTTTAATCAGTATGTGATGTGAATGTTGTAGATCTGTTTGGAGCATTGCTTTCATCTCCTACTAAACGGGCAGATGGAAGAAGCCAAGCGGCAGCTGTCCGTCGGAGAGAGCTGGAGATATGGCAACTTCTCGATTGCTCAGGGTGACACCAAAAAACTCATCCGTGCGTACAGCGGTTTCCTAGATTACTTGAACTGGTGTGAGAAGAAGTCCTCTACAGCTGGAACCGGTAGGAAGATATTTGAGTTATGTTGAACAATTAACTGACAATGTAAAATGGGTCTTCCTAACATCTATAGTAAAGGATGGAACACAGTTTCCCATACAACGACGTTACTCGCTGCCTAACTACTAGGGGTGGGAATTGGCAAAAATGTGACGATTCGATAGTATTGCGATATTTGGCCCACGATTCAATATTATTGTGATTCTTAACATATTGCGATACAGCAAGTATTGCGATTCGATTCTGCAATATATTGCGATTCATGTCCCCCATATTATTCAAAGGCATTACAAAAAATGAGGAAAATAAGACTGCTCAACTCACTTCAAATGTCACATTTAATTCTGTGAACATTATCTTCTACACATTAACTGAAGTGCAAAAACTTTGTCCTTGAACATTACAGGACAGGACGTCATTATTCTCTGAATTGGAGACCTCTCACATGAACGTGAGCTCCCAGCACATAACTTAAAATTATTTAAATACAATAGAGTAACATAAAGCAGACATAATAGAGTAACATAAACCTGAGAATAATCATATAAATAATGTCAAGGTCTTTACTATTCGCTTTTTGATGAAAATTGAAATTTACCCACAGTTTCGATTTGTAAGAAGACGGAGTGTCATGTACAACCGGTTGTGATGGTGAAGCCATTTTCATTTGAATTTTCTGTTGAATGCACAACATCATTTGTTCATTGTTTCACGGCTAAAGGTGGAAACACAACAAACTTGTTTCACCACTTGAAGCAAAAACACACCGTTGAGTACAACCAGGTAGTGATGGCCGGTTCGTGAACGAATCGTTCTTTTGAACCGGTTCTTTTTAGTGAATCAGTCGAACCAGTACACTAAATCGGACTGAATCGTTCGAAACAGTTCGTGTCTTGCGTCAGCGCTGATCCACAAGTGACTAAAGTTACTCACTTTCAGACATGCCTGACAGTCCCTACGAATCGAAATAAACCAATATCCAGGAGTACATTTTATTCCAGTAACTCAAAAAGTTCACTGAACTGAGATTGGAGCTGAGAGAAGTGATGAGCACGAGCAGCTGATACTCCGCATGCGTGTATACTACCGAACATACAGGTACAG